TCTTTTAGCTGAAAAAGACAAAAAAAATTAGGAAAAAGCTATGAATAATTGAAAGTACAGAAAGTTCCAGACATCTTCGAGATATTGTCCTTTGATAAAAGAACAACACTTAATTTGCAGGGAAAAAATGAATTGTCTAGTGTAGGATGAATGTTTTCTTAATATTTTCTATTTTTCAGAAAAAAATAATTAACAATAATATTTTGATGGTCCTTGAAGACCATAAATAAATATCCCTCTGTTTTCATTTTCATTTTTATTTTTTCTAATTTTTTTTTTGAAAATCATTTGAGTTTTCTTCTCAATGCCCATTTTGTATTCACTAGAGTAGTACAATTTTTCGAGACATACCAAAGAAAATGAACTTTTGAGACTTCCGAAAATTTATTGAATTATTTTGAAGTAGTGCTTTGCTCACTTCCTCTAACAATACGGAAATCGTTACGATTTCTTGTTTTTTTTTGTCTGAAAAATGTTCTGCTTTGTGATCAGAAGTTCATTCGAACTTATATTCGAAATGCAGTAACAAACTTCCTTTGTTTGTTTTGCTAAACAGAATTTAGCCTTTTGATGTTTGAGCATCAGAAGAAAATTTGAGATTCTCACGAATCTTGATTGTTGCCATGCTTGGACTCGTTTACAAAATTGTTCGATTGTTATACCAAAAAACACTAATTCCGGAAGTGGAACTATTTCATCAAACAATTTATATCGAAAAAAAATCCAACATTAGAGATTTAAAAAAAAACGTATATGTTTTGAAATAAGTAACCAAATGAAAGTCAAAGCCATAAAAGTTGTTTTCTGGTGATGTCAGAAATCCTTTTTTCTAGTTAAAATGGGCCATTTTGACCTTTTCTACATATATTAAGTAAGTTGGAAGGATATGTACTTTTCTTGTCTTCTCATTCAACAAAAATAGGTTGTGTTTTACATATGTTTGTTTTTTCACGTGATACCGGCAAATGTCACTCAATCATGCACATTTTTGCAATGTCATGTTTGCTGAAAATTTTCTGCAGATTACCTGAATCTTTCGTTTTGGTTCGTTCTGGTTCTAGTTTTTGGAATTGGTTCTCGAGAACATTTCTCTTACTATAGTTCTTGAATTTTTTTCCCACCAAAAAAATTCAAAATCCTTTTGAATCCGGTTATAAGCCCCAATGAGATGTTCATTATAAATATCTATCTTGAACTAGAGATGCTCTAAACATTGATGTTCTTAAGAAGATCAAGAAAAATATATACTTTTCAAAAGCCGCATGTCGATTCTTCAAAATGACATCATTTTATCCCCCTCAAAAATTTTATATCTAATCCTTTAACCACGATCGTCATTTTTCTATTGAGCAATTGTTTTCATTAAATATTATGAGAGAAGAATAAAAGAGTATAATCAAATTTTGATCTATCTCGTAAAGCGAAAAAAACGGCAAGGATTTATTTTTTGTTTTTTTTTTCGTTGAATGAATAAATAAATGAAGGAATGAGAAGCTTGCACCATCCAATCCCACCCAAACACAAAACGTTTTTTTTTTTCAATTAATTCGATTTGCATTCGTAAATCTTATTCTTATTATCTTCACTTTGTAGTATCTTTAAAGTTTTGTTTGGATGTTTGTTTTTCTTTAGCTTCTTCTTCTTTTTTTTCTTTATTCTGTCGATGGTGAATATTAAATTCATAATTACCTCAATGTTGTTTTTTTTTCTTCGTTATCCACGCATTTTTTGCTTTTTCAGTAAGTAACTAAAATATGATCTTTGAGCCAAAAACATGATAAATGAATGCATATTTCATCCAAACAAATTGTCTTTTATTTAATTTCTTATTTCGATTTTTCTAGTGGTCTTTGAAACACAGATGCTCCTTATTCTTTTCTTTTCTTTTTCATTTTATTCTTGAATTCTAGTTTTGTTACATCTCTTCGCTTCACAATCTTCACACATTTATATTAATGAATAGCTCAAAGTTCATAGAATAACGTAGGAGGCATAGTGAAATATAGGGAATTTTTGAGAATCTGAATTTTATAGCTGGTTTTCGATCAGATTGTTGGAATAATTAACATGAAAGTGAAAAATTCATAGATAAATGTATTATTTTACAGATAAACTGCTTGGGGTTTTTTTGAAAGAGCACCAGAACTTTCTATGGGAAGCTCTCCAAAAGCGACATGTTTTAAGTGTGCAAAACAAATTACAGAGAACTTCTGAAAATAATATATCACAATGTCTTCAAAAATCTGAAAAAAATTGTTCCTGATCATTTTCTACAGACTTTGTTATTCTTTAGATGTAATTCTTTGATATATATTATCAACTTGAAAAAAGATAAAACTCTCTTGACAATTCATAAATTAGCTAAAAATATTGTATATATGTTCCAAGAATTCATACGTCAATTTGAATCATTGATACAATTTAAAAATCTTAATTTTTTTTGATGACTATAAATTCTAGTTGTTTTTCTAGATTTGATTTCGTTGGCTCTTCAAATCATAGTTGTGGTTTTCATTGTTACAATTAAAAAATAAATGATTTTTTGAACTCACTCATTCCAATTAGTATACCCGGAATTCGCCAAAAAAATAAGTTATGTCATCAACATCAACACAGCCCATTTGATTTTTTGATCGTGTGTGGCTCAATCCAGAATAAAAAGATATAACTTTTTTATCTCAAATTCTTCTCGAGGTGCGAAATTTTTGTTGCTGATTTATTATGTTAACATTTTTGATTTGTTGATATCTGAAACGTTTTTTTAATTGAATGGCAGTTGTTATTCTTAAAATTTCAGTTCTCTAAAAATTTCACTTTATTTTTCATATCACATGATTTGCAACTAAACATCTGGAGTTGAGAAAATTTTAATGTTTTTTGCGAATTAACAAAGCTTGTTTGTCTGCCAGATTTTCTTTTCAAACGTATTTTTTCATGAGTATTGCTTTCAACTTTGTTATTCTCGAAATTTCCCCGAAATTTTCACACATTCATTGAAATTTCCAGTAAAGTGCAAAATAATTTATTATTTTTTATTCGGAGAAAAAGTGAAATAATTTTAGATAATTGTTTGTTCGTTTGTTGTGTTTTGAGAGAAGTTGATTCATTCTGAAAAACAGAGGTTGAAAAGATTTCCAGAGCTTGGGAACTCAGACGAGTCACAACTTTATAAAAACAATAAACCTTCCAAGAAAATCACAATTTCTTCAAACAAAAAGCAAAATACAGCGATCTTTGGCAATCTGTTTACGTCGTTTAATAATTAAATTTATAACCAACTAAAATTGTATATTTATTTATACTTGAATTATTCTAATTTAAAAAGACTAGGAAATTTTTTTTCCGCGTCGTAGATCAAAAATTTGGATATACATCATTTCACTTTTGAAGCTCGTCTGTCATTTTTCTTTTCATGAAAAATTTTCTGAACGTTTCCATTCTACCAGAAACATAAAAAAGAAAGGCTCGGACGTTTTTGACCACCCTCATTTAGGTTAAGCGTAATGTGATCTTTGCAGAATACCAATTCAATTTAGAAATGATGATAATTAGAGCACTTCCCCCTCAATTTTTCCGGCCTCAAAATGTTATATATGTTACTTTTTGTGGTGCTCTATGCCTTTAATTGATTAATTTTTGAGAGTATTTTTTATTTCCTTTTTTTTCTTCATTTTTTTCATTGAACAGTTGTGTTTTATGCTGGATAGATTATTATTAATATTGGTTTCTTGTCGGATTAACCTGAATGATTCATGATGTGTGCGCACAAAGAATTGTGAATATATCACGTTTGTTCTATTTTTTTGTGCGCCTCATTTTCGAAGATTTTTTTTGTTTTCCGAATCAAAGGCCAAACCAGAAACTGAACCAGAACCAGAGCCAGAAAAATTGAATGAGTTGTTATTGTTTTTATTTGAAAGATGAGAGGAGGGAAACAAGAGAAAAAGGAAAGACCAATCTATTTTTGTTTTTATTCATAATTTAACTCTTCTGATTTGCTAATAGTAGTATTTTCTTCAAGCCTTGCTTTTCAGTTCGAACATTTGTTTTGCAAAATGGAATGAGGTCAAGAATAAAATTAATTTTTTTAAAGATAAAATCTAGTTTGGTGCTTCTCTGAATATGAAAAAGCTCATTTTCACAAATTGCTTTTAAAAAAGTTCCGAATTTCTGAACACAGTCAGGAATGTTGACATTGTTAGATTTTAGTAAATAGTCCCTCGACAGCAGTTTATTGTCTTTATCGTACCACGGGGACTATTGGGGTGGCGTATTGAGCTCAAAAACTTGGAGTGAGTTGAAGCAGCTTTATTAGAATCTAGACATGTATTTTTTTACGCGGTCCAATTCAAAAATATAATCTTTAAATTTATTGAAAAATTCTATATCCAATGATCTACTTAAAGTCGTTTTTCGTCGAACAAAAATATTATACAACCACTTATGAATTATACCAAGTTTGTCGTTCTCATGAACAGCACTCATTTTTTGGTGGAACACGTGAATTTTGACCAAAACTCAAACCATTTCTTGAACCTTCTCAAAAATATTCCCTTTTTTGCATGTTCGTTTTTCATTTTGATTCAATCATCTTTCTTTCATTCATTCATTTCTTCATTCATTTTTTTGTGCAAAAATCACAACCGAAACTTGAAAACACGATGTGTTTTTCTCTCCTCCTTCTTTTCCAAAAAAACGAAGTTCGACCTCCTCTGAGAAAAATATGAAGTAACAATAAATAATAAATCACCTCTATATTTTGAAAATGGCTCAAACTCAAAGCTCCGCCCATTTGAAGAAAAAAGATGCTCGTTCCACTTACTCAAAAAATTTTTTTGAAAAAGTGTGATTTTTCCACAGAAGAAGGATGAGAGTTTTTTTCTAATTGAATATCTCTTTCCGTTCCGGTTTTCTATGGAATTCGTTTGAAAAACATTATTTATTTTTGCTTTTTCCTTTAAATTTGCATTTTGCAGCGTGGATTATGCTTATAGTGGAAAATGTTGAACCATACCAGAGTTTTCAATGAATGTCAATGTCTTCACGAACCCATCGAGGGTATTGCAGGTTATGCTAACTTGGTAAGAACTACAGTACCTTAGAGAACACATTGGTAAATAATAAAAAATATTTCTTTCAGTTCCTAATTGTTTTCTCATTGCCAATAATCTCATTTGTTGGTGTTGTTCTCAATTTTTTCAACATCTTCATATTTTGTGAGCAAAAAAACACGGCTGCAAAATATCTTACTGCATTATCATGTAGTGATGTTGGTAAGTATTTTTGTTTTAAAAAATCAACTCGAAATTTTAAAATAAAATGAAATAAATAGAAATAATTTCAGGTGTTTGTATGGCTGGAATATTTGTGATCTGTTCCGATTCCTTGCGTGCTCACTCTTTTGTGATAGATCAAATATTTGTGTTTCTATTGCCCAAAATTATTCCTCTTGGGCTGTTCTTCCAGGTAACTTTTTTCATTTAAAAAATCTGAAAAAGACTGGAAATAATTTTCAGATGCTCTCGGTGTATATCACAGTTCTCGCCGCTTTTGATTGCTTCTACTCTGTTCATAGGTATTTGAATATGAAAATAACTTCAAATAAAAAAATAAATTTAGGGGTTCGAAATGTGACAATAATCGAAGTACATGGGCTCCTCGAGTTTTGGCACTTGTTGTTATTTCTGTGGCCGCTTATAATATTGTGCAATTCGGAGATTTACAAGCCGTTGAATGTATGCATCCAGAAAATTATACACTTTTTGAGCTGTGCCCAACTGAAATGCGGCTCAGTGAGCTATACGTTCAAGTCTATAAGTAAGTAGGCGTCGACAGAAAAAATAAATGTGTTTGTTTTTCTTTACTTTCCAAATGACTAAAATACCCATATTTCAGAGGATATTTATATGCACTTTCAATGGCATTTCTTCCATTTGTCTTACTCTCAATTTTAACTGTCAGCATCATTATAATGCTTCGCAAAAAAGATGGGATGAAAAAGATGGAAAAATCCGGTGAGTTTGTCATCGGATACTGCTAATTCATGTGTGTATGTGAGATCGTTTGAATAATGTATTGTTGTGAAAAATACTATTTACATATCATCATCATCAGCATTTTAGATTTCAATCAACCAAAAAAAAACATGAGATCAAAAATCCTATTTTTCTTCCAGAAATGAACAATGAAGATTCTGGTAACAATCCAGTTGTGTTACTGCTCGTTGTTTTGCTCTTCTTATGCTGTAATTTGACGTCATTACTCGTTAATGTTTTTGAAATGCTAAAATTGTGAGTATCATCTTTTTTTTTCCTGCTCGCAACCAAACATCAAATGTATTCCTTTTTTCAGTCAATTAAAATATGAAGTTGAAGCGGTGTTGATTGATATTGGCAATTTTTTGGTGGTTATCAATGCGACTGCCAATTTTTTCGTATATATGGCGTCTTCTGAAGAGTTTAGGCATTCGTTCTATCGTCGAATTAGAAGACTACTTCGATCAAAACAAAGAAGTGGTGGAATGCCAATTATGCATGAACAACGCCTACGGTTTTTTAATCGACAACCAATTGCTAGTAGTTTATAAGCAAGAAACCACACATTTTTTGCAATTTTCTTATTCTTCAGAAAAATGTGTTCTTTTTCAAAACAATCTCTCTGTGATCTTTTTTTAAATACCATCGGGTTATTTTATTCTGTATTGTAAACAAATTGTCAACCTGATAACTGATTACCGATTATTGATTACTATGTATATTTTTTGGGTAAAACAATTGTTTTAATCTGCAAGTACAATAAATATTAATAGAAATTTAAATAAATTTTTATCAAGGCACATCACAGAAAACGATGAAATACACATAATTTATATATTTAACACGAACTTATTGATCCGAGACCCGTCCATTGATCAGGTACAACTGGAAAATATGAATCAATTGCTTCTGAAAATCGAGCACAATACATTTCGGGACTCAAAATTGTTGGTAAATGTGCACCGGGTATTGCAACAATTTTTACCCATGATTCAAGTTTCTGCAAAACAATTATTCAAACTTTTCTTTAATTATTCTATTTAAATACCTTATCTAAAGTATAGGTCCGCATATAATCCACAATACCAAGTATTAATTCTCCATTATCATCGTCAACTCCAACCAAAAGTGAATAATCCATGATTGACTGAAAACAAATGCGATAATTTTTTAATCTCCCGGAAATCCGCTTCTATTGTTTTACTAACCTGTGAGCTCAGAAAATGACTATCATTACTGATTGCTTGATTCAAGGCAGCTTTTGAATGAGGTAACACATATAACTGTTGATTCCATAGATCTTTCACAAAATTCTCATCCAATAATACAAGATCAGCAGAGCTTTTGCCAGTTGATGCCAATCGATTTCGTAATGATCCTTTAAGATCCCAAACTTGACTCACATTGTGGTTATAAAATAAATATTCCATCACAAGAATATCCACTTTGAGGGTTGTTGTTTTGCTTTTATATCCAATTCGGAACACACCGTAAACCTAAAAAGTAAGATTTTGGAAGTTGTTTCGTTTTCCCGAAATAACTTACTTTGCATAACGTCGTCAATTTATTTTCAGTGGCCGAAGTTGTAAGATAATCAAAATAGTTTGGAGCAAATTTGACGAACGACTGAATTTCAAATCTTGACATTTGCTTCACAACAAAACGATCATCCTGTGTACGATAGAAAAATGACCCAGATTTTCCACCCTGTGGCGTCCAAAATGTACTATTTGACAATGATCTGATAAATGTTTCTTCTCCTTCGGCAATCAAAAGTTCTCGTAGCTTCCGGAATTTTTCAGCATAAAATAATTTCACATAATATGATGCTGATTCATCTTCAAATTCCACTTCTAAATGTTGTGTAGAAGTCAATTCGTCATTTTGCGATGTATCTTTGAATGTTGAATCAACTGATATTGTATCATCATTTACTTTTGTATAATCTGCAGCTGATAATGCATAAGCAATAATACTTCCAATATCCGGTTTGTAATTACCACGACTATCCTGAAACAGTTATTTTATTCATGTGTTTATAATAAAATATTTATAAGATCTCTTTGGTCTTAAAAATAACAACTCAATCTATTTTTAACATACTTGAATATCTCGAATAACAACTCCAATTCTTGGTTGTAATTTGATAGCCAAATGAAGGTAAGCTGGAAATGGGTTCTCCAATTTTTGCATCATTACAACTTCTTGAGTATCGTCTGGGTTACGACGTTGTATTTTGACCAATGAACAATTCTCATTCCATAACATAATCAACGAAAATGTCATTTCTCGAATTCTCATAAAAGTGTCGGTTACATCTCGATATAATTTATCGTTTGATCTGATCAATTCTTCACCACCAGCTAATATTTTTTTGGCAAATGCTCGACTTTCACTGAAATTTTAGAAAAACAATGAAAATAAAAAGATATTTTGTTATGTTTTACCCAGCAAGAGCCATAGTTGATCGAATCGCTGCTAGAAGATTCACAACAGCCGGGACAACTTGTGTATCTTCATCAAGATCAGCTAGTTGTGTATTTGTTTCTTCACAAATTGTTAATGCAAGATTTGCAATTCGATTGATATCATCTCCAAGTTCTTTTCTGCTCACTTTATTCACTTTGAGGTTACAAATAATTGGCGAAAAAAGCACTCGATATGGTTTGATCTGCAAATTAACATCCGTATTTGTGATTTTTGTTTTCTAAATTTTCTCACGAGATGTCTCATGAATAAAAAATGATTTTCAGAAGTAAGTTCGCGTGAAATTTGTTTGATTACATATGAATGAATATAAAAAACAAGTTTGTCTGCCCTTGGGAAAAAGCAAATCTTTGGTTTTTACGTAATGGTGTCTAGGACAAATTTTTGGGAAGTTGAAAATAACATAAAACTCACTGCATTTACTTTAAACGTCGTCACAAGATTTTCAAAAGCGAAAAAATACAATTTTTCATGGAAGAAACAATGTTCACATTGATTTTGAGAAGATATTGGATATGATCGATCTGTTGTGAAACATGAATTTCCCAAGTAATCCAAGAATTTTGCAAATGATAAATGCCACATTTCATGTTCAAATTTGATCATTTGACTAGAGCAATTGCACCTAGAAAATATATAAAATTTGTAACAATAATAAGTTATAAATTTTTAAATTCTACTTTGCACAATTTCTCCACGCCATTATTGATTTATGTTGTTCATTGTTTATTGAATTTTCGACATCGTTCATAACTTGTGTTGAAATTTCCACACAAACTCTACCATAAACCAGTTTTCTTGAGTGATCCAACATTGAAACTTCACAATTTGACGAGGGACATTCGTATGTTTTATTAAAACAGTATCTGAAAAAGTTTAATGTGAAAAAATACTTGTTCTGAATCGAGTTCTTACTTGCTCAAGAATTCACCCAAAGTCATATCATGATCATTGTAATATTTCATACTAACAACCCAGGGTCGCACACAAAAATATGGAGCATTTGGGGATTTTCGAGAAAATGATCCAAATAAGACAGCAAGTGTTTGATGTACTCGTGGATCAAGAACATCACGTGGCCGGAACTGAATAATTTTTTTGTTAATTTCAAAACTTTCAAAAATACCCTTTGTTTCGGCTTTGGCGCTTGTTTTTTGTGTTCAATCGATTGACGTGTCCTTTTACGAAAACTGATACCAGAAAATGCCCGAAAAGATCGTGTCAAAATTTCAAGCTTTGATCCTTTGTGAACACCACCAAACGCGTGATGTTTTTCGAATACTGGAGCAGGCTGAAAAACAACAATAATATTTTGAATTTTTTCTCTTTTCTGACTTACCCTTATTTCTGGCTCTTCTTCTAGTAGTGTTTCATTACTTTGATCAATTTCTTCATTAGTCATTATTTTATACAAAGGTTGTTTGAAATATGTTATAAGCGGACAAGATCTGGAAATGCAATTTCATGAGATTCTTGACAGAAAATAAAAAAAAACTAACCTTCCTATCATTGTTTCTAAAAATGGTGGTTCGAATTCAATAATCGGTGAACTAGTCAACATTGCAGAATCAAGTGCTTTTTCAAATGGTGTTTTGTTTTCATCAATTGGATAAATAATAGCTCGCCGAGTTTCACAAACAATACAATCAGATTGTCTTCGAGCAACAGAAGTGTTGAAAGAGTTCAAATAAATTTGTTCCAATCGATTAGAGTAAATCACAGTTATTAGGAACATAAGTACACGTTTCACAGATTGCAACTCTGCATCATTATTGCTTTTCAAAATAACTGAACATCCAAATTCTTTGGGACAATCAGAAAAACACATGAGCATTTTTGTTGTCCCATTTTTCAATTCATAAGTTCTCAAACTGAATTCGGGACAGAATCCGAGCTTCTGATCAACCAATTGTGCATCGGAATTTGATAAAATATCAGCATTTGTTGTCCTTGCAATCCGTTGTAACGCATTTGTTTTGATGTTTACCGCAACTTTGATATTTTTCTGAATAAGTAATTGAGCAGCCAATCTCGAAACACCACCTTCAACTAGTACTAATGATGCTCGTTTTGCCGATATTCTCTCAATCTGAAAAATCCCCATTTCAACTATTTTCGTTCTAAAACCAAATTTACCTGTTTTTCTAGAAACTTTTCCTCTTGAACAATAATTGGTTCAATAGATGACAATTTATTAGCCACTCTTTCATATTCAATCGATCCGCCAACAATTATTATCGATTCTGCTGATGGTTTTCCATTTGGTTCAGAATCATTATAAAGTAAACTTTTTGAACAAACAGATCCCCAAATTATTTCTGCAGAGGGTTCACAATCAATTTCAAGTCGTTTTACGTGTACATAATCAGCAATATTCATAGAATCACCATCAGGAACATTTACAATAACTCGATTTGCGATATCTTTTGCTTTTGTCAGAATAATTTCTTTCCATGCTTCATTTTTTATTCCTTCTCGTTTCAAAACTTCTTCCAACATTCGATCAGTGTTCCTTTTGAATAAATCATCGAGGTTATCTCGTTGATCCATTTCGAATGAGTTATCAACTGATTCTTCGGGAGATCTAGGAAAAACAAAATATTTTGAACGGCAAAAACGGAAAGTTACTTTTATTTCAAAAAAATGATTTGAGCTTTTGCTTTGAATTAAAAAAAAACTCACATCACTGGAAACGTTATTTTCCTAGTCACATCATTTGCTCGAGCATCCATAATAGTCTCAAATTCATTTGCAATTGCACCACCAGCCAAATTAGCATAAGCAAAAACATCAGCAGAATCCGAAGCCTGAAAATCATTTCATTAAACACAAAAATAATTATTTATGAACCTCACCTCATTATTTATAATACCATCCATTCCAGGATTCATACTTCTGAACCAATCTGGACCTGATTCCTCTTCTTCACTCACAACTGAATTTGTGTGATTCTATAAAATGTTCTATGAAATAACAAAAGTTTCTCAAAAATAAAACTCACTCTTCCATTTGTTGGAAAAACTGTGGATGTTGTTGCACAAAGATCAGCAACTGATAGAATTGTTGGAACTCCGGTGGTTGTTGGGATTAAAGATTCTCTTCGGCTGATTGTTGGTGGACTTACTGATTTTCGAGTTGCATCCGGATTACAATACGACCAAATTGCACCTTAACATCGACATTTAAATTATTCAGATTAGAGAACAGACGTGTTGAATCAGTTGGAAAACATATGAAGATAACTTACCATTTGAAATAGTCCGAACATTTTCATTTGCTGAGTTTTTATGTTTCTGAAAATATTCATTACTAGTTTTCCTTGATACTGGAACATGTGAATCTTTCCGAATTTGAGCATCAATTTCAGCTTCTTTTGCTAGTCGCTGAACTTTTTTCGCACAATAATCACATAATCGAAGTTCTCCCATATATCCTAAAGATGCTCCATCAATATGACTATTACAGCATTTCGAGCAAAATATTTGACCACAAAGTCGACAATGATGTCTTCGTCGAAATGTTGTGAATCGTTCTTCACATTGATAACATTCTCGACCGGTTGAATCAGGCATCCAATATTGCTCTGAAAATATCAAACATCAAGCAATCATTTTTATTTGTGTGAAAAACGATATTATTTATAGAATATATGGAAAACAATTGTTTTTTTCTCTCAAGCGTTTTAATTCAAAATTAGGAAAATATAACTCACTAAAATTACTATCGTTATAATTTTTCAAATCCGGTTGTCCTCTTTTCAACAATCCACTCAATTTTTCAGCCAACGATCGTTGTTTGTCAGATCCTCTAGATTCTAAAAACATAGATGATTTATTTAAAAAATAATAAAAAATTACATACCTTGCGATTCTTTCCGTTCTAGCTGAGACTTTGGTTCAGCAGGTGCCGCGGATGAAGATGGAATATTATTAGGTTCAACTGATTCAGGATGCTGTGTTGTTGGTGTCGAGGGTGTTCCATCACTTCGAAATATTTGACCAATAAAACTCGAAAAATATCCACCTATAGAGATTTAGTTTTTACAAACAAATCGACTCATATAAATTCACTTACTCGTATTTGAACTCGTCTCCTCTTCCTCTGGAAATCCTTCTAATTTTTGAAAAAATTGTAGGTTGTCATTACCACTGTTATCGGTCATTCCCTGATCTGAAAAATAAAAAATATAATAAATTATGAGGAAAATGAGAACTTTTAGTATTTATTTTCAGTTTTTGATAATAATAATAATCATAACAAAGAGAGCGGAAAAATAAAACAAAAACCAAAATAAAAAGAACAGATTTAAAGAAGAGAAAAGACAAACATTTGACAATGGGGCGTGCTTGCTTCACTAGGCCGTCCCTTTCATTTCTTTTTTTCTGTGTTTGTTGGTTAGGCGTTGTTATTGCGAAATAAATAGAGGCACGAGGTAAAAAGTACCAGGATACCATGATAACGGTTCAAAAAACAGGGAATGGGTAATTTTGTGAGTCACTGATATGAAGTGTTATATTTTGTAGGAATAAATCAAAAAATGTACGAAAAATCCCGTACAATTTGGAAAAGTAAGAAAGTAAAATATTTGTGAGATATTTGAAAAGCATAAAAAATTTTTTCTCAAAATAGGATGAAGAAAGTAACTGTTTCACTAAATTTTTTAAATTTAAAAATAATAAAAAAGCATAAACTTCTGTGAACTCCTGTTTTCTTCTTCATGTAGGTCAGTTTTACACCCGTTTTATTTTCATTGAGTGAAAAAGTTGGTTGTTTGATTTTTGTTTACCATTCTCGTTTATTTTTGTATGTTCAATCAATTGGAAGAAGATATTTTATGAGTGAAAAAATGATCGTATATGTTTTCCTCAAAACATTATGATTTCACAGATCCCAAACTTATTTTTCAAGTAACATAAAAATGGCTCAATTCTACATTTCAAAATAACACAAAGTATTTGAAACAAATATCCAAAAATCCATTATTTTTTGGATTTTGAAATTTCTTTGGTTTGTTTGATGTAATGAGAAAACCTTCAAATACTTGCCAGAACAATGATTTTTCAAGCCAAATTTCAGTTTTTTATGTGGAAAAAACTCATTTAAAATTCAATAAGATCCTGCTGGGTTTCAAGAAATCGAGACGGAAAAGGACAAAAAGAGAGTGCAGAGATTAATTTCTCAAGCTTGCTGGTTGTGTATTATTTCTTGACACATAGAAGAAATTAAGTTCATACACATGTAAAAGAAAGGTAGAGGTATGGAAAAAAATGCTTAACATTTCCCAGTGTAATAGATAACAATTTCGGAAAAAATAACAGCAAATTTAATCTCAATGTCAAAGTTATTGGAAACGTTGAACTTGAATGCAGTCCGCGAATCTCCCATACGGATAAATGGTTTTTTTTTTTATTTGTCTGATATTTTTTCGTTAAACTTCTAACTTTTGTATAACTCCTTTGATCTAGAACAATCTTCCATTCAAAATGTTTTGACTTTAGAGAAAATTATGTTTTATCAAAAAGCTGTTGCCGATAGGAAAACGCGTATTTTTCTCACCTCTTCTGTTTTTAAACCGATCAATAAATGTCTTCTCCAAAAAAATATAAGTGTGAATATAACACTTCCCGGCTTTCTTCCTATCACTAATGCTCTCCGCATTTTACACACTCTCTTATATTCCCTGAATTTCTAAACCAACTTGGCGTTCCCTTTCACTCTTTGTATTTTTTTTTAGTATTCACTGATTTCTCCATGCGTTTTCTTTTTTTCTTATTATTTTTTATATATTAAAGGTTTTGTCAAAGTGTCACGACTTTTTTTGGGTTTTAAACATCTTCTACTTTTTCCTTACAACTTTTAATATTAATTTGTCATTTTTCATATATTCAAATGTTATAGAGATTCGAAAACCGATCGATTTTCACATCAACAACAATGACTGGAACTAACAAAGTATCACAAGCTGTCCCGGTGAGTCTATAACTCAACTTATGAGTGCATGCAGATCAATATTTTGTGATAACACTTACCAAAATAATTTTTATGCAAGAATATAAAAAACACACAAAATTGAAAATTCAACATTTTCAGGACAATCAATCAATTGAAGACGATTTGTTGCCTGATATTATTGAACCTTCAACCGGAGCCCAAGAAAAATGTTGTCGTGTTTGTGACATTAAAGCTGATCCATCAATTATTATGTTTTCAATTCCAACAAATCATGAAATTTTGGTGAAATGTTTAAAGGCATTCGGTCAACACTTCACTGACAACTTCCTTAAATATCCAGCTCCGCATTATGTTTGCTTGTCTCACGCCATGGAGCACAATTGGAGAGATTTGTAAACTATTTTATTTTGATTTGAATGAAAATTATGGGTCCTGATTTTTTGTATTTTCAAATAATGAAAACCACAACCAGAAAGGAAAGTTTACTTATTTTGTGTAACCTAAAATTTATTCCCAACAGAAAAAAGAACGAATAAATCAAAAAGATTCAAATTAATTCAAGTTCTCTTCTTGCAACATCTTCATCCTCATTTGATTCCAAGACATTCGTCGATTTCAATTCAATTTCGCGATCTTCAATTGTTTTCAAGATTGAAAGATCAAATCGTCTTCCAATTTTTTTAGTATGTTGGCGAAACAGTGAAGCACCAGTCTTTTGATCGTAGTCCAGGTCATCACTAGAATCAATTTTTTGAGAAGCGTTTATGAAATTTCACATAAAGAATTTATCTAACAAGAAAAATAGTTTCAAGAGTGAGAAAAATTCAGTTAAAGATTGAAAAACTTACACAGAAATGCCCATAACGAAAACCGCGTTTCTCGATCTTATCAAAGACTTATAAACAATTCGAACGTATCCATACCAATCAGAAAATCCTGTTATCATTTTGTGCGACCGCAACGAAGGATTTTTACTGAATATTAACCATGTTCTGAGCACGAGCTGAAAAAAACAATTTGTTCGATAGTAATTTGTTATAAACTGACAATCGGGCCATTTTCGGTTTCTTCAATTTCAATCCTGGATGTTAATGGTGTACGTTTTTCGATAATCGTTGTAACATCCATAACAAACCCATCGGTTCTCTCAAAAGTAATGAACATACCAATTTTAACACCAAGCTCTTCACGGTGTTTCAATCGGTATAATTTAAGCTCATTTTTTGAATACGCGTAGATGATACCGTTTTGAATTGAAATAACCAGAAGTTGCGATAGAACTTCCATGTCGCAATAAATTCCGAATTATTTCATTCAAAATTTGATTGATGTTGACTAACCAATTGATTAAGCAGCAAATAGATAAGTGTTTTGTAGGAGAAACGAAGAACGCTTTTATAGAAGGGAAAATTGATAAATACGAAAAAAACCTTCTACTTTGTGATAATTGTGACTCATGTAAGGCATAATTATAATAGAATTATCAATTTTCTCAATGTGTGAAAATCATGATCCAATATTTCGTTTTTCAATAAAAAATTTTTTTGTATTGCCGTGTCTAAATGGGTTCATGTTTTGCTCTGTTTCAATTTTGGAGTTTAAAGATTTTCAAAAATAGTATAAATATTTTATTCAAACAATTACAAATTAGTTCATAAAATAAAATATGGGAAAAAAAAACAATGGTAATAGGTGAATTCAAAATGTTAATAATCAAAAGAATGGAATCTCGTCTTTTCCAAAAAGAATGACATCAGGATAAGATTCAATCGAAGTTCTCAATGTCATCTCGGTTTCGCGATTTTCACAAAGTTTCATATAGTCATCATCAGTTCGATTTCTATATTTTGAATTGTGTTGGCGGAAAAGACAAGCTCCGAAAGTTTGGTCATAATTCAAATCGTTGCTGGAAATAATTTTGACTTGATTAAAATTTCAATAGTTGGCAAATTGCAAACGACAAAATACTTTAAAAAAATATGAGTTTTATATGAATACATAAAGTGAAAAAAATACGGATAAAAACTTACACAGTAATATTTATAACATAAACACAATCTCTCGATTTCTTCAAAATTTCATCAGATATTCTAATATACCCAAACCAATCGGAAAACCCGGTCAACATTTGATGAGATCTCAAAGAACTGTTCTGACTGAAAACCATCCATGCTTTTAAAACAACCTGTAAACAAAATTTTTTTCACAAATCCCTTTTTTTCAACATACAAATGGTCCATTTTTTGATTGTTCAATATGCACACAATCTTTTTCATCAGCCATGCGTTTCTCAATAATCGAAGTCACGTTCATAACAAATCCTTCAGTTTTATTGAAGGTTATGAACATCCCAATTTCTATTTCAAATTCTTCTCTATTTTTCAACCGGTACAATTTGAGTTCTCTCTTCGAAAATGCGTAGACGATTTCGTTTTTGATTGCAATAACTAACAAATCAGATAGGATTTCCATCATTGATAAATATTTTAACAAGTTCCTATAAATTAAATTTGAAAAAAATTGAAAAAAACCAAAATAATATACAAAAAATGAAAAAAATGACAATTCCGCAGTAGGCATTTGGTGATTTCTCATTCTGAAAAATAGAGACATGTGATTTATACTAAAGTAAAAAGCTCATTATGAATTTTTTTCTGGTGAATCATGCGTTTTTTCGTAAATCATCAAAAAGTGATTTGTCATTGACGATTTCTAGATCAAAACACAAAATATCAAAGTGATGTATATCAGGATTTCATTTTTTTTTAGAAAAAAAAACATATAGAAAAGTTTAAACTTCAGTTCATCGTTGTTTTTCCTTTTTTGATACAGCTCCCGTTCAGCTTCATAATATTTTTTTTTCCTGCAATAATTCTGTCAGTTACAAATTCGGCATTATATCGGATTGTTTTGATCTGAAATTTGATCTACATAACATTTAACATTATAAAAATTATAAATAATATTGTTCAACATTTCTACATTTCAAACGATTTGGTTTTTATTATGGTTTCAGGACGAGTTTCAAACAAATTTGAGATGTACTGTGATTCTTGACTTCTATTTTTGCTGTTGTCGAGTTTCAGATATGACTGATTTTTTGTATTTTCAAGCCTAAATCGAGTTCTTAAAATTCGATAAGCTAGAGCTGAATTCAAAATGCAGATCTAAATCGAGACGGAGAAGTACAAAGATAGACTAAAGTGTAAGACACATGCGTAATTTGAATGAAAACGAATATTTCAATTGATATCAATAAACATTTCTACATTTCAAATTAATGTGTTGGCCATGTTTTTTGAAAATTTCTTCTTGAAAGCCTAACGGACTCAACAATATCTTTGAATTGTGTTTTTTGGTGTAGTCCAAATTTCAACAGATGGGTTTCATTGTGTTTTCAAGCCTAAATTCAAGAATCAATACTTTGAAAATTCAATAAGCTACAGCTGGATACCAGATGTGGTTTGAAAACGAGACGGAAAAGTACAAAGCTAGATCAGAGTGCATATATGTTTGTTCATTTTTGATTTTTTCAAGTGTTCAAATTTGTCACAAAGTTAGGATTTGAATATTTTAGGTTACACAAAATAAATTGAGCCAACAACTGATTTTATTGATAATTCATTCAAAAAAAGTGACAATTTGCAAACCCATACATTTGATGAAATACTATCGACATATTAACATAAAATAAGATTCTTAATATAAAACACAGATGAATGACAAAATAATAGATACAATCGAGAATGTTGTCGTCGAGAATTTCGAGACTTCTTTTGATGGTGGTGGTGCTGGTGAAGTTGCGGCAAATGGATTTTGTTTTAATGCGATCTCTTTCAAAATATTGATAGCAGCTGTTGTATATTTTCCAGTTTTGACTTGCTCGTCTTCGGTAGCAATTATGGCTAACACTTGATCTGAGTCTGCAAAAATTATTTTAAATGTTATATGAAAAAGCAAAAAAAAAGTTTAACAATCAACTTACTAATTGGTGATCTCTCATCAAATGACGCAAATATTTTTCGATCATTCAAAGACAAAACAAGCAATCCAGTTCGTCCGCACTGTGAATCAAGCTCCCATTTTTTTCTCAATTCATCAGCAAATTGTTGAGTAGCTTGATTGTGAATGAGGAATAAAACATCAGTTCCTTTTCTTGTGCAGAAAGTATTTCCTCCTTCTGTTGTTTGTTGAGTAAATTTGGTAATTTCAGCATTGATTCGATATCTCTCGCCTTCATTTAAAGTCTGAATTGGAATTATGTTTTTATTTGGAATTTGGAACAACATTTTAAAAATCTTCAAAAACTAACCTCATATGGATCACAAACACTTGACGCTGAGCGCATTCCACATTCTTTAAAGCCTGATGCTTTTTTTGGATTTGGATATGTTTCAACTGTATAATCTCCAGTAGATTGTGCAATTATTGATTTGAAAACTGTTACCAATACCAATACTTTCAACATTTCTGTAAAAAACCACGAGATGTTTTTATTATCAGTACTAAGCAAATACAATTTAACAAAAAAACAAGAAAAGAAGAGCACTCAACTAACAAAACATTCACAATGAAAAAAAGGCGAAATGCCGAAAATTGTGCAAATATGGTGCAACCGGATAATTTTTTCCTCTTTTGATTCTCGTCATTCAATTTATTTCAATAAAAGTTGGACGGAAAAATATCGAAAAAATGAAGAACAAAAAAGTTACACTAAAAATTAAATCAAAAGAAAAATGACCGAGAAAAAACTTGTTCTAATCTGGAACACTCCCACAATCACGCAGAGTAACAATTTTCTAATTTCTGATTTTGAGAAAAAATGATATGATGACGTGATAAAAATAGCTGAGAATCGGAGAAATGATAACTTTTTGAAAAAAATAACGTGGAGAGCGAAAGAGACGAAAAAGAAAAATAGTATCATGACCGGTTTTTTTCGGTTCCGAGAAGGTCATGCTTTGTTTATTGATGTGGTTTTTCAGATCACATCAAAAATACAACAAAAGTAAGACTGGTCAAGATGTTAGTTTTGTAGAAGATTATGGAAGTAAATTTTACGTTCAATTTTTCTTCTAAATTATAAATGAAAAGTTACTAGAAATGTTCTCCAACTTTTGAGTCCTGACAAAAATTTTGATATAAGACTAGAAAAAAAATATTTGCTCTGAGAAAGATTCAACTATTTGAACTTTTGATGTGGTTAATTTTTTTCATATTCGAAATATTCGAAAACCCAGTGGAAAACCGTGAAAAAATAAACTTTAAGCAATTAAGAATTCTTGATTTGGATAACAGAAACTCGTTTTATCCCTCTGTATTAATCTCAAAATAAGTATCTCTTAAAAATTCCCCACAAAATATAAGAAAAGTTGTTCGTGAAAGTTCCGCTTTTTTGAAAATCATTAAAAATGTCTTACTGTAAATAATTTCAAGTCCAGTCAACATAATCAACTTTTAATTGATAAGAATGAAAAAATTTTAACAAAAGTAACCAATAAAGGTGTGTATCACATTTCTATGAAAATCAAAAAGTCCTGACAAGGCAGGTCGAGAAATCATCAATCATTTATGTTTTTGATTAGACAAGATATCACTTTTAGTTCACAAAATCAAAACTGGTTGGGAAAAATGATCTGATGTTGATTGAGATAATTGTTTTATCAGGGATAGATCAAAACGATTTGATTGTATTTCATCAGGAAGTTTGTTACGTCACGGGAAAAGCGTTCAGATCAGTGAATCGAACGTGATATTTTTTATCTTCTCTTTTCATTGAAAATCGAAAGAGATCAAAACTAGAGAAAAGTAGAATGACAAAAAACAAGGATGACAAATCAAAAACAATATGAAGAACCTCTTCAATTAAAAATTAGTGTCACTACAACGAAAAAACAACAACATACATACAAATCAATGATTGTTTCTTTTGTCCATTTTCATTTTTCAACATTCAATTTTAATCTTGTTTTCAAACAAACCTGCGCTCGCTCGTGTGTTTTCTATTTAAAAATAAAAATAAAACGAAAATAATGGTATCAAAAATAAAGAATCAAAATTTATTTTTATTTATTATTCTTCTTTATTATTGCGTAAAATTCTGTCGAAATTTGAAAAAAAATGAATGAATGAATACATTGAGTGTACAAGAGCACCACATACCAAAAAAAAAGGCGGGAAAACAAAAAAAAACGAAAGAAAAGGAGATCAAAATTCTTGATTGATTATATTTTTTATATTTATTGAAGCATTTTTAGACCTGTATTTCTTCTAATGTTGGAGCTTGAGCAGCTGATAAACTGTTGCCTCTGAAATATATTTTATTTGGTTTTTGGAATAAAAAATATCGGGAAAATATCAAACCTTGCATTCTGTAGAGCTAATGCTGCTCTTCCATGTCTTGGACAAGTTGGAGATATTGCTGGAGGCCTCATAGACGTTGAACTTTTATGTGAAGCTGCTAATAACGGTTCCTGAATAACACACAATATATAAATTTTCGAAAGAAAAAAAAACAAAAACTCATGCTTTTAAGGTATTTCTTTGAAGAGCAACCGGAAAAGAAACATAAGAAAATCAAAACTGATAGAGCAAGTTGAAAAGTATAGCGGTAGTATAGAAAATCAAATCAAAATAAAATGTAAAAGGTTTATACACGTGCCTGTTCCTGAAATGATCGTCTTGGAATAGTTGGTGTACCACAATGCAGAATTGAACCATTCGATAAATGTCGATGGTGGGGATGATCAAAAATATCCGGAGGTCCGCCAAGTGAAGATGTCAATGGTGGAGGCGGAGGAGGCATTAGGGAGAGCTGCGAGGGGTGGGTTATTGTATTAATTGAAACTAGGAACCGGGGGAATTTTTTGGAAGCCATGCCATGCCTTTTTCAGGTTATGGAGGAGAAGTGGGAGGCAGGTTAATATGGGCAATGGGCAAAGCGCAATCAGGAAAAATCGAAAAGTAAAAAAAAAACCAACCGGCGAGTTGAGGCTATTGTATTGTTCAGGACCACCTCCTCCATGATTTGAGTTATAGGTTTGATACTGAAGTTGGAATTTCTTCTCGTTCCTTCGTCTTTTCAAACACTGAAAAAGTTTGGTGGTTTTTGTGTGAATCAATAAATTTTATGACGGAAATATCATATAGTTTTTATGACTTTAGAACTCACCGCTCTGTGCACAGCTAATAGGAGACAAAGATTCAAAACCAGAAGCGCACACCCAACTAAAATTGTAACAGCTAACGCACTTCCATTATAACCTCCAGATGCAACTTTCTCATTTTCTGGTGATGTTGTAGCAGTTGGCGTAGATTTGGCTGAAATCAATCAATGTTCTGATACCATTAGGACTTTTGAACTCACTAGTTTTTGGTTTTGCAGTAGTTTCTGGCGGTGGGGGTGGCATTGGTGGCGGTGGAAATGGCATATTTGCGTATGATGAGAATGATCGAACTTTGCCAAAGTATGTGTCTTTTTTGAAATGGTCTGTGAGAAGATGATGTTCTTCTCCAAGAGGTCCAGATTCTTTGCCTTTTTTGTGGAGTTGAGGAACGAAGCTGTTCCAGAATCCAACTTGAGCATTTCGATAGTAATGCTTCAGCCGAGGACGATCAGCTAAAACTTATGTAAGTTAAAAACAATTAGGGCAAACAATAATCTTACTGATTTCAAGATACGATTCTCTGCTAGGTTGATCAAATTGAGGCCAAGCTGAAGAATAAAAAGCATCTCCCATTGGAAAATTCTTTGCTAATGGTTGAGGTTTCAGTGGATCTCCAGACTTTACAAAATTCGAAATATAATGCATCATAACTTTTGAAATGCCCTTGTCATCAGAGTTGAATCCAGAGTATAGCTGAAAACATTTGGATGTTTTTTTCATAAATCAAACCCTAGCAAGAATAAATATACCCGATTTTCGCTATCTCCTTGAATTAACGGATACCCAAAGATATAAGGAACAATATCACCAGAAAGTGATCCTCTTATCCCATTATTTGGTTGTTCATCCATCCATGCTTTTGTCTCGTGATCAAAAGCAAACCTATAATGATCAAAGAATATTTTTTTTTGTTTAAATCAAACATGTTTTGGTTTGCACTTACATAAATGTACTGGCCTCTTTTCGAACATCATCTGTACTATGCAAACGTAATGTTTCAATCAGAGGTGCGGTAAAAAGTACATCACTTAATGCATTCAAAACACCGTTTCGAATTGATTTCGGGTGATCCTGAAAGTTTGACCATTTTGAAGAGGGTTCGTAAGATTTTATATAAAAAATTACCATAGGATTTTGCCAATCGGTATATTCATTAATGATCGCGGCTAAAATTTCCTCTCTGTGATAATCGTACAAATTTCTGACCAATGATCGGAAAATTTTCTCGCGTTTCTCCTTGGAGAGACCAATTTTCAAATCTTCGTTTGAAATCATATAATGTGCTGGATTTGAACTGATTCCAACTAGCAAATCAATTTCACGGAATAGACTTCCGTATTGAGCTGAGAGCATACTTTCCGGTCTATTTGGTACCATAAGACCATCAACGATTGGAGCAAAACCAGATAGGAATGTTGGAACATCGATTTTTCCGAGAGCTTTTGTGATGTTATCAGCGGAATGAACTTGCATACAACGAATTACTGTGTCAGTATTTTCATTGAAAGCTGATGTTAAAATTGATGGTGCACACTGAAAAATTATTTTTTAGAAGTTATTCCAGAAGAAGTTCAAATGATCAAAGAAAAGTTAGACTAACCCCAAGCTCTTGAGCAAGTTGCATAAAATATTGTTGCGGATTTTTCTGGAATGCCCAAGGTGACAATGAACTTCCATCGAGCATAATAGCCCTTTTGAACAGTCGTTTCACAGGTTGACTGAATGGAGAAGCCATCAATAGAGAAACTAAAGATGCGCCAGAACCCCATCCTGTGAGTGTTACTGCTTTGTTATCACCTCCAAATGATGGTAAAATGACATTGAGCATTGTAAGAGCTGAGACAAGATCAGAAATTCCACTATTACCGGCACAAGATGTTGATGATTCACATCGACCCATGAATCCTGAAAATAAAGAGAATTATAGTGTTTGTTAGTTTCAGAGCTTGAAATTTCTCAAAGAACCGCTCATTCAACATACCATAAACCCCTAATCGATAATTCAACGTAACAACAATAATATGACCATATGCAGCAAGTGTCGAACCATTTATAGCATTTCCAGAACCCCAACCATATTCATCACCGTGAATAACAAACATAACTGGAAGAAGATTGTCTCGCTGTGAACTTTCCAATCTCTCCGGCACAAAGATATTCATATATAAACAATCTTCTGATTGCTGTTTCAGTAATGGCAATATTCGATGAGTAAAATCAAATCGTTGAGCTGAGGTTTGTTGAAAAGCTCTGAAAAATAGTGGTAAGGAGGAGGAATTTGTATTGAGAAGAGACTCACTTTGTTTCACTAAGTTCTGGCAAATTGGTTTGCATACAAACGTTTGGTTGATTTCTGGCTTCTTTTGTCATATGAGTCCATTTTGCAGCAGAAATGGCAAAATTAAAACGATTCTGGAAAATATAATACATAGGAATTTCAGATTTGTCTGAAAATGTGGTAGAACAACAGATACAATCAGAATTCCAAAAATGGTTAATATACAAAAGTTATATAGATATGGATATATCTTTACTCACCTGACCCGTTGGTGGAACTCCATACGGAATTCCTAAATACTGTGCAACTGGTGGTAGATCATCGTCACCTTCCGGTGTAACCACTTCACCTTTCACCATTCCCCACGATGTACTAACTAATCTTACATCGTATGATTGACTGAAAAAACATTTTTGTTTCTAAAAAAAATGTGTAGAAAATAACCAACAAACCTTGTAGGAAAAATGAAGCAAAAAAATAGAAATAAATAAAATATTCGTCCTGATTTCAACCTCATCTCATCATTCCATATAATCAACAAATCTGAAGAAATAGAAAAAAGTTTGGGTGGTCAACAAAAGAAAAAATAGGAAAAAAAGCAGAAAAAAGAGAATTGAGGTAATGTCATCGGATGTTGCTGTCAAAGAAACATCGTTGAAAAGAATCTCATGTTGTTTTTTGTTTTTTGTATGTTTCACATGAAGATGAATGAGACAACATAATATTTCGGATTTTTTTCGATATGAAAATAAAAATGTACATAAATCTAACCGAATGAGCAGCAAAAAACGGTAGTCATTAAAATGTGACGCATTTGGATGTGACAAATAAATAAGCCGGCTTTCAATAGTATTATGCAAATTTATTTTTCTTCGCCCTTAAATCACTTTATGTATGTTTCTGCGTGAGAAGTAAAAACGGAAAATGGTGAACTTTTTCTTTTTTTTTTGAGTTGAGGTTTTTTGTTTGTGCTCCAAACAAATACGTGAAGTTTTACGATAAAAGAAACCAAGTAAAAAACACCAAGGTGGCTGAGAAACTAACAAATGAGTGAATGAATGAAAGTGGTTGAAAATGAAATTAGAAGCTTCGTCGTCTACTTTGTCTACTTTTTTTTTTACTATCCCAACCCATTCTTATTCTTAAGATTCTTTTGGGCTTTTTGAAAGTTTCCCCGGGGAAAATTGCATAATTAATGATTTCGTGTAAAATCATTGCAAAGAAAAGATGACTAGATAAGCAAGAATGAATTGAAACAACAACAAACGGAAAAAATAACAAGCCAAAGGAAATTGAGCTTTTTTATAAGGGTTGAATAATAAACTTGTGAAAGTAAAAAGGAACCTTCTCCTTGGAAAAAATCTTTTCAGAAAAAATGAACTTTTATGGCTCAAAATTGGTGTTTTGGGAACATAGAAAATGTTTCAATTTTTTAAGACTGGTTTTCGAGAATCATTTCATTAATGGGCCTATGCAGAGTAATATTTTGTAATGAAAAACTATAGAAAACCCTATTTTTCCTATGCAGAAAAATGCCGAAAAAACAAAATATACAGTGTACTATTTTCGAGTGGAGTCAACACGAAATTGAGAGAGCGCAGACAGAAAAAATAGTTTCTTGTATTTTTTGTGCGAAAAATCAATTTGTCTGTCTGCACTCTCTCAATTTCGTGTTGTCTCCACTCGCAAATAGTAAACTGTATATTATGTTTTGTCGACATTTTTCTGCTTAGGAAAAATATGTTTTTTATGTTTTTATTACAAAATATGATTTTGCATAGGTCCATAAAATCGAGTTACTAAAAATACCCTTTTTACCACTATACCCGTACAAAAAACAAAATAATCGTATACCTTTTTGTTCAAAAAATGTTTCGAAAAAGTGCTAGAGTGGAGGACAAAATAAAAAAGTAGAAACGAGGGAGGATAAATGCAAAAAATCCCTAAACTTGTCGTCTTTTCAATGGACAAAGTAATCAAATTTGCAAATTCGAAAGAGGTTATTTTTTCTGAGATTCACTGAAAATAAAAAGCTATCACTTGAAAACTGAAAACATACAAAAAAAAGTCGGGTAAATTGGAAGAGAGTGTCTTTCTGTTTTTTTCGCTTGTTGTTCATTAAGGTACCCAGGAAAAAAGAAGAAGTTTTTCTACATTATAGGATAGGAGGCAGTCAACGAACACATTTTCCTTTTCAATTGTACTTTTTCTCGTTAAAAAAAGAGGAACAAAAAAAAACGGAATAAGTTAGTTGAATTTTTTCTACTAAAGGAAAAGATTGTGCATGAAATTGGGTTGAGAATTTTTTATTGAAGGGGGAATGACTGAAATAATTTTTCTGTAAGTAAGAACGAAAAAATTAATATGTAATTAAAGTTGCAGTAATTCTAGGGTACACTAGTTATACGTTTTGTGAAAGTTATTTTATCGAGTATCTAAGTTTTTGTACAAAGTTTGGGACTTTTTTCGAAACTCGAAACCAAATTCCAATTTTTTCAAGTCTATCTAGTGAAAAACTTTCTTCACAACAAAAAAATAAAGTTCTGAAAAAGAAATCTCATTCTAGATCATCCATCTCAATCTACACATGTTTTTCATCCTAAAAAAGTACACCCATGAAAAAACGAGCCAAGAAAAAAAAAACACGAACTATGAAAAGATGAAAGTGAGATATGTTGCGGAATCGAACAGAAATATCTAACAAACTCTCAAGAGAATTTGGTGTCCAACAGATTATCGGTGCATTAAGAGAAAGAAAACAAAACATGCTAATTTCCATGTCCAAAAATATATGTCTACTCTACTCAATTCGTAAAAAAAGAAAAGAAGAATATATTTTCGGAGCAAAAAAAAACATGGATAGTAAAAAATAAGTGAAAAAATAAATAAGGAACAAATTACTATTCAATAATTGATGAGCTTAAAAAAATAGAAAGACACAAAAAACACAGGGAAATAGAAATAACAAATAAAAGAGAAGAATTCTGGAGTTGGCATCTTCTTTTGCCTTCGTCTCCCAAGGCTGTCGTATGTTATTCAAATGAAAATTGACAATTTTTTGAGTGCTGACAACTAGCGGAACATTTTTTGTTCGTGTTGGTGTGTTGTCTTCCGACATAACGTCAATATACATTCATTCACATTGAAAAAAATTATATATACGAAATACCTATAAAACTTGATGAGCCACTTTATTTTGCTCTCCAACCAGGTGGAAATGTCAATTAACACAGAGTTCTTTTTTTTGCATTAAACTCTTTTTCAAAGTATCTAATTACAATTAATTACGTCAAAAAAACTAGGATTTTTTTTGCAAATAGAAAAACTGATTTCTTTCCAATCCGCTTTTTTTTCCAGAAAAGGTAAAAAATAATATAAAATCACTTTTCTGTAAAATGTTTCTGAATTATTCGATCATTTTTAATAAAACACTTGAATAGTTGAGAAAAATGTCAAGTTTTGCAGAAAAACTTCAAAATTTTCAGACAAATTAGAATTTTCAGTCCTGTAACATTTTGTTTTAAAAATGCATTCAATTCTGAATTTTTCTCAATTCTCCGTTTTCAGATTGAAAATCAAAAAATCAAACGCAACATTCTAACATAAATTTATTCAAAAAGTCAGCTGTGAGCAATAAACTTAAATTGATTCAACTCACTCAATTCAATTTTCCAACCCCCTTTCCGAGTTCTTAAAAGGTCGAACATCTTTCTTTTATAAAAAAAACATTATCACAAAAAGTTCAAGGTACAAAGAAAGGAAGAAAAGTTTGGAAACATTCCTCATCAATAGTGCAAACATAAAAAAATTGAGTGATTTTTTGTTGTCAAATTACACTGCAAAAATCTTGTCGTTTTTCAAATATCTTGATTGTTAGGATGTTCGTTTGAGAAATTGGAGGCAACTAAAAACTGAAGAGTTTTGTCATTTTGAAGTTGGAATAAAACATGATTTTATATTCAGATTTCATTCAGTTGAAATCTTGAAGATAAAGAAAACACTGTGGGTCATAGTGGTGATAAATTGATAAATTTAACTGAAAGAACACCGACGAGGTCACCACTCAATCTTTTTCACTAGATAATAAATTTGAACTCTCACTCTGATAAAGTGTGACTAAAAATAAAGAAAAACAATTTAAGTTATGAAACTGGATGATCTGGAAGAATGTTACAAAGTATTCATGTGAGTCATAATAGTGAACGTTGAAATACCCATCAATGATTTTGAAATACTTGAAAATTGGAAAAACAATGCTCGAAAACATTCCAACACTTCTCATCTCAAAATAAACAAACATCTCGTCTTGGAAACATGTAAATAATCAATGATTTCATATAACCTGATTTTTTCATCAGTTAGATTTTGGTTCTAATGAACTGGTTTGAATTCTAAAATAATTGTTAAAAATAAAAACAAGGAAAATAAAAGTGTACATGACAAGCAAAGAATTAGAAAAAAAAAAGAATTTTCTTGTCAATTCGTTTTCCCGGTCCGGGAGCAGTCTATTGCTCTCGCTCTCTTTCCACTTGAAAAAAAAATCTTTTTTCATTTCTTCATATCTTTTCTTTATCTGCGTCTTCTTTGCATCAATGCAATATTCCAACATGTGTATATTGTGAGTGTGTCTATGTCTGTTAGAAGTGTACGTCAAGGTATATCGATATACACACAACAAAATATATAGATAGATAGGATATATTGATATTGAGCTCCATCGATATATTTCACTCTTCATATCATATTATCACGCTCCTATTTGTTTTCAAGATGCACAACAAAAACACAAAAAGCAAAATTCGCAATTTGTTTGTGTGAAGAAGATTCAGATTTCAATGGTCACAGCGAGTATGAGAAGATTTTTCCTAGCAAGAGGGTTTGAACAAAGTTTGATGATTCATAGAGTTTGAAAAAATGATATTGAAACATCGAATAAATAACTCTGCAGACACGAATAAAAAACTCAACTATTTGCAATTTTGAGAGCAGTTATTGAAAAAAACAAAAACATATTTTTAAAACCAATCATTTGCTCATTAAAATGTCTTGAAAACTTATATTTATCTGAAATTTGTCGATTTTTTCGGAATTACTAAAATTGTTTTCAAGTTTTGATCTTTTCTCTCCAAAAATGCTTTTTTCAAAAACCTTTCCGATTCATCATCATTTCAACCACATCAATCTCATAAAATTATTATCAATTATCATCTTTTGCTCGACTTTTTTCTTTCTCTCTTTTAGTTTTGTGTAATATCAGTAGTCTCTGTTCCACCAGTGATATCCCCAAAAATATATATCAAGATATATCTGAATGGTCTTGTAAAAAATTGATGATAACATCGTCTTGCTCTTTTTTTCGCAATCATTTCATTGACGTAAACGCGTCACGTTTCGGATAAAAAAAGAACGAGCAACAACTGTTTTGTTGTGTTGCTTGCTTGTTTCGTTTGTGTTTTTTCACTTGCTCACTCTCTCTCTCGGTTTTTTTCTTTTTGATGTTGGACGAATCAGTGGTTTGTCACAAGTGGATTACATGGTGTTAACAACAAAACAACCGAGTTTTATCGATTCAATCACAAATTGCGGGATTTACTGGAAAAAATGCGAAATTTATTAGATTCAAAAAAACAAAAAACTGGGCGTTTTAATGAAAAATCCAATGATCGAAAAAATTTGAAACACATAATTTTTCTCATAAAAATGAGTCATGGGTTCCTCCTTCTGACTGAAAATGTTTTTCATTTTTTTTTATTTATTGAGAATATCAAGTCTGAAATCATTGTTTACGATGCTGCCTGTTTTGCAGATTTTAACCATGTAATCACTTTTGATGAAACTAACTCTCACAATAAGTCCAGTAAACGAATTTAGTCAAAAACTATCAAACGAGAAATTGCATGATTCAAAACATTTCGTAGCAAAATTTGCCAATAAAAATTGTTTTTGAATCATAAATACGTTGAAGTCTTGGTTTTCGAATGAGTTGAATTGAAGTTGATTTTCGAATGAGTAAAATTGCGTCAACACGCTCAACGCTGCCGCATTTTTTGTTTGCGCGAATAAATAAGTTGAGGAATTTGTGAATTGTGTTTCCTAGTAGTTCTTATTCTGAAAGTTTTACTTTTTGTCTATTGTCGCGGTTTTGAATCGCTATTTATGTATCTAAATTTGTAGTCAGTTTTAGACCATAAAAGTCTGAAAACACTAGACGACGCAATCTGGTCACTTATGCATTATTTTTGTTCTCTAGAGTAGGTAAAAATTTGTTTGTACTTTCAAAGTTTAAAATTTTAGATACGAAAAATAAAATATGAATTTTGTCATCGAAAAATGGGTGAATAGACAAAATTCCAGACTGGCAGTATTTCATGTTTCTTCAATGTCTCTTTCTCTAACTCTTCACATTTCTGGTCATTTCGAAATCACATATTTCTGGTATTTTTATATCTGACTCACAAAAATGTCTCAATATTTTTTTTTCACTTTTTTCTTTTCCGATGAATACTCATTTTTTTCATGAAAAACTCGTCATCTGCAATAAAAAGATGCGTGGACAACTATTGATTTTTATGAACAAATGTAGCTTGGCAAACAGATTTTCTATGAAAAGTTCATTATAAAAATTAAGAGAGGGTGGTTTCTTGAAAATTGAGATAGCTATAATTAATTTGTTACACTTTTTTCACATTTTATATTGATTTTATAAACTTTTTTTTTCTTTTTGATTATATTTAGTTTTCATGACACGGGCCTCAAGTAATTCGAAGCTTGACTATTTGTTTTGTCAAAATTAACTTCCGAGTTTTTTATTTGAGTTCAACAAACAGTTCAACCAACCCGTCCAAAAATTGAAATAATTATACGTATAACTGCAGAAAAGTAGTGGTAAAAACTTGAATCAAATTTTTGTCAGTTGATCCAAATTTCAAAATAACATTTTCAGGATTCATGGTTGACGCAAGCTATTTTTTTTATGAATTTTATTTCAAAAATCTGTAATTCGGAATATTGCCAGTAAAAACGCTGTAGAGCATACAAATTGTGTTACGTCAAATTAATTCCACCTAAAATAGATCTTCTGATGCATGTAGAATGAAAATAACTTAATCTACACTTCTAGTGAGAAAAAATAGAGAAATTATAGGTGAACAAAGAATTTGAAAGAACTTCGAGTCTTTTTAGATTATATTTTCTTTGTTTTACGATTCTAGCAATGCCATCATTATCCTGAAATCTCTAGTATTTTTTTAAAACTCCAAATATAGTTTTTACTATAGATTTACTTTGTTAATAAAAATCTTTTCCATCTCTAACAAATTGTAAACTCTTTCTTTGTTCTCAACCTATAATTAACATGATTCACATGTGCACCACCTGGAGCCACATTTTTATTTTATATCTTTTTCTGTTTCTATCAGCATTACTTTTTACTTATTTTTTTCGCGGAAATTGAGGTTCACAAATTATTTTAGAATCAGAAATGTCCTTCAAAAGTATACTTTCCAAATTGGCAAATTTTTCCGAACCGATGAAAATAGAGATAGCTTTGTTTTTTTTCTTATTGAAACAACTTGCAACCCATTTTTTATTGTTTTGTTTGTCATAAAAGTGACATTTTCCCAAAGACATTTTCCTTTATTTCTTTCCAAAATGTGTTATCTTTAACACCTATACCTGTTAATAATATACAAAAAAAAACAAAGCAAAGAAATGTGCGACTGTCGGTTTGTCTAGGTTCTCTCATTGTTCTGTACTCTCTCACATGGACTAGTCCCTGTCTGTTTGGCCTAGAGAACCAAACAAGCGTTCTTTTCGCTTTTTTATTCGAGCTTCGAAAAACTGTTTCATTTTTATATATTTTTTTGTATTATCTAACTATCAATGTATGAATTTTATAAAATAAAAAATAATCAATTTCAGATTGGCTGATTAACTTGGAATAATGCCCGACGAAGACACTGATAATGAACAGCGATCATTTACAGTGAGTTTTTTGATTATTTCGAAATAAATAGTGTGTATTGACGCTATTTGAATTTTCAGCCTCCACCAATGCTTGAAAGAGAAGATTGGCAAGATGAAGAAGAAGAAAATGGAGGAAATAATAATGCTGATAATCAAGAAGAAGCTGGAGAATTAGAAGAAGAAGGTGTCGTCCGGAATCATGAGAATGGAACTAATGGTTATCACAATCATCCCGTTTTAAACGGACATTTGAATGATATTCAAGAAATCGAAGAGGAAGCATCTGAAGAATCACAAGATGGGCAAAACATTCAAAGTTCTAGCGAAGAAAACACAGTAGCATATGCGGATAGTGATAGATTCTCATCAGATTATGATGATTATACTTATCGACCAACACAAAGAGAGATTGAAGACAAAGAAAATGAGGATCGAGCAAGACGGAATATGCCACCAGTTAGTAATATGCGATATAGTTATGAAGATGACGACGATGATGATATTGATTATGAAGAAGATTCTGAAGAGGAAGACGATTCATCTGATTGTAGTGATATAGTTTATCAAGAAAACTATGAACCACAGTTTATTGATCATTTGCCAGAAGATCTTCGGAAGCAATTATTAGGAGATAATCCAGGAAAACCGTCTCCAATGGATTCGGATTACTATCTTCGTCATGGAAAGATGCCACCTCAACCTTCAACTTCAACATCCCATATTCATCAACACATAAAAGATAACGTAAGTTCGGATACCGATAATATTTTCTGTTCACTTACTAACAATAAATTTGTTTGAAAATTATTTTTTAGTTGAAATAACACACCTGATTTCTGATTTCAGGCTAAACTACGAAAAAGAAATCCAAAGTTGGATATATCGCGAAAAGAATGGTTGTCTGCTGATCCTTTTATGTTTGATGATATTTATCGATGTTTTGTTTGTCATGATATTGCACAATGGAATCTTGTTCTAACAGTAAGTTTTTTTTCGAAAATTTAAAATATTGATTAAAATTTTTGGCACAGTCAAATCTCTTGATTGATTTTCATAACATTACATTCAATTATTTCATGCGGATTAGTATTTTATGAAATAGAACCAAGATAAAATACTTTTATGCACATAAAATAACACAATATCATAAATTCAAACGAAAATTTCATTTCTTCAAATTATATTTAATAGAAAAAACTAACCAAAAAATATGTATTTCAGTGTGACCATATATTCTGCGGCGGCTGTCTAACTGGCCAAGAAGAAAAGTGCCCAAAATGTGAAGCACCAATTCTCTCTGCTCGCCACGATCGCGTAATTGAAAAATTATTACCTCGTCTGAAACTTGATCTACTTCGGAAACAACCATATTGTCCAAAACCAGAAAATCCATTCGCAGCTAGAAATCTGCCACGTTATGCAAAAGCAGAAAAACAATCAGAAGAGCAGTCAGAGTGCTCCACAAGTCGAGTATGTATTTTTTTCTAGCACGAAACCCTATAATTTTTGTGATTTTTACAGAAACCGGAACCGTTACAAAACTATTCTTTGCCGCATGTTGAATTGGTTCGAATGTATGAAGAAGATCTAGACGAGAATTCTTTCAATTATGTAAGTTTTAATCATAGACATGAGAACATTTTTTAGAACAATGTTTTTTAATTTCAGAGAGAAACTCAAAAAAGATCTCGATTATCGAAAAAGACTGTCAATTCAAGTTTCGATCACAGAATGATTCTGGATTTCAGTAAAATGGGTTGTCCGGTCATTTTACGACCAAGAAATATTGGAGTGAAAGTGCATAGAAGAACAATGCACTTGATACTTCCAGAAACAGCATACGGTTAGTTTTATCATTTTTGAGAAAAATAAGTATTGAGAAATAAATTATCATTTTCAGTTGGACACCTTGAAGAATACGTTCGACGATCAATTCGTGACCAGCTGCCAAAAAATGGAGATTCAATGGTTGAAATTTCATTTCGACGGATCAAATACTCAAGATTGAGAAAAGATATACGAGTAACTTACACAGTATGTTTTGTTTTTTTTTCCAATTAAAAACTGAGATGAGTTCGGGAAGCGTTGACATTTGAAACAAGAAGTAAAATATTTATGAATCGTGGTTTACATGAAAAACAGAAAAAAAGTTTAAATTCTGATTTGAAATCAACATTTTTTAACTTCCGAAATATTAGAAAACAAATAAAACTTTCTTATAGTCATTCAAAGCCTACATATAATGATTTTTTCATTTTTCAGAGAACTGGAAAAACCAAACCGGTTGGAAGATACAAAGAGCCAATGTTAGTGTATTGTCAAAATATAAACGAACCACGCCTTCATAATCGCTGGACATTAAACGAATATCGGGTACATTTCAAAATCAGCCAAACCTCACCAATTGAACTCACATATGATATCAAGCCATTGCCCGAGTTTCAACACTTGATTGTATAAATTTTAGAAACTCTCGTCAAACTATACGTTTTTTTTTCTCATTCACCGCACTCACCCTTTACTCACAACTATTTTTTTAATCAATCATGTTTGTTAATCAACAACTAATCCGGAGTTTTGTATACCGGTCCTACTTTTATCTTTGATTTGAGCCCAATTTTTCCTTGAGATAGCTGTACCCCTTACTGTTTTATGATATTTGTGTCAAATGATTTCAACGTGTGAATATGTTCCAGCGCGGTAGATTCAGAAAATCAAATATTTGTACTTTGCATTTAAATTTTAAATGATTTGCTCTTGATTTTGTTATATTCTTATTGAAACAAAGTTTTATTCGCCCAATTTTGTTTTTTCTTTAATTTTTGTCACAGTAAAATTTTTCAATCATTGTTCTTTAGCAATTTGTGACATAATAAATAGTTCTTGCAAAACTTTGCAAATAAATATATGTTTCACTCAATTTTGTACCTTATGACGTTGCAAAGTTTTGGAAAATGATTTTACATGAATAATATGTAGCAGCTTATCGAAATGGAACACGTTTTGTTTTGGAAGTATCATGATTAATGAATTTTCGGAACGCCTTTTCCTAATCCCTGTTCAAGCTTTTAATGACTGAAAAAGGGTTTCTTGGCGCTTTTTTTTGTTGTTAAAAATGCCCATAAAACTTGAAGAACATTTGTGTTCATTTTAAAAATGCAGGTTGAAACAGCAGCGCTAAATATTCATTGGTATAATATTCTCCGTGCAAAAAAAAGTGGTTCGTAAATGCATAACTAATAAGGTGCAAATGTTTTTTCTTCTTCATTTTTCCATTTTTAAACATTCAAGCGGTGTGCGAAAAAGTCAAGTGTGGTCTTCATCATTCATTCCTAGAATGAAATTGCTATATTTATGCCTCATCTTTATTCAGAAAGTATTCTGTAGGCATAAAGGCAAAAAGTGTTCTGAATATATATGTATAAATATTTCTCTCCTTCTCCTACTCATTTTTCTTGTTTTTACCTTTCTTTCTTCGTTTATTAGCTCAATCGAAAATCACTTGAAAATAGCAAAAAAGAATAAAATTGCAAATAAATTTGTTGTTTTCATTCTTCTTTTCCATTTTTTGTTCCTCATGTCATGTCAGTCAAGAACTCACCAAATGTAAATTGCATTCATTCATCGAATAAAGTAGGTGTACTATTCGCCTTTCTTTCTTCGTTTTTTTTATTTCCAAAAATATACACCTCTATGATATTATTGCACGTCACAAAAATGAACTAATTAAACGTGTTTTTCAATGGGAACCCACTCCTTCTCTTGAGCGAAAAAAAAACTAACAAGAAAAAAAATAGAATTTGGTTGTTGTTTTTGGTGAAGCTCAAACTGTGATTCTCGTGTTCAATGGATGAACAAATTAGTTTGAACCAACCAAATTTTTCCATCTTTGTTGAAAACAAAAAAACTTTTTCCTGGAACGTATTTTTTCTTGATTTCCAGAAGTTTGATTGACAAGGTCGTTTATCTCAAATCACTTGATTGATAAAACAAATTTCAGTACAAAACGAGATTCTGAAAATCACAATTTTGTGATTCTTCAAGTTTTAGAAAATAGTTTTTTTTTCAATCACAGATCAAATTCTGCTATGATAATCTACTTATTGCGGATTTTTAAGATTTGTTCCTACATTTTTTTTCTAGCAGGTCTGAATTATACAAAGTCACAGTATTTTATTGTTTTTAAAAAATTGGACGCCAAACTTAGACCATATTTTTTCAATTTTTCTGTTTATTAACGCAACGAAAATATAGGCTCAAGTTAAAAAAAAATTGAAAAAATGTAACTTTAGGTAATTTCAGTGGAACATCAAAGTTCAGAAGAAAAATTTCAGTTTTGATTGATTTCCAATATTTTGTCAAACGATATACTTTGTTAGTATTTGTGTGTAGCTAATACTTCAGTGACATTTTGAAAAATACTTTTGGCTGAAGTTCACAACTATCAATTATCAACTAGTTTTTGGTTTTTGACACAACTCTATCGTTTAGAATTTTTCCCTGACTCATTTGAAAATCCTCAAATTTCCTGTTGACTATCCCAAATTAGATTAGAATCAGTTTCTGCAAAAAAGTGTATATACATCAAAAAACAGATAACAGCTGGTGATCTAATAGAGAACCTAGTATGAAATTTGAGCTTTCGAAGTTTTAGTGCCCACTTGAAATATTGGTCAAAAACATCTCATTGTCAATGATTCTCTTGATTTTGAATAGTTCTTCATGCTAGGAATTTGATGAAAACTTATAAAAATTGGTCGTAAATTTCCACGAGTTATTCCAGGCTTAAAAATATGTCCAAAATGAATACGAGGAAAATCCCCCCTTCAACTCGTAATCATATTGTCTGTTATTTCGAATCTCTTTATTTTATCCTATTATATTATTTTCGCATCGTTACTGTGATTCAAAAAATGTTCTGAAAATGCACTTGTATTGACACATTTCGTTTTGACTAAATAATACATAAATGAAAAATATGCACAAGTCTTCCGGAAAAACAAACAAGTGCCATTCTGTGAGCCTAGTTCTAGTCCTAGTACTACATATAATGTATGGATGTTGTCAAAATCTATTTTGGCTGTGTTTTTCGGAATTTTACACTTTAACCGATCGCCAGAGATATAAATAGATGAGCTAGGTTATAATTGGACCATTTTCAAAACAACTATGACGTTTTTATTTCTCTAAATTTTTTGTTTGGAATCCTGAACCGCAATTATTTTCAAAAGTGTTTCAAAAATCTATATCCTCACATCATTTTTTCATTCTGGAAATTTTTGATCAGTTTTTTCTCAATGATTTTAGTTTGCTGAATTTGCTGAAAAATTAGATATCTAACAATTTTCTCTGCAAAATACTTTGTCCCATTAATTATAATTTTGTTTGGAAACTTTTTTTTTGTTCAAATTTTGAAAATAATTTGTTTTCGAAGAAGTTACTCTTTTCAAAACCTCTTATTTATTTTTTTGCTTCTAGACATAGTTGGTTTGGTTCGGTTTTTCTCAGAATCAAGTCTTGCTGAAAAAATTTATTTCTAGGTTGTTTAGTATTCAGTTTTGTTCCCTTTTCTATTAACATGTCCTAAAAAATTCCAGTTTATCAGACTTGTTATTCTGATATTTCTCAAGTTAATTATGGAGTCTAAAAAATCAAGATATCTTCGAAAATCACTTCTTTTTGGCTTCCAATGTCAACATAATCCAATATTTCTTGAATATTTTTTATAATAATATTTTAAATGACACGGAACTGGAATTTTTTAAAGAGCCGTCCATTTCCAAGAAATTTTTGAATTGTGGGGAAAACATTTTAATTCTTTATTTTCACGTAACAATGTTTCCTCACAAATATTTTGGTTATTTGTTTTTTTTTTCATGATATTCTATTCCAAAACTTATTTCGGAGTTTCACAGTTAGGCGAAATAAGACTTATCTCATGTGTCAAACACAGTGCATTCAAAATGCGCTTGAGTACATTTCTTTTTATTTGGGTTCACCTATTTTATATATTGTCAAAATATTCAAAACTCTTTGTTTGGTAGATCAAAAATGTCTTCATTATTCTATGTAGCTTGTTTTGTTGCTCTCATTTCAACACAAAATTGAAGTCCGATCAAAACATTTTTAGACTGGACAAAAACAAATAGAAGCCAAAACCTATTCTCTTCAAAAATCTATATTTTTTTCTTCAAAAAATTGATCCCGAATTTTGTGTGACTCTGTTTTCTGGTTGTCAGAGTAGGATTGTTCCCAGACTCCCAAAGGAAAAACTCCCACATTTTTTCAAAGTTCTATACAATTACTAAAGTGGAGGTTTATTTCTAAAAAAAATCTGGTTCTGACTGGAAAAATCTTCCTGGGATCTTCAAAATCTTTCGGATTGATGAAAATAATTTTTGCCAAATGATTTGAATTCAAAAATTAAGAACAAATCTATTCTGAATAATTGATATTGAACCTCCCTGTTTTTCCCTTTTACAAATTCTGTTGTTTTTATTATCTGAAAACATCGGTCGATGTACTTCTACATGACAAATCCATTTTGCTAAATTAATCCTTTTATTAATCTAATTTGAAAATAGAAGAAAAAATGTTTGTAAAAATAGCCAAATTTATTGTTTCACAAAACCCTCCTTTCTCGTATGTTTCATGTTTTTTCTTCGTTTTTTTCAACCTAAAACGCAGACAGCAATGTTATTCCTAATTAGTGTCAAAATAAGTGTCCTTATCCTAATTTTTCATAATTTTATTAGTTTTTGTTGTGTTCTGTTTTATGGTGAGCTAGCTCAGGAAAACCCCATCCCTAAAAAGTTTTATTTGCATTTTATGTGAAACTTATTACTTTGTGTCTCATATTTTTCTGAGAATTCGGAATGTGATGAGATGAGATGAAATGAGCAAGCCAGAAAAAAGGAACTGCAATTTTTTATTTGCTAAGAAAAATGGGGATGCGACGATTAATTAGAATTTGAGATTTTCAGCGTTCGAAAATCGAGCAAATATCAGAAGAAGCAAAAAAATCATGAATATTCCGCCTCACAACAATTATGCATAATATTCTGCTCTTTTTTTCTCATTTTCATAGTTCTCAGAATATACATACATTTCTCTTTTCAAATTACCAAAGGTATAAGCTTTTTGATCCTTCTTGATGCTTTCTGAACAACTTTTTTCTTCATACATATATCGTCTTTCTTTCTATTTGTGAAAATATGAAAAAATGATATTAAAAGACAGGATGTGTTCTTTCCTTTTAGGACAAAAAGCTTTCAGGTTTTTATAATGAACTTTGAGAGCACATCTCCATTATATGTTCAGTTTATTTTTGACCAAAAATGAGCTCGGTTTTTTTTCTTATTATCAAATTTTCACAGCAAAGTTAATCAACTGCAAAAAAATAACTGATCTTTAGATTGTTCAGAACAGGAAGTATTGAGTTTGACTTTTTCCAAAAACAGTACATATTTTTAAAGTTGACATTTCGTAATTTTTTCAGGATGAATTATTTGACCGTTTTTTTGAGATGAACACTTATGTAAATCGAGTTTCTTACGGAAAATTTTACGAATTTCACCTACCCGATATCACATTCTTTTCAAGACCAAAAACTTAATCTTTCACCCTAATAATGTAAAGTTCAAAAGTTTAGTTGTTCCTGGTATTAAGACCGATGTTAATCCCGTCGCCTCCAATGTTCATTTATTTTTTACCATGTTTATGTAAAACTGAAATTGGTTTCTGCGCAGGTTTTTTTTGTTAAAACTAATTATTTTTTCTTCTGTTTCTTTCTATTTTTGCGGTAGACGAAACACACCAAAAAACTTCAAAATTGGATTAGAACAGTTGTCCTACATTAATCCAATCCATCTATTCTTTTTTCTCTATAAAAGAAATGAGGCTGAAAAAATACATGTATATTTATTAATGGAAGGAATAGAAGATAAATTATTTCAGAATAATTATGAAAGGCTGATCTCTCATTCACATCTTTTTTTGCACAAACCTCATTGGACCGTGTCCGTTTTACTCTCATTTTTTTGAATTCTTTTCAATATTTTGTCTTTCCCAAATTTATGTTTTTTTTTTTGAAAAAATGACGAACCATATTTTCAACTTTCCCTGCTCTATATATTGAAACACCGTCAAGAAATGTTCAAAAACAGAAATTTAAAAAATGCATTGCGAAAAAGACATTTTCAATGTATTCTTTTTCTCATCGCGTCTCATCAGAAAAAAGGGGAGGAGATTTCGTTTTTCTCAGGGTGACCGTTTTGCTCAGTTTTTTTTCTGAAATATTTAACATCTTCCTTCCTTTTTTTTCAAATTCTATTTCAAAATGCAAAACACTTCACTTCAACTCAACTCATTTTTTTATTTATTATGAGGACTCATATCTTGTTTTATTTATATATTTTCAGTAGGAACATTCATTTATCTCTTTTTTTTGAATATAATATATAAATGTTCATAAAATGATAAATTATGATAAATTGAATATTTTCAGAAGAGGATAAAAAAGTGATAAAATTTGGGGGAACAAGAAAAAAAGTGCATAAGATGAACGATTCCGATTCTGAGTCTCAAAATTGCACATATGAAGCAAGTCCAATTGATCCAATCAGTGTGTATATTTATCTTGTTGCAATTCCGCTGGTTTGTGTTATTGGATCTGCTGCGGCTGTTTTGTGTATCATTGTATTCACAAGAAAACAAATGAGGTACAGTTTCATTTCACTTAAGAAATCAAGTTTTGTTATCGCTCTATGTTTCGTAAACATCAATTTCCGTTGTATTTTGTGTTATGATTAGCTGAATTAATAAGCGAGCACACTACGTATCAATAGTTGAAAATGATTAGTTTAGAAAAAAGTGCAAAAATATTAGTCACTAATTGTTCTAATTTTCCAAAAGAAAAAAAATTCCTCATGAACTTAATTTAAAATGTTGCATTTCTTTCAGATCATCTTTGAATGTATATTTGGCTGGATTATCAGTGTTTGATTTCAATGTGCTGCTATTCAGTTTTCTAATCTACATGCCATTGCAAGGTTGCGTTTTGCAGGTAAAATGTTGCTTTTGATTTCAATTACCAATTCTAACCTATGAAATATTCATATTTAATGTTTAAAATAAACCAACCTAAATAAAAAATCTCATAATTTCTGATCGACCAATTCGAATTTCTAATTCAAGAAAAAGAAAAAAGTTTGTGTTTTTGACATGTTTTCTAATACGAACATTGATATTCAAAAATTGTATCTAGAACTAGACATGTCATATTTTTCTTTTTCTTCTTTTTTTTGAGTACGGGAAATGCACATAATCATTTTGCAATTATCTATTCAAGACCATAGAAAACATTTCTAGGTAAAGTATTTTTTGCAGTCGACAGAAAAACATTGTCAAATGGGGTTCACCCAAGGGAATTCATGTGTGTGTGTGTGTGTCGAGTAATTTTGCCAATACGACTTGTGGTAAACTAGAATGAAAAAAGGATTAACAGAAATCAAGAAAACCTTTTCGAATATATTATATTTCCTGGAACAAGAGTTTTGTTTATAAATCCATGTATATTTTATTTCATGAAAAAAAGGGGAAGAGAAAGAGACAGGAAGTTAATTTGTTCAAAAAATAAAACGTGAATAACTAAAGCTTGATGTTATAATCCGGAAATATATAATCATTTTTGAAAAGTTCGAACATCTTCTGAATGCGAAAAACAATAACATAATGTTTCAGGGTAATACAAACACTCGGATATGTCAATTTTTCTGGAATTCCACACCATACACTCTTCCAATTTCGAATATAGCACAATGTGGAAGTGTTTGGACATGTGTTGCTGTAACAGTTGACCGATTTCTAGCCGTGAATTACCCGCTACATAGTAAAATTTGGTGTACACCAAGAAAGGCATTGACGATTCTGACAATCATCACAATCTGCAGTATTCTCTATAAGGTTTGTTTGAAGTTTTTCGAGATTCTTTTGTAATTTTTGGTTTTTAGGCTCCTGGCTTTTTTGAACTCTCCAACAATAGTTGTGGCCAACTTCATGTCACAGCTTTAAGAGCAAATGAACTGTATATCAAATATTATGTGATTTATGGATATATCATTGTTATTGTGTTGATTCCTTGGACCACTATGATTATTTTAAATATATTTGTAGTGAACGCCGTTCATAAAGCTTACAAAATCCGAAGATCTATGCAAAGCGGCAAAAACAATCAAGAAGAGAAAGATCGAAGGTGAGTCTTGGTCTGTCTGGATCTCAGAATAAATGAGATTTTTAATAACTCAAGATAAAATGAATTCTTGCTGCTCCAAGATGCAAAAAATGCTCATCTTGAACTATTTATATGAAAAAAACTCCCACATTCATTTCATCTCATTTCATTTTATTTCAATTCATTTTGAAAAAAAACAGAATGAACAAAGAAAAAAACAAAGAAAAAACATACATAGTTAGTAATTCAATAGATTCACTATTTTTAGCATTCAAACAAAAATTTGGAACTGAAAAAAACATTGGGTTCGAAAAAAAAAACAATACATATGTATGTATGTATGTAATAAACTGTTTTAGTTTAAGGTGCACTTTAATGGCAATCGCAATGGTTTCAACATTCTTGATCTTCAATGCACCTGCAGCTGTCAATAACTTATCCGAATTTTTTTCGGTTAATTTGGGATATTGGGGACCAATCGGAAACTTGTTGGTGTGTGTGAATAGTGCTTCAAATATTGTGATATATTCATTATTCGGCGCAAGATTTAGACACATGTGTGTTTTGATGTTATGTGGAAGGAATAGCAAATGGATGGATTGGCTTAAAGTTGGCAGGTATATAGTTTATTTTGTAGAGTGTACTATCAAAAAACACTCTTTCAAAATGTCAATATTAAATTTTAGAAGTATGGTCAGTGACTGGGATGCCAGAGATGGAACAACACGAAAAACAAGTCTCGACGCGTCAACAGCTCTTCTCAGCGCAAGAGTAAGTTTCATTTTCCAATGTGTCAAAATAGTACACAATTTATTGGGTACTATATTGCATTTTCAGCGGATGACCTTTTCACATTTTATAACATATCCAATTGTAAGTTTGTGTGCAATGATTATTTGATAATGAAATGAAATGAATTGAAATGATATGATATGATATGATAATGCATGGTGTTTCCTATTCTTATCCTTATTTTAATCTTTCCTTACTTTTCCTTATTTTAAGAAAAAACAACAATTTGAAAGAAAAAAAAACAAACAACTTTGAAAAGTTTGAAACTCGATTAGTGTGTTTATATTTTGGTTAACGAACGTTGAACATTGAAACCAAATATATATGTTTTTCAGAGTTCTCGACGATGGAGCAAAAGAAGTCAAAGTGGAGCAACACAAATGGCAACAAGAAAAGATACTGTAATATATACAAGTTCACAAAATCGATTGTCCCTTCAAAACGCGCCTCCGTGAACAAAATGGAAATTTTCTTTCGATTTCTAATTATGCGCATATTTGATATAGATTTATTTTTGTACGTGTTCATTTTTTTCACAACATTTTCTTATTTATATTCATCGGTGGGTATCTCACAATCGGTTTTTCCCTGTTTCTTTTTGTCTGACAAAAACATAATACATAGGTAATTTCAATACGATCTCGTTTTTTTTTCACCACATATGAAGTATTTTTGTTTATTATTTTTCTCCACAAAATTCTCTGTTTTTCAAGAATGAATTGAAAGAAAATTTCGAGTCATGCTTGAAAATAAACAACAAACAATTATTCGATTAAAAACAAAACATCATTTATCGTCGCGAATAAAATCGGCTACAAGCAAAAAAGAAAAGTGGACCACCCACAGTTTGGCACATTTTTGTAATTATATGTATACGGTTGTTTGATTTGGACATATGGAAAAGACAAGAAGAATCGAACGGTCTGTAATTAGAAACTCAAGTATTTTACAATCAGCTGTGCCTTTTAGACGCAATACTTTAATCGTTACCGACAATTGTTTTTGTTACAACAAAAAATAGCATTGGTAGTACAGTAATACAGTTGGGGCGGCTCAAATTAACATACATATCCAAAAAGTCAATAAAAAATAAAATGTGACAGTACACCTTATTAAATAGATCACATTACGTAATCTGGTACGAAAAGGTAAGTTTACACAAGTGATGCATATGATACAAGTCGCTTCTTTTTTGAAGTTTGTTCAAATATGAACGAATCAGATGGAGAATGAATGAATAAAGAGGTAGTTAATAAATAATTTTTCAAAAAATTACCTAGTCGGCTTTAAAATAGATATTGTTCAAGACAGAAAATCTGAATTTGAGAACACAAAAAATCTAAAGCACTGTTCTTGGAAACTTGTTAAAACGATTATGGAGTCAGGAATCTTTGAGAATATATAAGTCATTTTTTCCAGAAGCTGTTTTCCTATTTTTTTCCAAAATTTCAGCTCGAAAATTTCCCCTTTCCCCATTTTTGCCCCCTTACAATTTGTAATCCAACCCCATCCTCATATATTTGACACGATTGTGCAATTCAACTACAAATAAGCCGTCAATCAATTGTCCGCCAAGGTGTGAACCGATGTAAGCGATCAATTGCAAATCGTTTTTGGCACCTTGTTCACAAAAAAGGAATCCTTCATTTTATCTAACAAGGTGTGAAACTCAAACAAACTGTCGGTAAACTTTCATCTGTTGCACACTCGTCTTCCCAATAATTTTTCATTATCCATTCATTTAATCATAATATACATTACATATATAAATTTTTCTTTGCAACCCACATGTTCTCATTTTTTTCATGTTTTTCTGTTTAATTAATAACACATAATTAACGGAACTTGCCCTCGGATCATCGTCATTTTTAGTCGTGCAAAAAACGGCTCATTATTTTAAGCCGATATAGCTGTTATATAATAATAAACATGTTTTGGGGAAAAAGAGCATCTGTTTTTTTTTAAGAAAGAAAAAAGTAGAAAGAAGACATGATATAGAACACTGTACGACAAAAACATCTGCAAGTTAGTTTTGACAGGAAGGAAATTACAGATTATCGGATTAAAGGTTACCAGTATTTGGGATGATTTTCTATATTCCGTTTCAAACTGGAAAAAAAAATTATTGTGAATATGAAATAGGTTGTCTTACTGTAGTTTTTCGGTAACTATTCAAAACATTTTCACACATTCCTTCTATTGTTCAAAAATTAAGATAACTTCCCATAAATGTTTTCAATTATGTGTTATTTTATGCTTTTTTAACACAGTCTGTAATTTACAATTCTAAACCGCTATCCTAAAATTGTCGGGGTAGATCAAAAATATTTCTCAAGTTTCAGGTCGAATTGAAGCTGATTGAAAACCTTTTGAGTTTTTTCACTTTTTTTCTGGAAAACACATTTTTTCACACCTTTCTTCTATTGTTCAAAGACACTTTCTAACTTCCCATAACTTCAATTTGAAAAAAAAACTATTATTTCATCCCAATATGGTCACGCTTGATTTATATTGTTGAAAAAATAAGGCAAGCAGAAACAATAACATGGAAAGTGGTAATCATGAGCCAACAAATAATAAAAGGATTAAATATAGAGTGCCGAAACGACGTGTTTCATTACATAACCGGTACATCTGCTGCTGCTCATCCAAATTCACATCATCAACAATAACATAGCAAGCAAGCATACGGTAGATTTTTGTTGTTGAAACATAGAAAAAAGAGCACTTGAGAATGACTTGTATGGCAGCAGTCAATCCAGAAAAGAATATTATTCTATTAATTAATTGATTGTGGATAGTTGGGAGTTTACAAAAAATCTGTTCTCACCTTATAATCCTTCCTGTCACCAATATTTCCATCAAAAATTAGAATTAATCCTTGGGGGCAGGTGTTTTTTTGAAGAGTTTTGTAGAGATACGGATGTGTGTACTTTTGTGGGAACTTGGGAAGTTTTTTTTTGAGTAGATAATGAAAGAAAATATTTCGATCGAACCTTGTTCTACAGACTTTTCATTCAAAGAACCCAAATGATTTGACCCAAGTTTTTTGTAATTTATTTTTCAACCATTTTCTAGTTCCAGAAAAAGTTTGAAAAAAACCTACAAAATAGAAATGTATTCCCAACAAAATTTTATTCTTTTAGCTTTGTGAAAAACTTTTTTTCAAGAAATATTTCGTTAGAACTTTTCTATCCGAACACCAAGTTTTATTTTGAACTACAGTACCCTCCCCTTCTCTTTCCCCCGATTTTTTCAGTTTTCTCTCCATTTTTTCACACATTTTGTGTATGTCTCAACGATCTCAATAATTTGTTGATTTATTTTTGTTTTATTTTGAGAAAAAGCATGGAAAAATTAATATGACCAATTAATCCCACAACAAATGTTATTTGGAATGCCAGAAATTCCACAGAAAATAAACACACCCAAAAACTAGCCAATTTTCACACCATCCTATAAACATTGTTGGAAAAAAATACCCGACCAAAAACCCTCTGAAATGTTTTCTTTCTTGATTGATACAAAAAGAAAAAGCCAAGGTAAAGTAGAAAGAAGATGAGCATTTGTTTATTTCTTCAAAGTTCACCTGCCGCGCAATACTTGGATAAAAAAGAAGCGAGTTCTCAAATTTCAACAGTAAACTATCGGATTTTTGAAGAAAAAAAACAGGTATGAGGTCAATCGAGGCGGCGGCCGATTTCAAAAACAAATTTGTTAATCAAAAGAAAAAAGTGTAATAGGAAAGGAAGAGTTGGCTTTTTGTTTGATTGGCATCCGGTGAGGATAGATATATATCATAATGGCAGGTGCCTTACATATTACAATGATTGATTTCGATAGGTTTATGGACTATGAAAAAATAAAGAAGAGAAAATTGACTTGGTTGGTATGAGCGGTGTTTTGAGACAAGTTGATGGGAGAGAAAATATTTAGAAAGAAATTTGAGATTCTTATTTATTATTGGGTCAAAGAAGTTGAAATTCGTAAATATATTCTGAAACAAGATGAAGATAAACCAAATTGTGGTCTTGACTAGAATAAATCTTGAAACATTGAAAAAAAAACAGATAGTTCACAGAACTTACAGTAAGCTGCCAAAAATTTATATGAAAAATCATTAAAACACAACCAGCTTTTCAAAAAACTCGCAAACATGAACTGCAGAAACCAACTATGTTTTCAATACTACAATATTTTGAAAAAAACATAGATTCGAAAAAAAAGGATTAAAAATATATAGTTTTCTGCACATATTTTTCTAGCTTCCTGAATTTATGTAAAATTTTACAAATTGAACAGATTTCTCATACCCAATACACATTTGTCTGTCTGCTATGTTTTCTTTTAAGAATTGACACCTCTCTCAACAAACCGATTTTACCTCCAATCAACCAATTGACAAAGAATCAAATTGCATCAACAATCAAAATCTAACACATTTCTTTTCCAAAAACACCGCCGAAACGGCATCATGTTACAGTTTTTGCGCAGATTCCGGATTAAGATATCAAAAGCAGCAGCAACAGCAGCTGACAACGATTAAGTTATTTTTCGGTTGGTGGTTCTACTATTTATTGATGGTGCAAAAAGAAAAATAATAAATAAGATAATGTAAACGTGAAAAAGCGTGGAGACAAAATATAAATATTAGCAAGCAAAATGTGATGAAGAAAAAATGGTTTGGAATGGATTATCAGATCATAATGAAATTGTGGAGGGTTTGGATAATTGGGATCTATGACAACCCGTGTTGTCGATTATCGTGGAAATTTCAAGCGGGAAACTAACAGAACAAAATACATGAAAAATGGAAGCTCGCAAAAAAAAGGATACAAATATTATATTGACACCGAATTCTAAAGACAATTACGAAACAAGCAAAAAACACTACAACATTGGGAAATATCTACTGTTGTTGCAATTTGTTAAAAAAGTTAGGTTGCTGTTGCAAATACATTTGCAAAATGTCTTGTTGCGAGAACATTGGGGGTAATTGAATTATTGGGCGATGCATAAACGGTGGGGGTGGTGGTGGGGCATTTGGTGGGAATCTGGGGAGCGATGGGATTTGTGGTGGGAAATAGTTGGGGAAAAGTGTAGCGGCGGCAGCGCCATATTGTTTATAGGCATCCATACGTGCGCGAGTCATACTCGAAGGTCGACGACGAAGTTTTCCAGTAGCGCCGCCGATGAAGACTTCATCTTCACAAGTAGCATCCAACATCCAATAGTTACCTGGAAATAAATGAGTCAGTTATTTTGCACATAAACCTTGTATATGTGTATGTACAAATGTATATATTCAAATGAAGCTACAGTAACCCTAAACAAACAACTCAAAAATTGTTTGTCATGTTGACAACAACTGATCGATAACTCACCTTTGCCTGGGTCGTCAAAACTTCTCGGAACCTTGACAAAACATTTGTTCAGCGACAGATTGTGGCGAATCGAATTTTGCCAACCTTGTTTGTTATCGCGATAGAATGGATAGTTTGACATTATGTAGTCGTAGATTCCAGCAAGTGTCAAGCTGAAAATCGAAATTTATAGTTATTAGTATCAATAGGAAATGAAAACATGATTGATTCAAGTAATCAAAAATAAACTTACCGTTTTTTCTGGACTGTTCTTGATTGCCATCATAATCAATGCGTTATATGAGAATGGGGGTTTGTCAGTTGGTGATCCTGTTTTCTTTGGCGATTTGGATGCGTCATCTTTATCCGAGCTCGATCCGCTTTCCGATCTTTCCTCATCAATTCCTTCATCCAACAAATAATCTTCCATTTCTTCTTCACCTTCAGTTTTGATAACAACTGGACTCAACGTTGGATTTGACATCGTTTCAATTGATGAACACGACGGATCACTGAGATTTGACTGATCTGGAAGAAAAACAATCTCATTTTTTTCTCCGAATTTTTTCTGCGTTGCGGTTTCATTTTTGTGTAATGCACAAAATGACGGCAAACATCAATCAAATTTGCGACGACAACAAGTGCCGCAAGGCAAACAGCAGCGCTTACAGTAATCTACGATTATTTATTTATATACATTTATTTATACATATATGAATACATAAACAAGCTTGTTGCTTCTGTATCAAATTATGCTTTGACTTTTGAAAAAAATCACTTATTTTTTAAAAAGAAAAGAAAATTAGAGAAAGTGCAACTAAAGAAAATGCATGAAAAAGTGAGTTATGAAACAAAAAGAATAAGCAGAAAAAAGGTTTGGTTTTTTTTAGACAAAAAATCTCCGCCCTATTCCTATTTCAAATTATCTTATTTGAAAGTACATCAAACTCACCGATCTGAAAATCGTTAGTCTTCTCAGCTTCAGCTAAATCGGGACACAGGTCCAAGATTGAAAATCGAGCCATTTTAGTTTCACTAGTTTTTTGGAATTCTTGAACTAAATTCAAATAGTAATTATTTTGATATGAATAATAACAACAATATAAAATAAAACAAAAACTAATCGAGAGGTTGTTGAAAGAAAAAGTCATAAATGGGCGGAGCGGACCAATGCATTGAAGGAATGGGCGGGGTCGACGGGAACGTGGACGGTAGATAAAAGAGATGAGTGGGAATAGAAAATAAACATGCACAAAAAAGAAAAGGATAGATGATGAGCAGAAGGAAAAGAGGAAACAATTAGCATATTATATACCTGGTTAGATATATTATCTGGGGTTTTTTATTGAATTGGTTTGGTGTTGAGAAAAAGGAGAAGAAGTTTGTAGTGCACTTGGGAGATTTTATGATCAAGCAGATATTCCTGTATTTGGCAACTCTTTTGAAAAGAAAAAACAAATAGTTGTCAGGGAAACTTGAACACTGATTATTGTATTACAGAAAAAAATTATATGGTTTTTTTTTTTTGGAATTTTTTAGTTGTAGTTTGTAAGTAGAACTAATATATATGTACATATATATATATATATAATTTGAAAGTGAAATGTTTGGAAAATTCATTTCGATTTACTAAAAAAAAAGTTTCGAAAATTTGTAGTAATTCTGGTTATTCAATAGCAAATTTTGACAATTTCAAGAAAACTATACAATTTTTTTATTCGTCAACTAGAGCTTAGATCTTCTATATCAAAAAAATGTTAGATTTTTTCAGACACTCACTTCACCCCAAACTACATTCTATTTTTGCTGCCAGCTAAAATTATTGAAGTGTATATTTCTGACATGAGCGGCTAAAAAATTTGAAGAAAACTTCATACTCAACTACATTCTATTTTTCTAATTCAACAAAAATAAACTTATTTTCAGCCCACCTTAAATCTATTTTTAACTTGAACTTTTTTTGATGCTCAAACTTTAATGATTAAAATCATGTTCAAAGTCTAACCTCATTAACCATCATCAAGAAAGAAAAAACAGAAAAAAACCAAGAATATTTTCAAACAGATAACAACTGACATAGTTGTGGGCAGACGAATCAGACTTCAAAAACGTCAAAATTTTGAGGCTAAAATCGGTTTACAAAACGTAAATGTCAAAACATTCCCAGGTGCAATGAGAAAACTATTTTGCTTCTGTTTCTGAGAAAATTTGAATAACTGAATACATTTTTAACATTTACTTGTTTTCCCAAAATGAACTCTATAGGTTCTATTTTTTATGAGGAAAGTAACAAAAAACAATAGAAAAATAACAATAACAAGGCGGATTAGTATCAAAACGAATCTAACACTTCTAATTAGTGTCAAAAATGACAATGTGCCAAAGTTCAACCTGTCACATAGGATACTTATTGTTCAGAAATTTTGTCACCAACCTGCTTGCTTGTTCGCACTTATGTAAAAACAACTATTTTTGCTTCTTTGTAAAGATTCTACTTTTTTCTTTGGAGCAAAATGGGTCAAAAATTGTGAAAAAATTAGTTGAAAGATTTTTAGGGGTTGATAGAATCATTGTTTGCAAGCATACAATTTCAAGAAATTAATCTACAAAAATTTATGAACTTCTAGAAAGTCCCCTTCAAAAACTACAATTTGTATAACTACAATTTCGTTACTGTAGATACAAATTTTATCTCTGAAGGCAAAGATAAAACTCACCTATTAATAAGCAGGGTGCGGAGATTGAGATTGAGAATATGAATGAAAATCATGCAAAATATTTGAGTTTTTATATTAAATTTTGTGGGGGTTTTCAGAAAATTATGGATATTTGACACGAAATATGTTGCGTGTTACTCAAAATTCTTGAGAATATGATGACAGTTTCTAGGTATTTTCATGAGTCAATCAGATTCTGGGAAACAATAAAAAAGAATTTAAAATAACCCCAGAAAATGTTTATGATATTAGCTAACAGCACCCATAATATTATATAAGATTGTAAAACAATAATGAGCAGATATATGAAATAGCTTCTTGTTTCTGGTGACCTGCTGACTTTATTAGAGAGCCAAAATGTGATTGTAAATCATCGGTGGTTTTATTTCGCCAGAAAGGTGGCGAATTGTTTTGTATTTTTTTATATTGTCCAACACCGACAGGAACACACTATTATGAAAAAGAAAAAGGGAAGCATTCTATTTCACAGAAGAGTTAAGTTTTTTATTGGTTTTTTTTTGATGAAATACATGTTGATGGTAGACTTAAACTCGCTGATTACGGCGAATCTGTCAGAAAGACTTTTAATATGTCATAATTTAAAATGCGGTTGCCATGAATTAGAAGGCCCCTAACCCCAGAAGTTATGAGTAGAGAAATAATTTTCACCCGAAAAATTGGACCATTTGTGGATAGAAATTCATTGAACTTATCTCAATTCCAATTCACAATTATCTTTTAATTTTCAATTCCAAAAAACGCTGTGAACTCATGTCAGAATTATGATAAATTGTCTATTTGATAAGTAGTTCTTGTGAAAGAGAGATCAATAGAATCAGTTCAAAAAATTGAAAAATATCAGCTCGTAAAATCAAAAGACTGAAAAATTTTCAGACAACCAATGTTTGCAAACATGTTATTATATTTCACCTTTCATTGATTGTAGGAAGGTGTTTTTCAATGTTTTTCTTTTAAATTAGTCATATTCTAAGAAAAATACGCACTAAAATCGGGTACAATTTACGCATGAATACAATACAACTAATAAGAGTGCATGTTATAAATGAACCCTAAAATTTTTTTCAGAGGTAAATCAAACATTGAGAACAAAAAACAACAAATATAAATAAGATCAGAAAAAGTTCAAAACAAATATATATCCTTGAATACACATCATCCTCATAATAATATTAAGAGAACGGCTCTTCTTTTGAGATAAGTTCATACAAGTGTGAATAATTGTCATTTTATTGTTCAAAAACGGCGTTTTCATCTCATTCGTTTTTTTTATTCCACCTTTCTTTACAAATATGAATTTCTCAATAAAAATTATGTGGTTTTTGGGGATACCAGAAACACTACATACAATAAACAAAATCCGGGAATTTTACTCGAAAAAAAATTTATCATGTGAACTTTTATGTTTTGTTGGAAATTTCCAACACACATTGTGTTTTATTTATTTTAGGAAACCAGGTGATTTTACGATCTCCGGCTAGACAAAAAAATTAAAAATTCGTATGTTTCCGCCAAGAGATCATAGGAATTAAAAATAAATTCTGCGAATGAGCCTGAAAATAATCATAAAATACATACGTGTAGTTGATTGCGTACTTTAATTCTGAAATAACTTTTGATGATTTTACTTAAAACTTATTATATTTTTTTCATTTATTACATCATAGACAAAATCAGAAAAACAAAGTTCGTGAACAAAAAAAAGGTGGAAGACCGTGAAATAATTGATATCTAACACGAGATTTATTATGTGAACATGCTCATTTTCAGATAAAGTCACAAGTTTTTTCTCTGAACTTTATCTTACTTTTCCAAGTACTAAAAATTAAAGATAGTTTTTTTTGAAATATGCTCTGAACAATGATACTTTTTTCATGGGGTTTAAAAAAATAAAACTTTGATATTTTTTCGAGTTGAACTTTTGAAGAACAAAATGTAAGAGAGATAATTGTGAGTTGCAAGGCACCTTACATTTATTTTGAAAACGATGACATCAGAAAAAAAATAAAAATTAAACAAAAATGTTCAAGATCATTAAAACATTTATCAAATTCAAAATCAACAGTAAAAAATTATTTTTTCAAAATAATTTTTGCAAAATTGGATCACCAAGAATCTTGGGAAATTGTTATTCAATGTGCTCGAGTTGAAATTAACATCATGTGAGGTATGTCCTTTTCCTAATCATAAAAAGTCATCATTTTTCTATGATTTCTGTCATCAAAAACAAGAAACAAAAAAAGAATTCCGAAAACATGGAAGTTTGCTCGAAACAACTCACCACTTCTTTTGGGAAACATGGGCGCATTCAAAATTCTAAACACTAAAAAATCAAACTTTCAAAATTTTTCAGGAATACCTGAACATTAAACTTTTTTCAGATTCTCGGGATAACTTTGGAAATGTGTCGAATAAAAAACATTTTTTGCCAACAATTCGTTTGTTTTCATATTTCCACTCACTTGATATTTTTACAGAAATTATTTCAAAAGTTCACAATTTTTTCACATTGACAATTGTTTTTCTTTCTTTTTTTTCACAAAAACTCTCACATTATGATGATGAATTTTCAAACTAATTCTCTGAAAACTAACAAAGTGTGATGAGTTTTTAAATTAGTGCATATTCAAATTTTGGGGTAAAATTCGAAGAAAAACAAATAATCACAAAAAAACACAAAAGTTTGAACAATTGAACACAATAAACATAAAAGGAATACATATAAAAGAAAAAATAAAGAAGCAAGAAAAAGTACTTTATATGTAAAAATGTAAATATAGCAAAATTGTTTTTTTAATCATATATGTATGGGATTATTAATCCGATGTATTTCAAAAAAAATATTAATTTTTAGTTGCTTGTTTCCCGGATTTTTGATTTAACACACATATTAACAGATATCATCTCCTCAATTTTTTTATTGAAAAAATTGTCTGGCTTTCTAGAGGCAAAGTTACACATAAAGAGATACCGACAATGAGTGAAACAGAATAGATAGAAAAAATTGTCGGAATCTACGTATTCAAAAATATAAACGGTAATGTTCGGTATTCAAAAAAAACCAAGAGATAAATATTTTCGAAAGTGTTGCTTGTTGCTTTAACCTGGAAAATTTTGAGAACTGATGAAGAAGAATTTGCCGGAAGTATTCTTGAAATTATATGTGTTGGAAATGGGAAAAAGAGCGGAATCAAGAATTTACAAACTAAATAAAACCGGGAAAATACTGTTAACATATAATTTCTTGGCAAAACGCCATTTTTGATTCTAGAAAGAGTTCTTTTCAAAAAGTTGTTCAACAAGATCAATTAAACTAAATTAAAAGACAAATATCACGTCGACCCACTAAAGAACAAACTGCTGCATTGGGTGTGAGACAGAATGCACCAAAATGCAAAAAAACTACTTAACCATTTTGAATACTGATTACATATTCGTGATCAGCGTGTTCAAATCTATGGAAATAAGGAGTTTCAGTAATTCTATTCGAGATTTTGTCTCGTAACACTTTGTGGAAAAACCGAAATACCGTACACCCATTGCAGCAGTTGGGTCGACGTGATATAGAATTCGATACATAGCTTCAATCTATCCTGAGCTCATTTGAATTATTTTCTATTCGGCTTTATATAATGCACTTCGGAAAGTAGTTCAGAAAAAAGTGAAAACGTGATTTTTCTCAGCGTGAAAAACTCTACAAAATGATATATGATTCATTGAAAATTATTAGAAACACCTCACCCACTTCTCTCGGAAAATTCAAAAATATTTTTTTTTCGAAAATTTTCCATAAATTGCTACACTTTATTTTCAAAGTCAACTATTAATTTAAAATTTTTAACTCCCATTCGTTATTCAATTTTTGTCCCCGCAACATTTTGTCAATCGACAAATTGTTATTGATGTATAAAAACCAAACCATCTCGTAATGTTTTTGTTCATCAACAGCAGAAAAAATTGCACAAAAAGAGGGCATTTCCACCAATCTCTAACCGTCTGCGTCTCTCGCTGCAAAACAGTATGCGATTCTTTTCTTACCGCAAATCGTCGCCTCATTTTTCTTCTTTTTATATTTTCTTGCTTGTCGTATGTATTTGGCGCCTCGAGTTGTCAGAAAAATGGTGAGAAGGCAGACTTTTTGGAATTGTCTCTCATTTAACGGATATTACTGTGGGTTTCCTTTTTTCTTCAGACTTTTCGACTTTTTTGTGAGTTTTTTTCAAACATTTCTCTAGGCGAAAAAATGTATCAATTCCCAAGTGCAGAAGCTTTTTTCAGCACTATACAATTATTTAACTTTTTTATTCACACGGCAATTATTTTTCAAATTTATACCCAAAATCGTAATATTATCAAAAAAAAAAAATCCCAGATACTTTGTGTGCATGGAAACCAGTCTCACCCCGCGAAATAATGCATTTGAATTTTCAAAAATTTCTATTTTCCACCCTCAGCTGCAACGAGCCTGCGTTGCGGTCGTTGTTCAATACAAAAACCGACAATTGGCGGTCTGCCAACTATTGGCAGTTTGCCAAAACCGCGCTCTCGCTGTCTGTGCCTCCCAGATGTTTTTCGATAAAATTCAGTTTTTCGCGGAGTGACTCAGAATCGCATGATTTTTCAATAATCGCGCTTTTCATAATGGATTTTTTCTTAATATAGGTCAGACACACAAATCCTCTTAAAAATCCAGGTGTTGGAAAAATAAGAAGGAGAGAAGAGCTCATTAAATCTTAAAAATGATATCAATCGATATTATGCGAGATAATTAAAAACAGGATATTAATGAACAATTATTTCTGAATGCGGTACATAAAAAGGATTGACACGCACGGCAAGAATCGTTTTCGCTTTGCTCTTATTCCCTTCCACCTTTTTTGTATTAAAAATGAGGCTGCAGCTTAAATCGGTCAGATCAATTTGCCAGTCGAGCGTCTTTTTTTCTTGCGAACAATTTTGCAGGCAGTGTGATGAGTCATCATTGCATTTTTTTTTTGAATTTACTTGATTGATTTTCAATAATTTTTTCCAAATGTTTTTCAAAATCAAAAATAAAAGTTTATTCCGAAAGATAATACGAGACTGAAACATTGTTTCCCCTTTCCCTCTCTGTTCCGCTGTTTACAACCAAATTTGAGAAAATTGGAGAGAGGATAGCCAAAAAACCGTTTTGCGCAACATCTTTTCAACAGGTGTCCTTCTCCAAAACATTCGAATATTGGTTTTTTTCCATAACTCTGCATTTCTTTTTCCAAAGTTATTTGTTTCTGCATGCGACACCGCCTAGAACATTATCATTATTTTTATGTTTCCCTCTCCGCTTAGTCGTTTTCTAATTTTAGTATGATTTTTCAGAATCTCGTCATTTTAATGATTATTTTTTGTTTTATTAGTACTAATAAAACATCCGTCGCCTCGAAAATTTTCATTAGTTTCTGAATCCCAAAACAATAGTGAGTTATTGTTATTTATTGACTATCCAACCATTTTATGTCATCCGTTTTTGAGCTCAACAATTTTATCGTAAGATCCACCCTTCCTAAATAAAGATGTAAAATTTTAAAAGGCAAACAGCTATTTAAAAAATAGGGTCCTCCAAAATGTTAACTTATTACAGAAAGTGTATGTTTTTAAATCGATCCTTCTTAAATTTCCAAATTCTCAAAAACAACTACTCATTAAAATGAGAAAATTAAAAACTCCACGTTTGTCCCTGAAATTGAAATTTCCTGAACTTCGATTTATCATTTTTCAAATAAAAATCCATGATTTGGTTCTCTTTTTAATGATATTCATCTCCTCCATTCCCCTCCTATATTATGAGAAATCGATTAACAAACAAAATACATTTTTGAATCATTAGTTTTCATTGTTTATAATAATGCAGCCTAACAAAACTTGGTATATCATCAAATGCTCTTAAGTTTCTCTCTCAATATAATTTATGATACGTTTGGCGCCCTTTTCATTTGAACTTCTTTTGTGCTTCCTACTCTACTCCAACTCCAGATGTTTTATTTTATACATATTCACAATTTTTGTAGACACCTCGCAACAAAAGCTTCTCCCTTTTTCTCTTTTTCAAGGTCATGGTCACGAGTTTCTTTTCTCAAAAACAAATGCCTTTCTGATTTTGTATATATCTTATGATTCATTCTTTTTTCCGTTCTCTTTGAATATTTCAACTTTTCCAAAAACAAAATATTATTTTTTCAGATGACTCATAATTGTCCTGGGCATCAACATTGTCCCATACAACGTGCCGAACTATATGCACAATGGTATCGTTTTTGCTCTTTTTTCAAAGTTCATATGGAAACTCATGTTGATCCATACATCGTTCATCTTGTCCGCGTATGTTTTCATTTTTTTCATTTTTTCAAGCTTCAATTGTACAAGTTTTTAGCTTGCACGCGAACGCGGTGATTATCAAATGCCGTGCATGATATATTTTTGCTTCAACCTTGATGTTTGTGAGAAATCGTTGTTTGATCAACTTTTAACAAAAGAAGAGTTGTATTACAGACTCGTTGCTGTAAGTTAATTCTGAAATTGTTCTAGATTTATGAATAATTTAATAGATTTTCGGCGATACTGCCAAAAATCGATCAGGAAAAATATGACACTAGTGTGACATTCAGAGGCGCCGAAGCGGTAAATTCCGAAGCGCGTCTTCAAGAAAGCCTATTTAGAACCAGCTCGTAAAAATTTTCGTATCAATTTTTGATGCCTGGGAGCTGAAAAGGTGTCATTTTCTCGAGTGATGCGTTTTATTTCGCACTAGGAAATGTCAGCTCCCAGGCATAACAGTCTCCTTTTTTGAAAGACATCGTTTTCTAATAACTTCAAAATTCTCTCCAAGCATTTCTAATCGGATTGATGGTCATTTCTTGTGTCAGAAATGATCAAGTGTATTATTATATGCATAGGTAACCAACATAATGTTTGTACAGATCGACTCATCTCCAAAAACTGATCAACAATTGGAGTTTATGGTAGCGGATGGCAGACAATTGAAACAAGTAAGTCCTATGACTCAACAACTAAGTTATTGCCGACAGTTTGATTTTAAAACACCATGAAATATTTTTTACAGTTCTTGAAACTACATGGAGAATCTCTGAAAGAACATAGACTGAAGGTACTTTCCTCTTTCCTTAAAAACCGTTATCTTAACAAACAATTTTTTTCAGCCAGTTGATGAGTTTGGCAACGTTCCTCCCGAGTGTTTTCAATATCAAAATGATACTGAACCAAGAAAAACATGCTATAACATATCGATTGGAACAGTGATAAAAGAGTGCATAATCATGCCTATGTTTAATGGTAACAACAGAGAAAAAACATATACACGCAAAAAAGAGTTTGCTTTCAGAATGGAAACAAAATTCACAAGCATCAGAAAGTTATGAAGAAGCTGCTTCAACTTCTGCGGAGTCAGACTCATCATCAACAACTATTGTTGCAGCTCAAGACAAATCTCAGGTTCGTTTTTTTGTGGTTTCCATATATGGTCGGTATTATTCGGCATACCTGTCATTTCAATATCAGGAGGTTAACTATAGGTGGCCGCCGCCAATCTCAAAATTTGAGGGTACTGAAAAATATGAAGCCCGTTCTAAAAACACTTCAAGTTCAGAAATTAGGGTTAGCTTCAGCTAGACTGAAAAACTGAAAAAATCTGGAAAAAACCCTATGTTTTATTTCTTAACCGAGTCACAGTCTTCTCATCAATTTTTTTCCAGCTTGAGGACTTTGAATTTGTGTTTGAAGAAGATCTCCCCGAGAATCAAGGAAGTTCTAATGGAAATGTACCTATGGTTGGTTTTTCAAAATTCTTATCCTATAAAAAACAATTTATTTTTTAGCCAAACAACAATGTACCAGTATTTCAACAAGATGTTGTGGAAAATGTTGAAATGCGATATGTTCAAATGAGAACATTGGCCGATAATCAGGTGATTATTTTGAGTGAATTAAAAAATCAGCAATAGTGTAAATGTTTGTAAATTTTGAAACAAACAGTAGCAATTCATATAGAAACTATAAAGACAATCTTCTTTGTTTTCAGCCCAAAAAAACCTGATAATGAAAATTATTGATTACTTTTTCAGATAACCCCAATGCCATTTTTTCGAAATGTCACAGGATATGTCGATTTTCAGAATTTTTCCAACGGAAACATTCCAATGGTAAATTAAATTGTGTATCTTAATAAAAGTCAATGAAAAACTGATAATTTTCAGCCAAATGATTTTCAAGTTGGTGCTCCATCAAACGTGCAATATGCTTTCAACGTAACTGAAGCGGTTGGTTAAAATAGAAAGAATTTTTGAAACTATGTTTAACTAACAATTAACTTTGAAAAACACGGGAATTCCAAACATGTTACTTATATTTTTTAAAATAGTCAGACTCCCGTTTATATTTCTAGCTAAGTTCAGATCCATAGTTAATTATAGTAAATCATTTTCTGGACATTGAATAATCTTATCAATTAATCAATTCGAGAATTTCTAAACAATGTTCAATGTTTATAAAAAACAACATTTTCAGCGCGAAGATTTGACAAGAAGCCTTGGTATAAACATACAGGAATTTGCCCACAACAATTTCAATGCACAGTTTGTAATGGTTGGTTGTTTTAGGATCTTCATAGAAATAATTGAGTTTTTCCAGCCAAACAACTCTCAACAAATGGGTCAACCATATGAAAATGCTCAAAACGTATTTGGCGGAAACATTCCACAGGTTGGCTATTTCAGAGATTTTCTTAATGTTAGAAATGATTTTTCTTCAGCAAAATGTTGTTCCACCTGTAAATGTTATTCCACCTGCGGCCCAATCAGCTACCTTTGAAACTGATTGGTACAAAGCATGCAGCAATGTCTGTACAGAAACGACTACATTTATTGATCAGGTAAGAAGAAGTTCCAAAGTAGATGGTCTCAAATTATTTATTGATTATTTATAGGTTCAAAGTCCTTTACCATCAATCAGGAATATTAACTATTCAGAAGTGAGTTTGCAAAGTTTTCGATATTTTTCAGATTTTTGAAAGTTTCACTCCAATTAGTTATAATTTTAATTGAGAAAACTTCATTCAAAATCAATGTATTGATCAAATCATGAACGCACTCTTAAACACAGTGTGTTATATACAATAAGTAATTTAAATTTCAGGCGATCGGCAATAAAACAAAACCAAGTGATCTTTATATCCTGTGTAAATTAAATCAACTTGGTATTAACATTAACACAATTGAGCTGTTCAATGTTTATGCCACCAAGAGAAAAGCATATGAGGAATTGGCCGAGAAATATCGCAAGGTTTGTTTTTTATTGTTTTCTTCTAGAATCACTTGATTTTTAGGAAAAAAAAGAAACTGAAAAGCTGCTTGCTGAATACAAACTTGAGCTGCAAAAGAGGCGTGAAGCGGATGATGTAATGCCGGGTCTTATAAAGGTTTGTCATTTTTGGATAAATTTTCATTTTATGAATATTCTATTGTATTTTTCAGATGACTCCTAATAAAGGAAACAACAGGAAAGTTCAAAAGAAGAAGAAGTGAATTTCCCATGTCATTTTTTCCTGGTATCCGCTTTCTCATTTTCATCTTGCGTTTTTTGATGTATTTCAATGGTTTTTATTGCAATTTCTTTCTAAACAATTTTCGTTTCTTGGAAGAAATACTTTTTTTTTTCCGTTTTTTTAACTGATATTTTTTCTAGAATTTTTTGTTTTTTCAAAATATGGTAACTCTAGTTTCCCGCGTGAAACAATTTAATTTTGTCTCTAGATAATTTAACCAACCATTGTTTTTATTGTATTCTTTTCTGTCTTATTAAAATTACTCACCGCTTGATACATTAAAAAATATCATTTTGAGTTTTCCCCATATTATTTTTCTCTAAAATTATTGTTTTAATGGTATTTTTTTTTGATTTATCATCTTATATTAACTGATTTTTTAACTGTCCTCTTTTTTTTCAACATAATTTTTATTACTCCCAGGATATGTTTCACTATTTTCATTTATTAATCTTTCAACTGGTGTTTTCTATTTTTTTTTGCTCCTTTAAAATCGGTTAATTTGTATCACCTGTGTAAAACACTTCAATCTTGCCTGTAGGGATTTTAACCAACCAATGATTTTCACTGTCTTTTTTGTTTCTCATCACAATAGTTACCTCTTCAAACATTTCTGTCGATTCTTTCTTTTTGAAAAATAATATTTCATTTCGGAGTTTGGTATATCTCCAACCAACTTATGTAATCCATTTTTTCATGTTTTTTAATCGTGTGTTCTTCTTTTTTTTTAATAAAGTAAATTGTTGCAAATTTATCATCTCAATTTAAAAAAAAATTCAAAAACACAGGTTCCACCGAGATTTGAACTCGGGTCGCAGGATTCAAAGTCCTGAGTGCTAACCGCTACACCATGGAACCTTGCGGCAACCCGTTCCGCAAATGCATTTTCATATTGACATACAAACAAGGTTTTGCGGCAAAGCGTCATCAATATGTCAATCAGACAAAAGCGCAGTCATATTTGTATAAAACGGCAAAACACGTTCTTATTACCGTACGGTTCCATGGTGTAGCGGTTAGCACTCAGGACTTTGAATCCTGCGACCCGAGTTCAAATCTCGGTGGAACCTTCTTTTTGGAAATTTTTTTTCAGAATATTAATTATATGTCTTTGTCGTGAAATGAACGATTTCTCCAAAAAAAAAAGTTTTTTTGGAAAAGTTAAATTGTTTTTTTTTCAAAGTATCAGGTAAGATAAAATATTTATTCAATTTAAAAAAAGGATGGGAGAATCGAAAATAAAATCCAGGAAATATTTTGATCATACAGCTCTGGGGAACGTCAGATGTTATTTCTCAACAACTTTTTTTCAACGTACATCTTCCGAAAAATAAAAACATTTTTTTTTGAATTTCAGATTTCCAGATTTTGACTCACACTGTTTTTTTTTTCGGCGTTCAGAGTAACAATTCAATTTTTTTATTTTTTCAAAAGTGAATATTAGTTCAAACGTTACTCATTCATTTCTCTATGTTCAAAAAATCGATATTATAACAATCGACAGAAAAAAGAGAAAAAGAGATAGGTTCCACCGAGATTCGAACTCGGGTCACAGGATTCAGAGTCCTGTGTGTTAACCACTACACCATGGAACCGTGTATGTTTGCTTGGGCAATATGTCGACATACACTTATCAATAATTTTATTTGAACAAATGGTTTCTTGTATGCAATAGAAAGAGAACACAGGCGTTTGGAGAAAAAAGTTTTTTTTTCGAAAAGGGTGAAGCAGATGGTTAGGAAAAAAAATGTGTAAAAATTGTAGCGTATGTGCAATAAATGAAATATACATATGATTTGTGAGTGAAAGTGAAATATATATGTATGAACAAAGAACTTTGGTAAATTCTACCAGAGTTGCTTTATTGAAATGTTAAAATTCAAAAAAAAACAAAAAATTACAATTTTGGATCATTTTTTATTAAAATATTAATTTCTCGCAGATTTTCATTGGTAGATCAAAAAAAATATTAAAAGTCTGAACCATCGTTAATAATTAGAACTTGAAGATTCAAAAAAAAACTTTGTTTTTAAAATTCATTTTGTTATTATCAAAATCAAAACGTATAAATTTCAGAGAAAATTCCAGATCTACCTACAAACTGTTGCAAATGGGACATTTACCCTTCTTGTTTTCTGCACTAAATTATGATCAAAAAAATTTCACAATAAATATTTTTTGATCTATTCATAAAAGTCATTGTAACAATGTTCATCGAAAAAAAATGAATAGTTTGCACTGCAATTGACCCGTTATATTGTCCTTTTTACCATATTTGTCCAATCTGCATTTCCATCCCCATCTCATCAGGTTTTATTTGTTTGCTTCGTGCCTTTTTCTGCTCTGCTGCCAACCGTATCGGCTACCATCTTATTTATAATAAATAAATCATTCAATAAAACCATCGATTTTTTCTTATTCTGTTACTCATATTATTCTTATTGAATTGTACAAAATTCTGGAACACGGGTCCAGGTAAGTATCATTTTTATTTATTTTCATATGTTTTATGTGTTCAATCATATCTCTACCACAAATCTATGCTGGTTTATCTCTCGCCTAAAATCTCCGTTTCAATGGGTCAACGAGACTTTGACAAAAACCTAATTTTATGGAATCGAATTTATTTCACAGGTTTTATGTACTTTTTAGTCGTCCGAGATTTAATGTGGTTTTTTTTATTCTCAAATCTCATTATTTTTCTTTACGATATGTATTTCTTTTTACGTTTGTTTTCATTTCATCAGAAAAAATATCTTCAGCGTGATACATTTTTTTGTTAAATAATGAATGAGCTTTTTTGAGTAAGTAGAACAAAAACTAATAAATATATTGGAATTCTTCACTTTACTTTACTTTTCAAGAAGTATATAGAGCTGGCTGAAAATCGTAGTTATAATATTCAACCAGATTATTTCGTTAGAAAATCTGAAATTTTTTTGGGAGAATTAATAAATACATTTCCGTTTCAATATATATTTTTCAACGTTCTATACATTCATATAATAATGTCGACTGAAACAGGCGAGGTATGTTTTATTAAAAAATATCTATAAAAAAATGAAAGTTTTTTTTCAAAAATTGTTGCAAACTTTTATGATAGATATTAATTTTATTTACCAAATCGTAATATTTCCACCTGATTGTGAATGCAAATTCATTTTGCGATTGATAGTGTCAAAACCAAATCACTTATCCAAACAAAAACATCACAAACCGGCAATTTTTCTCACCAATGCAAAGCAAAGCCGTTTCAAAAGTCAATAAATACATAATCAATCTGTTTTTTCTTCTCAATTTGATATATCCCTTATTCACCGTTCCAAATTAATATCAACATATATAATCTTCAAACATTCAAAATAAATTAATTTTCATCGCGTCTCTCATAATATTTATCTAATTTTTTTCTGCAAAACATGTTCCAAAAATTTCCAAAAAGAAAGGTAATCCGAGATTTATTTGTTTTTTTTTCGAGTTGTTCAAAGTCTGTCTGTTTTCCGGAAATACATAATTTTATTATACTTTTTTTCAAAAAATCAATTTTGTATAGTTGCATAATCCGCTAATTATTTGTATTATCGTTCCAAAACTACACCAATTTTACTTTCAAAATATAAGAGAATCTAACTTTTTTATTTTTCATGCCTTATTACTGTTGTTATTAATTTCTAATTATTTTTTTGGATAGAAATATTATAAGGTCAACAAGTTGTTTTTTCTTTTTTCAAAGAAAACCCCTTGAAGATTCATAATTCTCATTTCAAAGAGTCAAATCATAAAAAAGTGTGAATGCCCTTTTTCAGTAAAGGTGTTTCTGTTTATTTGCGAATTGTTGTATTTGTAACACTTTAACATTAGATAAGCTGTTAAAAGTAGTTGTTGATAAGAACATATTTAGAATGTTTTCTCCCGTAGTTTCGTTTTTATGAGCAAAATTTTTGACTGATGATTATCACGCTTTTGAATGTTATCAATGATGTAGGTCAAAGAGCTTTATGATGTATTCTGAATTGTTATTTGATCGGTGAAAGTTTTGAAAAGCGTTTTCAAATTTATCAAACGTGTCATGTTCAGAATAATTTTCAAACTTTAAGAACATTCGTAAATTTGCAGCGTCTGTTTCAAAATATATGTTTTAATAATTTGGAGCATCTTGCAAAAGTCCAAAAATAGGCCAAACTATATCCGAAAAAAAATTATCAACGTAGTGTTCTGCAAATCTTTTAGCTTCGCTAGTTATCGAGATAATGCTCTGGGAAAAGAAAAAGAGTACAGGCAAAAAAATGACTGCAGAAAATTGGAAATCGTAAAAATTTCCTCTTGCATACATTATCATTAGAGCGCACATTCTCTACTCTTCTCTATTTTCTGCGGGAGGGGGAAGAAGAACGAAAAGTTTTATTTTTCTCGCCGTGCATATTTTTAACCAATTTACCTCTGATTTTTTTTGCGTTTTGAGAACACAAAACCTTCGAATCGGCTAACTTTCTTTTATCTGTCGTATTTTACTCCGGACTTGCAACAAAACACGTTTTCGTAGTCTTGAGAATGTTTCCTTGATTGATATCCGATCAGGGTGAAAGTTGTTTTGTAAAACTGAACAGAACTTTATCTGATCATATTTTTTTTCTAATCTCCATAACTAATTTCAAAAAAGGTTTCTCAATAATAACTCTTATTTTCATCCACGTTCCTTCTCTTGAAATGACCCGTTTCCAGTTTCCGATGAGAAGCCAAATTAGTCGTGCCACCTTGCTAATAAGGCTCTTGTTCTTTCTTATTGTATTATTATAAGGTGTTTACCGTTATGTTAGAACTCAAAGTAAATACAACAAGTAGTTAGCTACAGGTACAAAGAAAAAGTTTCGTCTCTTCTCATCTTTCCTCATTTTTGTCTATTCGTTCGTTTTTTCTCGTCTCTTTTGTTTTCCACCACCAATAGAATTTTTGTTTTATACTAAAAAACTATAAAAAATTTACAAAACAAAAAAGGAAATTGTTTCGAGCACTTTTGCCGAAACAAACAAAAATAATACAAAATAACAACAAAGCGTCATCATCATCATCAATCATTTTTATTTCTCCAAAAGCGGGAGAAAAAAAATGATAACAACAGTTTGTATTTTACTGTTATTTAGTGTTCTATTATTCAGAAATAGAATGCAATCAGAGATTGATGAAAGTGATTCTGAAAATGTAACTTTTTTTGCTACTTTTGAGAAGTCTTGGTTTTTTTTCGGAAAATAATTCTGATCTTTCTTCCAGGATTGTATGGACATTGAGAGATTGCAAGTAACATCAGAAGGAGGCTCGTCAACATCAGGCCCAGCTGATAGTTTTCACGCTTTTTTAAGAACCGCGTGCTCTGCCATTTTGGTGAGTTATCATTTAAATTTTTGGGAGGGAGGGAATATGGAAAATTTTGAAAAGAATGATTAATTTTTCGGAACAGTCTAGAAATTTAATTGTTTGCAAAATGAGAAAAAATTGTAAAATGTTTTCGGAGAAAAATAGGAATTTGTGTTTCTCTGGAAATATTATTTTTTTTAATGTTCGTAGTAGATTTTCGGATAACTAATTTATGACCTGAACTTTGTAAAATGAAAACAAATAATAGCTTAAACTTTATTTGAGTTAGGAAAAACTTATTTTGGTTGAAGGTAAACTATTTCAAGCTGAAACAAATTTTTTTTTGAATTTTTCAAAAATGTTCTACAATTTTTCCTTTTTGAAATCCGATCTTCTTTTTTTTATAAAAATTACTTTGTTCATTTTTCCCACATTAAAATGAAAATTCTGGATTTCAAATAATTTCCTTCAAAATTATCCTCTTTTTCATTCTTTTCTTTTTTTTTTTGTCTCGCAACAACCTAATAATTTTCCAAGTGTGAAATTGTTCTGGATCGGTCGGAAAATAGATATTCGAAAAAGCGGACATAAATTTTCTTTCTACATTCATATACACATAAAACTAATAATCATTATTATTATTTAATGGATACATTTTTCTAATTGTATATATTCTCCGTTTCAATGTATGTATTTTGTGTTTTTTTTCTTGCAGGCATTCATCTTTTCGTTGAGACTTATTTTATTCAGTGGTGTCAAGAAAAAGATTGGAGATAGTCAAATTGAAGGAGAAGGAGGAGGTAGAAAGAAAGACGAAGAAAATAATAATAATAACAACATTGAAATAAACTACGGACAACAACCATCTACAAGTTCGTCGTCTTTTCAATCATACGATTGCGAGGTATGGTGATTTTATTCTTTCTTTTTCAAAAATTTAGAATTTCGAAACTAATGACATAGCTGGTTTTGCTTAACTGAATTTTCTTTTGCTCATGTTTGCTCATGTTTCAAAATATCTACTTGAAAAAAAAACAAAAAAGAAGGTTCCACCGAGATTTGAACTCGGGTCGCAGGATTCAAAGTCCTGAGTGCTAACCGCTACACCATGGAACCACATTTTGAAAACTGTCAATTTTTCAATTTTATGTTCTCGATATCTGCCGTTTGTTATTTGCTCTACAAATTTTGATGCTGAACATCAACAAACTGTCAATAATCCTTTTACGATGAAAAATACTAGAATTGATGTGTGGTTCCATGGTGTAGCGGTTAGCACTCAGGACTTTGAATCCTGCGACCCGAGTTCAAATCTCGGTGGAACCTTCTTTTTATTTTTGAAAATTTGAATTTTGTAAAAAAAAATTAAAACATAGATTGAATTTTATTAATTACAAAAATAAATAACAAAATTTTCAAAAAATGTTTCCGCACAAAATTTGTATAAGCAAATTTGAATAACCGTTTTCTAAAAAGGTCCACTGAATTGATTACATTATTTTTTCTAATCAAAATTCCTGGAACCACAATGTCTGTGACTATATTTCGCAGGGATTTCCATATTTTTCATTGGTTCAAAATTGTTAGTCAATCATTATTTTTAACCCTAAATCCTACACAGTTGAAACAATTGAATATCCTATGATTTTCCGAATAATCCAAAAACCTGATAAATCTCTTTCTCTCTTCACAAATTGTTTATGTCTAATTATGCTATTTAACACAACCAGGTAAAATGACCTCCTCTTTTTTTTCTTTTTTTTCTAATACTCAATTGAGTATCTACCAATTGGGTAAATATGAACAATATGAGCGAACGTTTAAAGGGCACAAAAATGAGTGTCAAGAGCGTTTGATTCACTTTTTCAATGTCAGTTTCTTTTTTTCCCCTACTGTTCCATTTTTTCTTCATAAAAATAATAATATAAGAAATTCGTTATCCTTGAATTCAAATTGAACTTTTTTATATGTTTTTTTTCAAGATGGTGAGATAATCGTATAATTTGAAATAGTATCAATTAATCAATTCCTTCCCATTTCTCTCTATTTTCGAGTTGAGTTGTCAATCAAAAATTAACCGAACGAATTTTATTTTCAATGTCATTCTGACACCTCCTTCATCTCATCATTCATATGGTTTTTCTTTATTTTTATGGGATTTTTATACTAATATAATATTTTTTTAATGATTGAAAAAAGGAAAAAAAAAACAAAACAAATAAGTAAAGGATAAACAATAGCGCATCTCTTTTTCGCGTGCAGAAACTCTATTTTTCGGTCACCGCAAGACACTGTTTTTGCGGTTATTCATTGTTTGCACAATTATTTTTCAAAAATTATTATCATTCTAATCGTTAGGTCAAATTTTTTTGAGGATAAATAAAATCTGAATTCAAAAAATACAAAAAGTTTACTAGTTTATTTGTAATATAATATTATACTGTCTGTGCCGCCACATTCCAAAGAAAAAGATAGATTCTCCCACATATTTCTCACATAACACAAATATTTATTTCTTCCAAATTTGTAGATTTTTCAAAAATAAATATCGTAAAATTTTGATGGATTCTACTATATGTTTGCATTGGCCACAAAAAAAACGACATAATATTTATTGATAACCATTTTTTTTCTTGTACATCCGTATAGTTTTGTGTTTCTATTGTTTTGATCGAAATTAGTCATTCAATTTTATGTTGTTGAATGAGAAAAATGTTTCATTTTAATGAAAAAAAAACGATACTTGTGAATGAGTTGAAGTACATATGTATTTATTTATTTTTTGCAGAGTCAAGAAGAAATGGCGGATAAAAATAAATCTTCACAATCTCAGGGTATGCCATCTGTTTTATCATTGTTGCAGACTGATGAAATTCCATCTTCTTGTTCCGATGATGAACCGTGAGTTATTTTTGGTTTTTATTGATAAAAATTCAAGTTGAAAAATGAAAAAATCAACCAACCTCAAAACAATCATTAGTCTTATTTTTTTCGAAAACTCTCATCGATATTTTTACCAAAACATGCAACTTGTTCTAACTGATTATTAACTTCATAAACACCAAATCTTTCCATGAAAAATTATAAATTAGAGAATTTTGAAAAAGTTTTTCTGACGTAGCTTATTTTCAAATTGGTGAATTTAACGACAAGAAGATTTTTGCTACATCAAATGACAAAAAAACCTGAAATTTGAAAACTGAAAAAAATCTATATCTCACAACCTGAAAATGTTAATACTTAATTTTTTGTGTGAAAATTATCCAAAGTTGTTAAGTTTGCCTTTTCCTTTCAATTTTTCTCAAGTATTTCAAAATTTTTCTAGAATTTTTCAATTTTCAATTTCAAAAGAATTCCTGTGTACAGTACATGTGAAAAATCAAACCATAGTCGAGACAATTCTGAACAATAGAAAAATTTTAGATTTTTTCACAAGAAAATTTACCAAAAAATTGTTTACAATGGCAAAAAGCCAAAAAGAAAACCTAATTTACTTAAGAAATATACACCTGTACTCTCTTTTGCCACCAGTCTGGGATAATTAACCAAGATGTAGAGAGAGGTTGTTCAAAAAATGTATAATTATACTGGATCGGATTATTTTTCTCGTCTGTCTGCCTGAGAAAGCAGCAGCATTCCGAATAAACGTGGATTATCCTCTATTTTTCACTCACAACGCTCATTTTTTCAGTTGCATATGCAACAAAAAATATACAATCTTCGTTTTTCCGTGAAAATAAATTTTTTTGATTTCAGAACTACATCGGGTCTTATTCCATTGCCATCTTTGCTTCAATCTAACATGAGTAGCGCTCTTCCAAATTTTCTTCATACTATTAACGAGGTAAGATTTTCCATTCATTTATTTTTTGTAACTGTCATTTGTGAAATATTCTGATGATTGAAACCCATTGTTCTTTATAAGAAATTCCTATCATTTTTAAATTCTTTTCTTTCTTTGAAACCGGATTGTTCCTTGAATATTCCATAGAAAATGTATGTGGTATACATATTTCTACATCCGATCATATCTTATCCTCAAAAAATTCATCCATCCATAAAACTTACATTCACCGAAAAAAAAAAGAAAAAAAGATGAGGAGAAGAAGAAAAAACGAGGATCGAGATGACCTTGAGCGATATGAGAAGGCTAATAATAATCCGAGTTTTGTGAAGGTAGTTTAGTTGAAAAAACAAACATTTTTGTTGTTTTTTTTTAGTTTGTTCTATTTAAAATTAGGTTTTTTTTTCAAATAGAAATTCATGTAGATGCAAATTTTTTGGAACTTCTGTAACTTGATAAAAAAATTTCAGGTTTCTGAATAGTGAATCCGAAGATTACAGTTCTTTTTTTAGTGTCAAAAACATCATAGTCAAATTTTACGATGAATCAGATCCTTATTTCCCAAAAATTTAATAAACTTTTTTCTCAAAAATATTCATGTTAGAATGTTTTTTCTTTCTTCTTATTAAAAAATTGAAAAACGATTCATAAAAAGTATTGATTCCAAGTTGTTTACCTGTTTTTTCTCATTCCAACTAACCAAAAAAATTAGAAAACATGATATTACATTCTTTCGATTCAATGATTCGGAAAACAATAAGAACCGCCAAAAATAATCTTTTTTCCCGAAAACCTTTACTTTATTATTATATTTGTCTATATGTACCTTATAATCACCCCTCCCTTTTTCGCTGTCCTTTTTTTGGTTGGTCCCTGACCGTTGGTGACCCCGAACGCCGATTACCTGCATGTTCCCTTTTTTTGACCCGTTTATTCACAAACAATAATAATATATCGTATAGCGTCTCTTTTTTATATTTGGAGGAAAAAGTTGCTTTTTTTGAAACATTATTTTTCATCCTAAAAGTAAATGTATCAAATTTCATTGTTATTTTTTTCCTTTCTTCTAAAAATTTTTTTCTTTATAATTTTCATTTTTTCAGGAAGAATCGGATGAAGTAAGATCTGTCACAAATAGTAGTCTTGCTTCGCCACGTACAGTTGTTGACCGAAGATTATCAAATATTTCATTGCTCAGTCCAACGCCTGACGAAGAATTTGAGCGATTTGAGGAAGTTGAATCGGGTAACGAGACTAGTCAAGAAGAAGAGAATCTTGTTCGACAAATTGAAATCACACAGTCTACTTCGGAAGACGATCGACTTGATTTGTTGAAAGAACTTGCTAAAATTGGAAAGACTAGCGGGGTGAGTCCAAAATAGATTGAAATAATTCACGTACAATCAATAGTAATAATTTATAAACTTTGAGAATCGCTGAAAAGAAATTATCTGTTTCAGCAATAAGATTTTCAAAAATAAAAAAGAAGGTTCCACCGAGATTTGAACTCGGGTCGCAGGATTCAAAGTCCTGAGTGCTAACCGCTACACCATGGAACCGTACGCGATACCTTTCCGCAAATGCGCTTTCATATTGACAGCAAACAAGATTTTTTCGGCAACAAGCTATCAATCAAATAAACTATGTCTGTTTGCTGTCAATATTATGAGAACGCATTAGCGGAACGGGTTGCCGCAAGGTTCCATGGTGTAGCGGTTAGCACTCAGGACTTTGAATCCTGCGACCCGAGTTCAAATCTCGGTGGAACCTGTGTTTTTGGAAAATTTTCTGGGTTTCAAAATGTTTTTTTGTGCTTTGAAATTCAACCGGGAATTCTTTATTTGAGGCACTGTTTTAAAAATAACATTTGTGTCGACTTCTCAATTGACGACTTCTCTGAACACAACTGTTTAATTTTCTTCTTTACTTTATGAACCAAACTAACAAAGATGTACAACCAATTTTTCTAAATAAAACCTTATTTAAACAAATGTATGAGAAGTTTATTTTTTGGAATTCATAACAAGCAACAATACAGTTTCTTATTACTAATTAGGCTGGTTATTTCCAACTATATTTTAACGAGGGTGTAGATTCCAAATTACTAAAAACCAAAAAGAAGGTTCCACCGAGATTTGAACTCGGGTCGCAGGATTCAAAGTCCTGAGTGCTAACCGCTACACCATGGAACCACACATCAGCTCTAGTAATTTTTGTCGTAAAAGGATTATTGACAGTTTGTTGATGTTCAGCATCAAAATTTGAAGAGCAAATAACAAACGGCAGATATCGAGAAACATAAAATTGAAAAATTGACATGTTTCAAAATGTGGTTCCATGGTGTAGCGGTTAGCACTCAGGACTTTGAATCCTGCGACCCGAGTTCAAATCTCGGTGGAACCTTCTTTTGAAAATTTTTATTATAAATTTTGTAGTGCACATTATTTTATATTTTAACTTGTCAAATATTATTATAAAAAACCAAAAATATGAAGAAAAAAAAACAAAAAAGAAAGGTTCCACCGAGATTTGAACTCGGGTCGCAGGATTCAAAGTCCTGAGTGCTAACCGCTACACCATGGAACCAAACAGCAAGCGTCGCTCAAATGTCACACATAAAAACGGCGGCTGTTGTTGTCTTCATTGTCTGATTGTTTTAATGTGCACTAGTAAAATGAGTCGAAAAAAACATATTTATTGTTTAGATTTTTATTAACCATCTTATTTTTAATATTTGCCAACTGGCACAAACAGAAAAAATTCGGAGAAAATGAGAGCGAGAGAGAGAGAAAGAGAAAGAGAGTGCTTGTATGTATGTGTTATTGTATTTCATGAACAGTCAACATAAATTCTTTTCGTCAAGTGTCACACTCTAGGCAAAAAGCAGCTTGTCTTATTATCACCCATCATCTTATTTATTTTGAAAATATATACATATTCTATTTGAAATTTTTACGAAATTATTCAAAAACTACTATGAACGAAGAGGTCAAATTATTAGTGACCGAATTATTAGATCATGTTGAAAATCAAACTCAACCAATGATTGCAACCATTATTCAGATGTCAAAACCGGAAGAAGTTATTATACCGAAAAGTGAAGAAGAAAAGGAGGAAAGTACCCAAATTGTGGTAGATGAAAAAGAAGAAGGAAAAGCTGAGGAAAAAGGAGAAGAAGCCAAAAAAGAAGCCAAAATTGTTATTGAACAAGAAAAAACAGCAGAGATTGAAGAAGAAGAAGTAGAAGACGTGGAAGAACCAGATTATGCACAAGTACCTGGAGATTCAGAAGACGAAGAAGGTGTAGAAACTGGTGAAAAAGATGCTGAAAAGGAAAAAGAGCTAGAGCAACCACCACAAAAAGCTGAAATTGTCACAATTCCTATGACACATAGTGAACCAGAAGATGTTGAACCAAAGGTGTGTTTTTTTTCCTAGTTTTTAGAATAAATAAATTTAAAAAAAACACACTAAAAATTTTTATCTGATTTTACCGAAAAAAAAACTGTAAAACTTTCACTGGTTTTACATTTGTTGTTCGACTGAAAAAAACACATTGTCTACTTTTCCAAATTTTGCGTAACATAAATCAGAATATTTACACAACCTGGTCTAATTTTACATTCTGCCTGGTTGCTATTCATCGTGACTCATCTCTTTCTTCCTTCTTTTTTATTTTTGTTTGAAAATCAATTTTCAATCTTCACCTTTTACGAATTTTGTTCTTTATTTTAAAGCTATGCATCGAAATTATGATTTTATTGTGGTTAGTTGGAAAAATGTTTGATTTTTTGAACAAAATTGAAATTGAGAGAAAAACGGGAGAAGTGTAGAAATAAATAAATTTTTAAGATAACAATCTGATTGTGAAAAGTGGAATTTTTTGAATTTTTTCATAGTTTAGAAATATATTTATAGATTTTTCTGATAAATATTATTTTTTTTTGGAAGACATCCCAAAATATGAAAATTTCATAATATAAAAATCAAATTTTAATAAAAACCATAACAATTACATTTCAGCTCGCCGACGCTGATCGTGATCAAGACGAAGAACTTGTTTTCAACGACGAGCGCCGTAAAACCGTAACCATGTAAGTGGCTTTCATTAATTTATCTTTCAACTTTCATTCAAAAAGGTTTAGCAATAAGGGAGGGTTCCTTTTTATTCTCATCCTCATTCGCACTTTTTGTCAAAGCCGAGGTCGGCCAACAAATTTGTTGCCGTCCATCACTTTCCAACCGGTTTTTCTTTCAAAATTCTTTTCGCCTTTTTTGCTGATTTTTTCCTTCTGTTACGTAAACCTTGTTAACAATAAGTTGACTAAACAAATACATTGATACTTTTTCGAGTGGTGACAATTGGTTTGACAAATATTAGGATGATCAATGTCAACTATGAGAGAAAAATGATCCGAATTGGAATGTTTGATGGGATTTTATTGCACAGCGGGGGTTAATATCATAATAATAATTATTATTATTGTTATTATTTTCTCTTTCTCTCTGTGGAAATAAAAACGACGTGATAGTATCTTTTTATTGATTCTTGAACTTTTATTTCTGATCGTGAACCAATCAATAAAAACTAGTATCATTCATCTAACAAACAACCCAAAAATCGTCATTTCTGGTTTTCATTGGTTCAAAGCTGAATAAACAACAATCCATATGATTAATTCTATTTTTATCATTGTTTCAAATTTCATGGGTTTATTGTTAGCCACAAAAATTTGATAATTTTTTTTAATTTCCTTTGTTAGTGGTGATGTCTCTCTTTTGAGATTTGAGTAGAAAAATGTTTGAATTTTGAATGTAAAGTTTATTTGCATATGCCTATTTCTTGGGTCATTTGAAAATCATCGTCATCGTCACTAAAAAATTATTTTTTTGATGTCTTCCGTCAAAACCAAAACAAAAAAGTAAACATTCACACGCAAAAAGCATTGGCCGATAGAAAATGTGTGTGTGTGCATACAAATATATTTATGTGATAAGGCAAATATACGCATACACACATACGCATAACAAAAACCATATTTCTATTGATGATTATTTCCTCAAAAAACTGATATGAGTTATCAGCCGTGTTTGTAAGAAGCTTTCTTTTTTTTTCAACTCATTTTTGAGACACATTTTTCTAATTCTCTTTTTTTTTCAGCGACGACAATTCGTCTTTACGATCTGCTTCGATTACTTTCGATGCAAAAGGTGAAGAACAAGATTTGAACGAGTCATTCGCTTCAAACCCAACTGACGAAACTGTTTTGATGAAACAGTAAGTTTCTTTCCGGAGTCATTTTTTTTCGTTTGGGAGAAGAATGTATATACACGGGGGAGTGAAAATGATGAGTCAAAATGTATAACAGTTTAGCGAAACATATTCATTATTACGTTTTTTCAACAAACATTTTTTTTTCAAACATGAAAAACGAAAATTGAAAAAGTCTTCGGGTCATTGATCTCTCACTTTCCTCTCTCTCCCACATCTCATAAAAATTCTTACCCTCAGAACCAAGGACGAAATAATGTCGACAACAACTAGCCGACCACGTTCACCATTAGATTTGCCGCCACCACCCTCATCGATTGTTCACCCGTCTGGTCCACCTCCGCCGCCACCACCATTGACAACAACAGAAATTGTTGGAAATACAATTTCAAAAGTGACTACACATTATTCGTCGCCACAGTGGAAACCGGTGACTGAAGTTGAGGAAATTCCACCGATTTCGAGCTTATCAGCTGCTCAACCGCCACCGAGTATTTTGACAACAAAAACTGTTGCGAGTTCTAGCTCGAGTGGAGCACAATCTTATCCATATCCATCTACTTATCCATATCAAGGTTAGTATTTTGTAATTGAGATTTTTTGATTGGGATCATTTTGGGACCATTTTTGGGACCATCAAATCTTTTACTGAAACAAAATTAAGTTACATTTTTAATTTTGGAACTGTTTGTGAGTTTTTTCACCCTCACTCAATATAAAATCGATTTTTTCTCTGATTTTGATCATAAAATTGGCAACATTCCTCAATTCATCACTCAATCTGTTTTCCTAAACCTACGTGATGTAAGAAGAAAAATCTCATTATTCACAAACATTTTTCGACACATTTCTCAGAACAATGGGGTATCCACGACCTTTTTTTTCCATCGCGCCGAATCGATTTTGACGCTCGATAAGAGAGATTCTCAAACGATATTTATTTTATCCATCCAACATCCAAAAAATTTGTATTCATAAATTTATGTATGAAACATGTTTGACTAGTAATCTAACACTTTTACTTACCCTAATAGAAAATCATGAATTATTTTGTTTTTGAGAGCAGGTTGAGTTCCATAAAATCAATAGCACAATATTTTCGTTCATTTCTTAAATATTTACTCGTCTTTTTGATTTGTTGGTTTTAGGGCGAGAAAAAGGCATTCGATTACCTATTCATCAAGATTTTCATACACACAAATATATAGATTTTGCTGACCAGTTGACGTTTCTATTTTTATTTCTTCTTTCTTTTGATCTTTTTTTTCTGATTTCAAAGGGGTTTTTTGGCATTCAATAGAACAGTCATGAATTTCAAACACTTGAACTTATTTTTAGCGAAAAAAATATTGATTGAACACTTCAATTCTGAATGTGAATAAATGAACGCCCACTTATCCTATTTATGAGATTTTTCTCGAAAATTTGTTGATTCAAATTAGGTTTTTTCTCATTTTGTATTATATTTCAAATCAGTAAATTCAGTTTCAGAAAAGTTAATATGTTTCAGGATCAGCCTCATCGGTTGTCTCAAACATGCAACAATATCAAAATCAATCAGATCCACTTCCACCTCCACCGCCGCCTCCAATTCCAGCCCCATCATCAATTTCAACTTCTTATCAACCACTATCTGGTCCCAAGGTATGTTTGATATGTTTTCATGTTTTATTGTCCTGAACTTGTGTGAATATAAAAAGAAGAAGAAGAATATATGGTCAAATATGTACATATACATACATTCATATATTTATTTATTTGTTGTTGTATATTTATACATATATTGAGCAAATAGATGTCGAATTTTTGAAGCGAATTGAAGCTTCGCACTTGAGCGATTCCAAGATGATCGAAAAATGAGAAATATAAGAAGACGAGAACTGTCTGATGATGCCTCTCGCAATATATTTGCATATTTGGTTGCTTTTCGTTTTTAGACTTTCTAATGCAATATTTTCTAGTTTTCAGAAATTTTTAATTTTTTTGGAGTAAAGATTGGTGAGCGTGTAACTAGCTTGAATTTATGATCCCTCTTTATCGAAATACCTTCTCCACATTTGACAGGTTTTTGTCAATATTTCACAAGTTCTAGATTTTTTTTATAGTTTTTTCAAATTTTTAAATGAAACAAAGTATCATTTTCACTTCATATCTAGACAGAATTCAGAAAACCAAAATTATTGTAGTTTCAGCTGCAAGTTTGTGCAAAAATATTGGAAAACGTGATAGTCATAGTAACATTTTGACCTCAAATTCAAAAGTCCTAATGCAACTTAGCAAAACCCTCCTGTGGGGTCTCATTTTCAGTTTTACAACATCATCCTTGATTTCCTTGAACTTGAGATTATCCCTGAACATCTAACTTTGTGAAATTACCAAATTCTTCAAAATGTCATAAAACTTGAAGATGTTATCATTAACTTGTTCTCCTCCCCTCTTCTCTCATAGTTTCCCAAACATTCTTCGGTATTTCATTTTATGTATTCCATTTAATCGTGTCCGTCAGGAATTGATGCAGACAAAAAAATCACATCGAGTCTCACAATGTTTGATGATGTTTCCATCATCTCTATCACAAAAGCAAATAGTAAAATGTTTGTGTTTCAATTTTTGGTTGCCTGCCTGCCTGCCTGACTGACTGACTGCCTGTATGGCTGTCGCATTCCTGACCGATCACTTCTACGTTTTCTTATTTTTCTTTTACCTCGCCCGGGCGCGCGCAAAGCTAGCATCTTTTGATTTTTATTCGCCTCGTTGCGCACTTGAAACAATAACAGCAAACAAGAAAATCGAAACATTTTTCTCCTTTTTGTTTCATCTATCAAAAAAGCTTAATGATGGAATTTTTGCATCCTGCTGTGAGGTTTTTATTTCTATTTTCATCCACTGATATGCAATTATATTTCATTAAACATCTAATTTTAGAACCGACTATTACACATGTTTATGGTTGTTTTTTCCTATTTCTAAATGATTGAAATAAATAAAACTGGTTTTTCCTTTCTTGGCCTCCAACTTCCGAGAATCGTAAATCAATCATTTTTTCCCACAATTCTTGAAATTCAAGATTTTGTTTCTATCCCTCTAATAATTCTAATCCTACAGTATACTTTGAAGATCAAAAATATCAAATTTCGATACAGTTTCAGAGTTTTCTCTCTTTTTTTGTGACCATTAAATAAACAAAAAATGTTCTATAAAGAAGGGAAATTCAACACCACCAATCAGTCATTTCCTTTTGTCTCGCGAAAAATTTCCATATTTCCTTTTTTTTTGATAACAAAACGCTTTCGCGGAAAATTGTGTGTATGTACATACATCGGGAAGGCAGTTAGTCATTCAGTCAGTCAGTTTATTATTTCTATTTTCATTATATACATATTCTATAACCACTTTTGACGTTTTCTTTGTTTGTAAAAAGAGGGAAAAGAGGGAAGAAGAAAAAGAAGAAAAAATGAGCCCACCTGGCGAGCATTATGAATATAACAACAATAATAAGAATATTGTTATTAGCAGTATTATTTTAAGGTTCCGACAGGTGTACCCTTTTAATGTTTATTAATTCTACGAACTATTCTTAGTCGGTAAATTTATGATGCATTGAAGATCTAGCAGTTTGTTAGAATATTTTCGAAATTTTTCATTTTTCCTTATTTCACATATTTTTCAAAATTCAAAACAAATCCAGGATTATCCCAATTCAAAAATCAATACTTTCCAAGTTCATAAGTAGTTTAGTCATGTATACAACAAAACAAGACCGCAAAAATATTAGTAAATAATAGTATGCATGTATCTTATGCATAATTGCATATGGTTGTTATTTGTACGTCGTCCGTATCTCAAATTCATATAATATTTTGTCCAAAATTATTGCATTTATTTATTTGACTGTTGGAGGTTAGAGTGACCACCACCGTCGCGATAAGCACCCCCGTCTGCTGGGTGTTCCTGTATTTTTGCCTCCTCCGTTTTTGGTGACCGTGGTGTGACCGTGGCGAAACGAACGAAAATGTATGTGTGTACAATTTCATTCCGTCAAGGTCAATTTTTTAGTATTAGTAGTAGATGGTTTTATAGTACTTTTTAGAAGAGAAGGACGGTGGATGGCTATTTTTGGTATATATTTGTGTTTTTCTCTTTTTTACTAGTACTACACATAATCGACGTATTTTATTATTTGCACTCAACTTTTTCTATGCTCTCTGAATCAGTTCAAATAAAAGAATCGAGCAAAAAAAATGATGCACTTTTTATCAATGTAATATATATCTATCTCTACGTTTTTAATTTTCGAAAAGTGAAAATATTCATTTTCGAATCCTACGGGAATAAATAATCTTCTTATATTTGCCCAAATCCCAATCCCATAATTATCCTCACCGTTGAATAACCTACATTTAATAGTCAAAACTACCACTAATAATAATAATCACTTTACACAATTTTTGAATAGAACTAAACTACGCCTCATGAATTTTCATCATCTTGACACATTTTTTCCTCGTTTTTCTTCTTTTTCTTTACTCGCCTAATCTTCACTCTTAAACGAGATGGTTTTTATTTTATTTTATTTATTTATTCTTTGCATTTTTCGACCACCGAGAAATAAAATACCGGACACAATGAAAGGACATGTTTTCTTTCCAATTTTTGTTAAGCTGATTTGTCCGCATGACGGAAATTTTTTTGTCAAAAAAAATTAGTTCTTCCTTCTTCTTCCTCAATATGACAACTCAATATGTAAATATTTTATTTTTAAATAATTTTTTTTATAAATCTTGGACTAAATTTTAAATTATTTTCAGTCGCTGAGCTCATCGCGTGAAGACCTATTGTCAGAACACGCAACGTCACGATCAACGGTTCGCGAGATTCCGGTGCAACGTGCACCATCGACGGCACCATCTCATAGTAGTGTTTTCGATTATCGAATCATGCCAACTACCACAACCACTTATCATCATGTGGAAACTCCAACGGTTAGTTTTTGTCTAGAAAAATTCGTAAAATAGTTTAAAGGGAGGATCCTAACAAGATTGAAATAGTAAAGAGCCCCTGAATATCCCGAGAGTGAGAAAAATTAGAGCTTCCTCATTTTATCCACCTGTCGAGCTTGGAACTGAATACAAACTATTCAGATTTACCCGTTCTTTTAAAAATAAAAGTTTGTTGAACTTTAAAAATGTCCTAAATCAAACTATTTTTGAAATTCTATGTAGTTATGTACACTATAATTAGAAAATTCTTTCGGAAAACATATTTTCATTAAATTTTCACAGTTATATAAAACCTGTTATTACATACAAACTTTATTAATTTTTTACACTTTTGCAATATTAGTATTGGTAATTAGGAATCGCAACTAAAATGAACCCCTTTCCCTAAATCAACCGAAAAAAACTATATGAATTTTCCTCAAGTTGGTTTTGTTCTTTCTTGTCTCGACTACAACAAACTGATAACTCTTTTTCTTATTTACTTTAGTCACATCAGCTTGAAACTATGAGCTCTCAAGGGCATTTTTCTCCCCTTTCCTTCCCTAACAAACAAGCAAGAAAATATCACATGTTCTGGTGTCAATTACTAGCTCAAATATTTCAGCTCAAACAAAGTGAGAAAAAAAAGGTGTTCGGTGAAGAAAAATGAACAGAATATAATAGAGACTGTTTGCTTGAGCTTTTTTCTTCGGTTGGTTTGAGAAAAATACATTGGTAAATAAACGAGAAAACTTACTTACACAGTGAGTAACTCGAGTTCATCCTCTATCTCATATTGTTTTTCTTATAGTTTTTTTTGTAGTGATGTCTAATGTTGTTCTTCTTCGTTTTTCCCCAAAAAACCATAAAAATACTATAAAACAGTTCTATTAGGCAACGCCCATTTTCATTCTCTCGGTTTTTTTTCTGTTAGGATAGGATAGGTTAGGTTAACTATGTGCTTACAAGAAACCAGAAATAGGCGGAGACTCCAAATTTACAATCAACTTACATAGTTTCATCTTTTTTCAGGACGAATACTATCGACGTGAAGTGATGACGCGAACTATTATTACTAGAAGTACAGAAGCTCTCTCACAGGTTTGTCATTTTTCTTTTTTTTTCAATTTGTAGGAATATACAATTTTCTAATAATTTTTTCATCGATTTTTATTCATTTTTATGGCAAGCCTTCTTTTTTTTCACATATTAGTAATATTATACATTTTCTTTCTAGTATTACGAAACGAATCATTTAGTGAATTTTTATTTTCAGACACCAATTGGTCGTCCAACTTCTGAACTTGATCGATACGTTCCATACACCACAACAACCACAAGTGGAGACGGTCGAACTAGAGAAGAGAAAACTGTTGATTATAAGGTAGCTAATTTTTTTCTTATAAAAACGATTCAAAACAAAATAATTTCATTTCGTTTCAGATCACATACCATCGTGACATTGAAGAAGAGGAGCGCCGTGTTCGAGAAGATCAAGATAGAAGACGTCAAGAAGAGCAAGATCGTCGAGCTCGCGAAGAAGAAAGCCGTCGACTTTGGGAGCAAAGAGAACGAGAAGAACTTCAACGACTTCGTGATCAGCAAACAATGACTGAAAGAGAACTTGAAAGAAGTTTGGCTGAAAGAGAACGAGCTGAAAAAGAGCGAATTGAAAGAGATCGACTTCTTCGACAGCAACAAGAAATGCAAAGACGAGCTGAATGGGAACGTCTTGAGAAACATCGAATTGATAATGAAGAAGGTGAACTTGCAAGACGTCGTGCTTTGGAAAAAGAGAAAATTGAGCGAGAAAAAGCTGAGGAAGAAAGACGAACTCTTGAAAGACTTCAAAAGGAGAAAGAACGGTTGGAAAGAGAACGACTTGAAGCTGAAAGACGTGAGAAAGAACGCATTGAAAGAGAAAGAATTGAAAGAGAAAGAATTGAACGGGAACGAATCGAGATTGAAAGAATCGAAAGAATCAAGAGAGAACGTATTGAAAGAGAAAGAAGAGAAAAAGAAAAAGAAAAGGAAGAAGAAGATCGGTTACGTAAAGAACGTGAAGAATTGGAGCGAATTGAAAGAGAGAGACGTGAACTTGAGATTCGTGAAAGACATGAACTCGAATTGCAAAGACGAGAAGCTGAAGATCGTGAACGACAACGATTGGAAGATGAAGCTCGTGAAATGCGCCGACGTGAAGAAGAACTTCGTGAAGCTGAATTGTTGGCTGAAGTTCAACGACAAGCTGAAGAACGTGAACGAGCTCGTCGTCGTCAAGAAAGAGAAGAAGCTGAAAGACTTGAAAGAATTCGTTTGGAACAGCAAAGAATTGATATGGAACGAGCTGACGCAGAACGCAGAGAAAGAGAAAGGTATGTTCAAATAATTATTTACTTTTTCCTAACTAGGTATTGTTTTTTTTCAGAAAGGAAGAGGAGCGTCGTGAGTTGGAACTTCTTGAAGCTGCTCGACGAAAGAAAGATGCTCGCGAACGTGAAAGACTCGAAGAGCTTGAGCGTGAACGTCTTCGCGAAGAAGAAGAACGGCGTGAACGTGAACGACGTGAACAAGAACGTCGTCTTGCTGCTGAAAGAGAACGTCAAAGACGTCAAGAAGAAGAGGAGGAAATTGCTCGACTCACTGATTTGCAAAGAGCTGCTCAACTTCGTCAAGCTCAACGTGATGCTGAACTTGAGAGACAACGCGAGCGAGATGATTTAGATCGTAAAGCTCGTCAAATCTCTGAAATGGAACTTCGCGAGAAGGAACGACGAGAAAGAGAGCGTCTTCAAGAAGAAGCTCAACTTGCGGAACTACGTGATAAAGAACGAAGAAATCAAGAGATTCGTGATCGTGAAAGACGCGAAGCTGCTGATCGTGAACAAAACAGAAGACTTGTGAGTTTTTTGTTTGGACAAGGGGAAATGGAAAACTATTTTGAATTATCAATTTTTATTTCTGAAGAAAATCAGAACTCGAAATTGATAAAAGTTGACATAAATTTTTGAATATTTTCAGGAAGACCGCAGATCTCGCGACAAATTGGACATCCTCGTCCGCGAACGTTCGGAAAAAGAAAAATTCGAACTTGAGAAACGTCGTCTTCTCGCTGAAAAAGAAGCCATGAACAGAAAGAAGCATCATTTATTGAGCAGTGAAACATTGGCAAAACTCACTCAACCAATGTATTATACAACTCGTGAACCAGAAGTCACAACAAAAGTTGAAAGACAAGTGATCGAAAGAATCGACCGCAATTTATGGGTTGAAGATGTGCCATATGGATCAAATCAAAATGCCATTAGTTATTTAGATAATGATGAAAATAATCGTGATCGTATGTATAATCCAAACGATTTGAACAGAAATGGATCAAGCAGGTGAGTAGTTTGTTTTATTAATCATAGTCAAGAACTACTAATCGAGAATATTTTTAGAAGTCGTTATCATCGCGCAAAATTGGACAAAGCCCGCCGTGATTTCTATTCATCATCGCAGGATTCAGCAGGTGTGGCATGAATATTTTATTCACAAAAAAATATGTAAACGTCCGCTTACTTCTACTTCTCATTTCGAATATCGTTTTGATGATGATTTTCTAGATGTTGTTTTTATTATTTTTGATTATCTTTTTGTGTCATTTGCGCGCAAGTTCTATCCTTTCCCCCGTGTTTCTGTTTGTTGAATGTGTTATTTCATCCTCCTACCCTTCTTCTTCAAAAAAAACGCTACCCTTTTGCATGTATCCATACATTTATAGCTCATTTAACAGAGCTAGACTTTTGAGAAAAATTGCTATGTTTTTTCTCTTTGTTGTACATTCATTTCTCTAGATATCAATTGCATGCCTATCTAACTTTCATCATAGGAAAAAAAAGAATCTCGGAAAAAAGTCGTTTCGCAATTGTTTCACACGTACTTGTTTTCAAAAAAAAAACATTTTTTTTTCAAAAAATCAGGTGTTGTCATTCATTAGCTGCTTCTCTAATAATATATCATCAATAAAAAAGCTTCAGGCACCCTTTTTCTAGATTATAGCCAGTTGTGTTTATCCTACCTTTTGAATATATTATTTTCAAACTTTCCTGGCCAAACTCCTTTTTTTTCATTCATTTGAATCAAAATTGCCTGTGTGTGAGAGTGTGTTTTCTTTGGTTATTTTACCCAAACAAATTTCATTTCATTCTTGATTTCAACACTGTATTTCCACTCTCATTCATTCATTTCATTCAATTCTCTTTCTTTCTTCTGTCTTTTATGTGTTTTTAATGAATTTATAAATATTTTTTTTGATAATATATACGTTGTGACAAAAACAATTGTGAGACAGACTTTTACAGGGGTTGTTGATTTTTCCTGTGTTTATGTGATGTTGTTTATTGTAAAGAAAATAGAAAAAGGAAACCTGCACGCTGAATGTTATAACTGTCGTTAAAATATGTAGATTGCACTAGAAGAACTTTTGCCAGCGCTAAAAATTAGAGAAAAATTCGCGTAATTCAAAAAATCATGATCCTCTAAATAAGCCTTGTCTCAGGTGGTAAACATGTATTTTGATTTCGAGAATATGACTTCAGAAAAAAACAAGATCATGATTTTTTAACTCATAGTCCTCAACTGCTCAAAAAATTCCCCCAACGAAAAATGCAATTTAACAAAAATATTCTAGATCCAAATGCTCGAAAATCAACCGATGATCTTCGAAACCGTCCCGATTATCGTGGACCACTTCTCCAAAAATTCCACGAATCCGAATTCCGCACCACCGCATTAAATGAATCTGATGGTCTTCCATATCGTCGAATGGGACCAAGTCCATATGAACAGGTATGTTTTCATTTCTGAAATTGCACATTTATGTTGTTCCTCTATGGTGTTTTCTCAACCCTCAAAAAATGTTGTCTCCCTCTTCTCCATTCTCCCCTTTTTGTCACTGCTTTGTTGCTATTATCACAAAATTCATAGCCATTCGCCAAACTTCTCGAAGAGACTGAACGACGATATGCTGCATACAACAGTCGAGCAAGTAATCCATCACTTTATCAATCTGCCAGAACATACAATTCATCACATTATTTGGATCAACATCGGGTAGGTTATTTGTGTTGTTTTGGTTCAGCTTTTGTTCATTGTCCAAAGTCAATAATTTTGGGAGGGGAGGGTTCTGAAAATAGAGTAAAACAATTAGGATATTTTCAGCCATCTGATTCAAATCAAAGAGCTGAATCTGTTGTTGCATATGAACGTGAAAGTCGCAGAGATTCACCAGCAGATAATGTTCATACAAGAAGTCGTAGTGCTGATTATCTCATGGATAGAAAGTGAGTTTTTCTTTGAAAAATATAGAATTAATTTTTTTTTGATTTGTATATGTCACATATCAAATAAATTTGTGATACACATTTTGGAATCTGATGTTTTCAAACCTCAAAGTTACCTATATAACTTGCAGAATCCGCGAAGAAACCGAAGTGCCAGAAAATCAATTGCAAAAAACTCGCGGTGAAAATACCTCTTCACCAAGAGAATCGCGAATCTCGGAATACGAAATGCGTTTCCGTAAATCAACCGAAAAATTGACTGTTCCTGATTGGTATCGCGAGAATCGACCAGGACATCAACAACCACCAACAACAACAGTCACAACTTCACATCAATATAAATATTCAGCTGAACCCCAACATCATACAGTTACTACACAACGACCACCATCAGCTCAACAAACAACTTTAGTTGATATTCCACGTGGAATGTTTGACAAATATCGTGATGAAATTGAAGAACTTCGTCGTTCTCGATCATCACTTCATCATACTGGACAAGATGTTAATCGACAGGTTGTTGCTTTATAAAATATATTTTATATGAACCATATTTACCCTGATTTTTTGTTTTGTTTTTATTTTGTCACGCATTTTCCTACCCTAAAATTGTTTTTTGTCATACCGCATTTTATGTTATTCCTTTCCTTCTACCTACCCCTTTCTTATATGCATGATAATAATGATAATAATCACTTTAATCGGTTAAAAATTGTGATTTATAGAAATATTAATAAAATAAATACATATATTTCAAAACGGCTTAATTTTTCCCATGTTGCTTTCATTCACCTTGGGCATGATTTTTTTCCCTCTTCTCTTTCCCAAATGTCATTCCCGCAAGCAATTTTTCCGAAATCTTTTGAAGAGTTGTTTTCTAACCTGCTTGGTTTGTTATAGGGTGGCTCTTCGAATGGTGTTAGTGCTGCTCCTCTTCCGGGTTATACAGTTTCCGAAGTTCCAAATGCTTGGAATATTCAAACTAGCAGAACATCAAGAGTTGTTGAAGTGGCTGACACTTTTGTTGGAACATCTTCCCATGATTATGGTGTGTTTTTCACTTTTTGAATATTTCTTCAAATATGCATTCTAGGTAATTTCACAAATAAATATGGTGGACGTGTAACAGTGGAAGAAGTTCTTGATTCAATTTTCCAAAAAGTTCAACCAACTGCACACCAACATTTTGGCAGTCATGGAAGTCAAAGCCATATCGATCAGGTGTTCCAAGGTAATCTTGAAGGTCCTGGAATCTACACAAATAACAACAATGTGATGAAACAAGTTTTGAAACAACCAGAAAGAGCTGAAACTTTGTTACAGTACGTTTGAAAAACACAAAATTGAGAATTACATAATTGAGTTGTTTTGTTTTTAGAAATGAGGATTTATACGTTCGCTGTACCCAATGTCATAGAACCCGTGAAGTGTCGAGTGCTAGATTGCATTTCGTTTCTTGCAAACATTGTTATACTTATTATTGTACAAGGGAATGCAGGTTGGTTTTTTGGAAAGGGAAACACTGAAATATGAAGAGATTAGAAGCAACATTCGTTCTTATTTTCTGATTTGTTAGAATCTTTCTTTGAAAATGAAATACTTCTTCTGAAATGCAATAAAACACAAAAAAAAACATTTGAGCTCTATGCTGCTTGGTCATTTAGAAAATCTGCAAGTATTTTAATCCCAATCCCCTTTTTTCCAAATGTTCTTCATAGAATTCGATAATTCTCCCAAATCCTCTTTGTTTTTTAAGACACAACAACTGGCCAATTCACGCTCAACGTTGCTCTTTTGCTCGAATCAACACATTATGCAAAGATGTTATAATGAAAGTATGTCGTTTTTCTCTCTCATTCCCCAAAAACAACCAAAACATCAAAAAACAATCACGTCAAATTTAATTTAGGTGCGCGAAGATGAAGAAGCACAGGCGTTCATGTCGAAAGTGGCCCGTGAAGGATATTCGACCAGTGGTAGAGGAAGTGTGAATATTCGATTGTCATCACCACAAATTGCACAGGTTTGAAAATACTTTTTTTTCACTTCTTGATACACCATGTTTTTCTAGGCTTATGTGAGCAATGGTTGGAGAGCACTTGCTGGAATTCCACTTAGCCAACTGTTATATTATTATACCGTTGCTGCTTTGGTTCAAGAGAAAAAAGAACCCTCACTTATTGCACTTTGCAACCGATATGAGCCAAGGTCAGCCGTTTTTTAATTAACCAAAAAATTCAATTTAACTTTGCTTTTTTTTGAACCGCAAAAACCCCTGCAAAGAAAATTAAAAGAAAACAAATATTTCATCGAAAAATAACGAGTTTTTTGTAACGATTTTTTCCCGAGAGATGAAATATTGTTGTCTCATACCAATTATAAAAATCATATGGTATATGTATGCAAAATTGTGCCAATTGAAAACAAACAAAAGAAAAACGAATTTTTTTCAGAGAGAAGTTCATCTTGTCGGTCTCAATAATTGCCGACATTGAACATTGTCCAGAAACACCACCACCAGAAACCCGCGAATTGTCAGCTGTTCAGTTTTCATCACCACGATCAAGATACGAAGCCATTCAAAACACTCCATATTTTTCAGAAGTTGCACACAATGTTTAGATAAAAATTATCATATTTTCTCAAAAACAAAAATCTTTTTTCTATAGGTATCAATATTTTTCCCGTGATTTTTTATGATTAATTTTGTGATACCCGAAAATATTTTCTATTATTCCCAACAGCCATGTCTTCTATTTAATCTGTCATAACTATATTTTGATTGATTCTCCATCATTACAAATAAATATGAAATAATTTTTCATCGTTTTTTATTATTTCGAAATAATAAAAAGAAATTGGAAATTTCGAAGAAGAAGAAGAAAAAAAATAAATACCAACCAAACCAAGAAAAAATGTCAACACAAAGTGATGTTGTTCGGCGGCTGAAATATGCCCGCGGGGCTCGTTTTGGACAGCGAAAAAAAAAGAAGAAAAAAGAAACGTCCGAAATTCAGACATCTATAAAAATGACGAGAAAAAACTAGAAATTGGTCATGTACTTTCACTTTGTTGTCATATGTATAAGTTGAATTTATCTGAAAATTCACGATTTTTTTTCGAAATTTTTCAAATATCATGACATTTTATATGATAATTGTTAATTTCAATATTTTTTTTTCGAAAATTTCAAAAACAAAAAAATCTTCTATTTTTGCTCTATCGCATTTTTCTTTCACCATTTCAACGAATGACTGACTGACTAACTGAAGACAAGTCCAAAACAGCGGCTAATTTTTCAAAAAAAAAAATCTGCTCTCGTCGCAATAAACTGAACATATATTTCTTTGGTTTTGTTTTGTTAGAACAATTTTTCGAGAGTGCTTCCTTATTTTTTGGTTTTGGTCGGAAATTTGAATTTTTTGCTTTATGGAGATAGAATTTGAAAAAAAAATTATAATGTGATTTTTGTGAATATTTCTGTACATTTTCAGTACTGCAACAAAAAAAAGGAATGTTTGTCAATCTGTTGATTTATTCGACACCACATAATACCGTTATGTCATAAGATTTTTGGCTAATGCTATACCCTGACATCTTCAAATTTTGATAGCTGTTCAATAAAGATCCGAAATTAGCTATTTTTAATAACAACTTCAATACCACTTAAAGCCAGAATTTCTCCATGACTAACCTACATCAATTTTTTCCTACTGTATGTCACTCTTTAAAAGTTTTAGAGAAACTTGATGTTTGAAACTTTTGGGTTCTCTGGTTTTCATTCTTAATTTGAAGTTCACATCAAACCACGTTTCTGGCCTAAATGAAGTCTAAGAAGCTATTTTTGCTTCTTCTTCTACTTCTTCTTCTCATTCTTCTTTCATATCTTCTTTTCTTTCTTTTTTCATCTTCTTTTTTCTTCGTCTTTTTGATTCACTAACATATGCAAATCGGGCGATTTCAGTTCAGTCGCCAAAAAGTTGTTGTCTCCGCAAGTACTTTAATGTACTATGTTTTTCTTTGTTTTGTTTTTCTTCCTGGAAAACATTCAGCCAAGATTTTTTTCTCAAAAGTGAGAAAGACGTGTTATTAGATTATTATTGTTTTTTTTCGGAGTTTTTTTTTTGAAAGTTTTCGTTTTACTCGTTATATCGTTTTTCTTCCTCATTTCTTCGCCCTTTTTCATAATTAGTTTTTTTTTCCTTGGGATGGTTACAGACACGAATTTTAGAATTCTCTCGTCATGAATAATTTTGCTCGTAAACAATTAGTTGAATTATTCAATCACAATATCATCAAAACAATTTGTAATCAATTAATCATACATAATTCTCAATATTTTGCTTTTGCTAAAAATACTCAATTTCATTAAACTTAAACATTTTCTTCTTTAATTATTGCCCAAAAAATTCCTCCTCCGCAAAAACCTCAAATTTCACCAAAAAAATAATGTGATTCAATTTCGGGTGAGATGTATGTTATCGGAAAGGAAATTATTATTTTTTTATTCATTCTTTTTTTCAACTTGTCAAAAATTTTTTGGTTAGATATGTTGATTGAAGAAGAGAGTTTTTCTCATGTTAGAAGAGTGTTCTCTTTTTTTTTGTTTCAAGATGGAACTTTTTTTGGAAAAGTAATAGGATTAGTGAGAACAGGAGATTTGTGTGTGCTAAAAAATTGTGATGAAGCTTGGAAAAATTATTTTAGGGTTTTTAATTGAAGGTTAGAAATTTATTTTGGTCTCAATCGAAGCGTTTTGTGAAAATTTTGACCAGTTCAAGTCAGTACCTTTTTGGAAGGCCCAGGATATACAATTTCATTAACTTTTGTAAAATTATGATTCATTTTTTTTTTCATTATATCATGACGTCAGAAATTAACAGAACTCCTGACTTTTTGTCATCCAAAGTTTATGCATACTCAGAAGTCTGTGCGACATCCGACATCTCATTAAATATAACACCCGAAATCTGAACCCTCTAGGAGGTTTCCGTAAGGTGGTCGTGACTGAACTGAAACAAACATTTTTGTGTTTTTTCTCTGTGTATTTTCTCATCTGATTCACTGCCTTTTTCAACACATAATATTTCTTTCTCACAAAATGGCATATTTAGAAATTCAATCAAACCCACGAAAAATCGCATTTATTTGACAGAGTATTTTTAATTTGGGTTCTTTTTTTCACGACTCCGCCTTTTGGATTTTTTCGAACCTGGGCGGAGTCAGCCTACAGGACAAACATTTTGATTTTTTTCTGTATTTTTAAATGGCTCACATAATCCCAGATTTCTCATAACATAAATGTCCTACTTGTTTTTTTTTTCGAAAAAAAACAAGAAAATAAGAAGAATAATGTTCCCACATTCAAAGTGCACAATAATATTGTTCATGTTTGGTTTTCGAATAAGATTTGCTCAAAAAAATCTTGGCTTTCTCTATTTGAATATTTTGTTGTTGATTGGTGAATGTATATTGAGTTATTTGAAATCAAATATGTATCAAAAATATTTTTTGTTATTGTTATTTTTTCAATGTTTCATTTTTGGTATAATTGAATTGCAAAACCTGATAAATGAAAAATGTAGTTCAAGTGAGGTTTTTTTTTCTTTTCATGTCGTCGCATTGCGGTCCAGCGTTGCGTGTTGATAACAAAAGTTGATATTAGAATTATAAATTTCGTGAATATTTATTTGTTATTGTTCAAGGATTCCATTTTTCAAAAGTTTTTTATCCAAATAAAAATGAAACTGACAACTTTTACATGGCAAGTTGCGATTCACATACATTTTTCTCAAAAAATCTTCCAAAAATTTATTATATGATAAACATGTAGGGCGATTATTACTAGGATTTCTTTTCTATATGCATACATATGTAATATGATTTCTAGTCGCGAATATTTTTAGCACTCTCCTCTCACTTTTTTAAAGCTAAAAATTAAGAAAATTCATCAAGTGACGAGACTCTGACAAAACGTCAAGTACCTCCCATTTTTTTGTGCTCAGACTAGGCAAATTTCTGAACTCGTTTTTTGTGTCAAAAAAATTCATTAGAGAAAAAATTGTTTGAATTTTTAATGGAAATTGGTTATTTTTTATCACTGGGAATTTTCTCATTTCAGAAAAGAAAAACATTGAGAAAATCCCTACAAAACGATGCCCATTTCATTTTTTTCTCTCTGGTGGCTTTCCGAATCAGAATATTCAAATAAAGTTTTTTTTCGAGTACATTTTAAAAATCTCCCATCTCTTCTCTTTTCATTTTTTGTTTTTATTCGACTATGAAACTCAACTACCCGTTTCTGTTGATGTATTTTTTTCAGCTTTTTATTTTTGTCTGAGTTGGTTTATGAACATTCTGGGAGGGGGTAACGCATTCTATGGACGGACCACCACCTCAATTTTTTCTCATTGAGATTTCAAAAAAAAACATATGAAATGTTTTTGTGTGATCGTGATCGAGAAACGAAACTCATAAACCACTCTCATTCTCATTGAGATAAAACTTCATGTGTTATATAGTTTTTTTTCTTTTCTCATCGGACATGAAAAAAATATTATAATAATTGTAGAACATTTTGAAGCACTCTTTAAACACACGTGTCTAGAGCTAGAGCAGAATTCTTCTTTTTTTCCTTTTACACATACTCATATTACTTATTTCCTAACATATATACACTTATGATATTTCTTATGAATGAATGAATAAAAAGGCAACACATGTCTGTCTGAAAAGCAAAAAAATAACATCGGAGTGAGAAGAAGAAGGAGGATCAGGAAAAAAGAAAAAAGAAGAAGAATAAGTCACTTCTCTTTCACCTCTTATTATCCATTTTCGAATACACTTTCACTTCATTCTCTATTTTTGAGCTTCTACTTTTTTCGAAATCTCATCTCAACAATGTCTTGGTGAGTTTATCATAAGAAAAATTAGATTGAAAAGTGCATTACTTAAGCCATGGATTATTTTGCCTTACAAAATGCGATTATATAAAAATGTTTTGTAAATAGGATTTCAATTTTTGAAAATGATTATTGTAAGAGGATAACATGTACAAAAAATGTCTATTTTTTTCGATTTTCAGCAATATTTTCCAACTGATTAGAAAGTTTTCTGACGTTGGTTTTCTCCATTTTGATTTCTTGATTCTCCCAATATCTTCTGGATTTTTTTTAAAGATATACTGTTTTGAAAGATATATACATACATTTATTGACTCAAGCTATTGAGATATTGAAACATGCCATTTAGCACATATTATATAGTTTTTCCAGATTCTATCAACTAATATTTCATGTTTTTTTTTTCGTTTTTAGCAAACACATATTTTAATCTGAAACAACTGTTGTCAATACGATTTATATAGAAATCCATCAATTTTTTATCTGACTTGTGATTCAATTAATCAAACCAAAAAAAGTCTGAAAATGTGTTTCTTTGATTTTTCGAGAAAAAAAATGCATCCATCCCTATAAAAAGGAAAACCAGTTCAACACAACTACAGTACCCCTTCTATCGGAATTGAGATTCACTAACGAGCTAACAAACGCAAGTTTCCTTCCGGGGCACAACTGAAGAGAATCTTTTGAGTGAGAGAAGCAGTAGTACTGTGAACAAAATCATTTTGTCTCGATTTTTGCCTTTGTGGTTAACTCAACTCACGCTATATTTCCATTATTTCCCAAAACTAATTTCTTCTACATTTTTCTTTTATTATTAGGAAAAATAAGAGAGAGTTCGCTTTTGTTTTTCGTTGTTTTTCTTTTTAGGACCAGCTTTTCTCCCCATTTTTATTATTGGAATTCATAGTTTTTTTTTTCGTTTTTCTTTCAACATTGAAAAGAAATGAAATGAAATGAAAATGAGAAATCGTGATCTGAAAATGAAAAAAAAACATTCTAGCGTCAGAATATGTTTCTCATTTTATTAAGTAATCCTTTTTTTCTTCTTTTGGATATGTCTTGATTTGATTCACTGAAAAGAATGACCTGCTTCTCCAAAAGAAAAGTAAATCCAATTATTTTTCCTTCAAACAGTTTAGAGAAGTTTTTAACTAAAAATTGATCCAAAATATATGCATAAAAGATGACAATGATTGTATTGCGCACACTTGGATAATCCAAATCTTGAGCACTCAACAGATTAGTAAATGTATTTTCAAAAAAAAAATAAATTCTTCATCTCATAAAAATGTTTACTCTTTGTTCTTCTTCTTTTTCTGCTTGTTAATATTAACCAAAAAACATCACTAAAATTGTCAAAAATAATTTATGTTTATATATTTCATTTTTTCAGGGAAATGGGCAATCAGAGTGCTCCAGCAAATGCTGCCGCAACTGTTGGAAGTATTGCCTATTGTTATGTACTTCCATGTATATGTGCCATAGGTTTGTATTTTGTTCTTTTCTTTGTCATGTCATACATCCGTTTTGATACAGATGAGTGACAATGTGTCTTTTGAATAGACTCAATTAGGACTTTGTTAAACGGCCAAAAAAGTCAAAAATCTGATCTTTCAGGGATCGTTGGAAACATTACAAACTTGATTGTTCTAGCATCTCGCAGACTTCGTGCCGTGTCTTATATGTACCTGAGAGCATTAGCAGTTGCTGATCTTCTTTGTATGCTCTTCGTATTGATTTTCGTTTCAACAGAGTTGATTAACAAAAATGGATCAGCATTGAGTCAATATAAATTGTATCAAATATATCAATGTCATTTTATGTTGACGTTAATTAATTGGGCTCTAGGTGCAGGTTGTTATGTTGTTGTTGCATTATCATTGGAACGATATATCTCGATTGTTTTTCCAATGCATTTTCGAACATGGAACAGTCCACAAAGAGCAACACGAGCAATTATGTTGGCTTTTTTGTTACCTGCAATGTTTTATATACCTTATGCTATCACAAGATATGAGGGAACCCAACATTTCGATCCGGCAACAAATAGAACAATCTATTCGATGAATGATCATCCGAATTATAAAACGTTCACCTGGCAGGTTAGTAATAAGCAATACAGCAATTATTCATTAGTTTATTTCTTAACATTTCAGATCTACAAATGGACTCGTGAAGCATTTCTTCGTTTCTTGCCTATCATTATTTTGACAGTTCTCAATATTCAAATTATGATTGCTTTCAGAAAAAGACAGAAGATGTTCCAGCAATTGACCAAGCGGAAAGAGCAAGGAACACAAAAAGTAAAATTAATTTTAATTTTCCAGACAAAACCGGAACTTTAATTATTTATTTGCAGGATGACACTTTGATGTACATGTTAGGAGGAACTGTTTTGATGTCATTGGTTTGTAATATTCCTGCTGCAATCAATTTGTTACTTATTGATGAGGTAAAAAAAACATGAAAAGAAAGATTAACTCATAAAGTCTTTGTTTTTAGACATTGAAAAAGCGGTTGGATTATCAAATATTCCGGGCGGTCGCAAATCTTTTGGAGATTACAAATCACGCTTCACAATTTTATGTGTTTTGTGCTTGTTCCACAGATTATCGTACAACGTTTCTTCAAAAATTTCCGTGTTTTAAAGCGGATTATACAAATCGCGATAGACTTCGATCATTTGTTCGAAGAACTCAATCAGTTATACATCGGGATAAACAAGGAAGTGTTGAACACACTAATAATTCAAAGGTTTGGATTCTCAGAAACAGTGATAAACCGGAGGTGAGGTCTAATGGATTCTATTTGGCATGAGAATATTAGAACAAAACCTTTAGATTTTTATTCAACATTTAAATTTCCCCGTTTTCCATTATGACCTCACCGGCATGTTTTCACAACAACAAAATGTTGAATAATTCAAATTTGAATTTTATAGTTTCAAAGAGATTCTCTATCACATCAATCTTGTAAAATGTCTCGTCGTATTCCAATTGAACAAGATACTGTAGATATTCAACTAGCATCAGGTGAACAAAGCACAAGTGGTGAAGCCAGAGAAGCAGAAACACTTATTAAATATGGTGGAGCTGCACAATTATGCTCTGATGATAATAACACTACTTTCTTATGAACAAAAATCCGATTGAATAAAAAAAGACAAACGTGTGTCTATAATTTTGGGTATTGATTTATTATTGTCATGTTTCATTTTTCTTTGCTTTTGATTAGAATTGTGTCTCAAACAAAACATTACAGATCTCGCTTATGATTTATTTCTTGATTTATTTTATTTGCCAAACTTATGAAATGAAATAAAACTATTTGCTTAGTTTTTTTGAAAAAAAAAAACGAATACATCACGAATCTACAAAAGCTGGAAATTAGAAGAATTGTTCAAGTTATGAAATATATAAAATATTTTCTGTTATCACATAATTTACATTTTAGGGTTTCTCAGTTTCATCTTAATTTCGCAAAATTTATGAACTGGAACAAAGAATTAGAGAGAACATTGAACACATATTGAAAGAAACAAACAATTATTCTTTTTGGTCCGCCCAGCTGAAAATATTTTGGTTTCATTATCCTGAAAACATAATTGTTTCTAAAACTGAATCGAATCAGATTTCTTAAATTTTCATTTCAATTAAATACATATAAAATAGGGATATAATATGAAATTCATATTCTTCCTTGTTATTGATATTTTGGAAGTTTCTAATATTTTTTGTGAACGTGAGTTTTTCAATTCAAACTGGAAATCAAATCAGCTCACTATAGTAATTTGTAAGTGTTTTTTTCAAAATCTTCTTTGTACTTTATTTCCAAAAAAAAATTATTTCGAACGCTTCGGCTTGTTTTATTAAATTATTTTCATGAACAAAAAATAATTGAATTAGATATAAAACAAAGCATAACATTAATTTCAGAGAATCCAATTGTTCCAGTTTATAAACCACGCGAAAACCATGAAAAATATGTGAATTCGACAAACATTTATTCTCGTGGTGATAGTGATGAATTTATAAAATATATATTGTATTCACATAAATCAGATTTGACATCTTCTGAATGGATTGACAACAGAAAGAAGGGACAATATCGTTGGAGAAGTTCATCAAATTTAACCAGTAAGGACTGACTTATGTTTTTGAAAAATCAATTATTTTCAGCATCGGAAAAACCACCAACATATTGGATGAAAAATGACTTTTATCGAAACTCCAGAAAATGTGATCTCTGTGCGTATTATTTTCTCATTATATTTGTATTCATTTTTTTGTTTTGAACTAATCTGAAATAATCAGTGTTTTTTGATAAAAATATTGCTTATGTATATGTTGTTGTGATAAATAAATAACATAAACTTCTGAAATTCAAATGGTTTTTTTTTATTTTTCATTCCAATAAAAAATGTATAATTGATTGGCCCGGCAGTTGAAAAATATTCAATGTTTGAAATACTAGACTGACAAATTTCCAAGTCTTCTATTTCTCAAAAGTTTATTCCTTCGGTTCTGAAAAATCGAAATATTTTTTGCAACTTATAAATGGAAGTGTCTAGAGATAAATATCTTCAATTTCAGATATTGATAATTTTTTAGTTACCGAGCCATTTAAGAAACAAATAATGAGATAAATTAAAGACAAAAACCGGCTGATTATAAGGACAAAAAATAAAAAAAAATAACAACTTCCTTTAAAGATTTTTATGAAAAAAAAGTTAGGTCACATCAAAAAGGGTAAAGCACTGAACTGTGTAAAAAACTAGGAAATCAATTGGAGGTTAATAATGTTAAATATTAATTCAAGAATATATATTTCAAAATCTGGTTCAAAATTGAACCAAATGTGGAGCAGGTTCGTTGACCACATTCACATCTAAAAAAATGTTGTTTTTGCTGAAGATGGATCTTTAAAGTTATGGAATTAGATTTCTAACTCACGTTTTCACTTTGAGAAGAAGAACTATTAGTAGCTTCGGAATCTGTTGAATCATTGGAATAATACACCCTGTAATATGATTCATCATCTCTCTTCTCATCGTCATTTTCTCTCTGAAAATTTTGTTCGACGCGATCAGAAGCTGAAAACAAAAATTAATTTTCAAAAAACAACACAAGGTTTCGTTTTTCATTTTCAAAACATTTCGTCAGGAAAATCATGAAAAACTCACTACTTGTTTCTAATGTCGAGTATTCACCAGAAGTTGCAAATAATTTGTTTTCAGCACATTCATCTTCAACATGAACTGAGATTTCTTCAGTAATAGGTTCCAAAATTCTCGATTTTTTTGATGTGGATTGTCCTTCGTAATCTTAAATCAATTGACATGGAATTAGTATGATTTTGTAAACATACCCCTCATTTCAACATAATCTGAATCCCAACCAGAAACATGCTTCATTCCCTCAATATGCTTGCGTTTATTATTTTTCTTCTTATATCTACCATTTTTCGACGAACTCATCTGATCAACAGGCTGTGCAAGACATTCTATATTTCTACCCACGTAGAGATAATTGCTCAAATCAATAAACTCAAGAACACGAGTGATTGGATCTTTTGGAAAATGAACATGACGTTGTTGATCTGGCGAGTGGAGTGATTTCTGTTCTGCTTGGACATCCTTTTTGTTATTTGCAATATCGACTTTTTGGATCGAAGGTTTTCGATTTTGAGAGAACATCTTGCGATTCTTTTTGAAAGATGTTAATGAAAAATAAACAAACGAAAACAACATCAACATCATCAAAATTCCAGAACACACAACAAGAAGCAATCCAAACTTATCTAAAAAAAAACGTATTTTTTAAATATTGAATACTTGTCTCTCATTCGTATATCTTTATGAGAAATTGAAAAACCGTTAAATATGGATAGGATTTTGTAGGTATATAGAAATGAAATTCTCAACGGGTGGTGTATTCATATGAGAGGCAGTTATGAACTTTCAAGAATATCCAGACTCACTGTGGTTGAGAACCAGGAAAATGTTCGTTAAAGCAGCGCCAAGTAGGCTGAACAATTTATATGCCCACATCAACTTCATTCCATCAGAATTATTATTGTGAAATGACATTCCCATAGAAATTAATAAAAATAACAAGGGAACTATGAGCATCGGGATAGTTTCTAATGAAAAGTTGAAGATTTCCAATAAGAGTATTATTGACCAAAGAAAGTCCCAGATCATGATAATTGTGAAGATCATAATCTGAAAGTCATTAAGAATGTGGTTTAAATTAATTATCAAATATATTACATACCTTCCACCCCAAATCTTGTATATTTTTTGGATCATCCATTTTTTCCAGTTTTGTTTTCAAAATCCAACAAATCTGTAAAGTTATGAATACTGTAAACCTTTCAAAAGCGCCGAAATTTATGCATGTTATAAGCCTCAAAATAAAATGATCTACTAAAAATACTAATTTGCTATTATAAATGTTTAAAAATAAAAAAAAGAAGAAAAGAAAATGATCGTCGCACTTGTTTTGAGCTGAATGAAACGAACTTCTGTTTGTAGAAAAAAACGAGAGAATTATTGAAAAGGAGAGACGCAGAAAGGCAAAAATGAGAAACTGTTGTCCTTACATCTGTTTGAACCATAGACAGAACAAAATAACTGAATGTTTTGAATGAAAAAGGGGAAGAAAAGCTTGAATAGGTAAAGATTTGAAAGTCTTGTGTCGGCGAGGGATGATTTCTTTTGATTATTCAGAATGATTCATTGAGACATTGGCGTTTCGCATACGTAAATGAAGAGTGCATTGTACTTTGAAGAAGTTTCTCGAATGTATTTCAACTGGTGTTCACGAATCTGTAATCGTTTTCTGCTTTGACGCCACAAATTTTCCAACAAATAATTCTTGCTGTAATTTTTCCAGAATAAAGCTTCAGAAAATTATTAATTATCATAGCAGTGCACATTTTTTGTGAACATGGCATTAATACAATCAATGTAACGTCTACAAATCTTTATCGTAATTGAAAACTAGAAACAAATTATATTTATGCTTCACTTCAAAATTGTATCATTTTTTCGATTCTGGAGCTTTGTTTCCAAAAAAGTGACATAGTTCCTGAAGTATCTCATTATCTTTAATTCCGGTATGAAGATAACTTACAGATTTTGATTTTCCAAATATTGATTTTCTACTACAGTTAAAAGTATTTTTTATGCTTGAAATTTGAGCTGCCGCTGCATTGAGAACAACTTGTTTTACATGTTCTTGTTCAGGAAGCTTGTAGAGCTAAAATTCAGAAAAACTTCAATATGGTTTTGTGGTTTTTGAAAACTTACATTATTCAACATTACATTAACTCCATAGAAGAAAAGTTCAGAATTTGTTAATTCAAATACAGATTCTTCAGGGTGTTTCTAAAATCCCAAAATTATCTAGAATATCGAAAATGGGAAAAAATGTTTCTCACATGCAAGTCACTCTTGTGCGTTTTTCTCAATTGCTCATATGAAAAAGTAATAGCAAATACAATTGGATGTAATGTGTCAGTGCTCACAGATGTTATATTCTGAAATCTTTCCTAATTTGTTCAAAAATAATATAGACAAACTTGTTCATAAACAATTGCAGTTTTGTTCAATTGTTTCAATGTACAGTTTTTGGCAACTTCCGAGAAATAAGGCAAAAATATTCGATTTTCTGCATCCATCACCATTACTTTTCCAATTTCTTTAGCGATTTCAAAACCAAGTGTTCCAAACTGCAATTGATTTTGTAAAAAAAAATCATATTATTTTCAAAACTCACAATAAAGCCAGGTGGTGAATTACCATCGAAAAGTGTTAAAAACGGATTCGCAACTGTCACAACGGGAAAATTGGTGTAAGTTTCAATGTTTTTGAGATTCTCTGCTTCTTCTATATCTACATCATTTAAACATAAAAACTGCATTGAAGGTATATTATATTCTCTGGAAAAATATCATTAACTTTATTTCGAATACTTTTTCAATTTTACTTCAAACATTTCTCATAATCTTGATCAAGTTTTATAAGTTTTGGAATACTATTAAACGCATATTCTTTCGGATTTCGCAACTTTAGAAGGCGTGATATTTCACTAAATGATCGCGAACTTTCAGAATTTTTTATCCATTTTGTAGTCTGAAATAAATAAAAACAATTTTAATGTTTTGTTATATTTTGGTGTCTTTACTGTGAACATTTTCCGCAATTCTTGTTGAAAATATTTGAACAGTTTTAATGTTTCTTCAAATTTTCCTTCATTTTCTATAATCCAATAATATGCTGCAACATTATGAAAATGAACTTTTGCTTTGTCTAATAGTCTCTATAAAATTCACAATCAAAATTTAAGATTCTTTTCTTTTCTGACAATCAGTAAAAAAATATAGCTTACTTCCATACGATAAATAAGTCCGACAAGTAATTGATCTTTCAAATTGATTGAAGCTCTTGTACAGTTTGTATCAAGTAGAAGATTTTCAAATAAATAATGATTGTAAACTTTTCCGAGCTGTCTTAACATAATATACAATTCGCTAGAATTTTTCAGGCAACTGTAAACAAATATATCTTCGAGTTTTCAAATGAAATTCTTACAAATTCTCAAAATCATCGGCTAACGCCAAAACTGATTCATTCAGGCTGCTATCTTTCAGAAATTGTGAAATATATTTGATTCCAATTGGAACAGTGTAGTTCTAAAGCATTCGATTGCAATATATAATTTTTTAAGTTCTTGACTCACATAGTGTTCAGTAAAATTATCAGATATCAAGTCGAAAATCTGATCATCATAATTTTTTTGAATCGAGTTCAACATTGTTTCATTGTTCGCCAATTTTATATACGAAAAATCGTAAATACTCTCACACGCATTTGCATTTGTATCAAGGTTGCTGAAATTATCATTTGATTATGACTATAACATGTACATTCACCAACTTACTTCTCTATAATTCGCAAAACATCAAGCTTCAATGAATAACAGAGGCTCAAAAACTGTAATAAAAATATAGAGCTGAACATTTTGATTCAAAAACCAAACAGTCGCTCAACTTTTATATAGAAGTTGGGTGTTTATGGTTTCAAATAAATAAAATATAATATTCTTCATAAACAGTTGTTTCCAGAGGAATGTATTAGTAGAATGAATTCAACAAGTGGAACAATTTTTTGATTCGATAAATGGTAATAATCGAAAAGATAAATAAATCCCGGATAAGAAACATTGAATTAATTTTTTGTTTTAACAAAAATTCCCCGTGATATTTTCATCAAATTTTAAAGTTGAAACAAATATGATTATCTTTCAGTTTTCACACGCTATATGAGAACTTTACTCATTATCTACAATGGAAATTCAAAATTTCAGTAGAATTTTATTTGGAAGAAATAAAGAATAATATATAAAATAATTTTTATGGTGATATATTTTGTTTATATGCCTTTCAATAAAATTATTTTTATTTATGGTCCATTTTCAGAAATTGAATTTAATGAATCGTGGAAGATCTTCTATCTAAATTTCGAATCTCCGTTTTCGAACCCAATCTCATAAACAGTTCCTATCCTTTTTTTCCCTCTCATTGTTCTTTTTTCTCACAGGGATTTAGCAACACAACAAATTGAAAAGAAGAAAGCGCGCTCCAATGCAAACAAATGTGTCTCTCTTCCCCTGCTCGATTTTTTTCTGTTTCACTTTCTCTCTTATGAAATATGGCTACACTTCCATTCACTTCCTTTTTTTCATTTATTCGTTGAATTGTTATCGATCCAATTTATTGTTCATTTTCAGACATTGTTCTCAAACCAGACCATGACATCGACACAACAACGCGAACCCGAAAGGGTTAGTTTCCACTTGATTTTTTTTTAAATATTTAATATTTTCAACTTTCCAGGTTAATCTTCTTGCCGATTCGGATAGTGAGGATGAATATAAACCACAACAAGAACGGTGAGTCATTTTTCATTATGATAACTTCAAAAACTGTATTGAATTTAGCTCTTCACATTTCTGGCCACGCGATTTGGCAAATTCCGCTCACGCTGAAGCTGGAATCGTCGACAATGAAGGAAAAATTCCGGGATGCGTGGCAAGCGCCAATCGAATGATCAGAATTGGTATGTTTTATTGATTTTCCTTTGTGTTGCTGAAAACTTATGCAAACGTGTGAAAAAGAAAAAGAGGAGAACAAGAACCATGCAATTATTTCTGTTTTCGAGAATTCTGAATAATTATAGATGTTATTGAAATATTGAAATCAGAAGCAACTAAAGGTACAAAGAACAATCTCACTTTTTTGCAGCTTTTCTCCGCAAAGTTCTTGGCATCGTTTCGTTCCAAATCATCTTGACAATTGCAATCTGCACTGCGATTTACTTCATTCCAAATTCAAAAAGTTTCCTTCAAAGAAAGTAAGTTTATTTTTACAAGATTATTCTTCAAATGGGTAAAACAGCAAAACAAAATATACACAAAGATTATAAGGGAGGCAAAAGTATAAATTAAAGTTGGATTTGAATAAGAACTCCAAGTTCACATTACTCTGGAACACTTGAGAGATGATTGAATGGACTTGCGCGAGTTTCTTCCATTTGGTCCTCGGAAAAGTCTTCAGTGTCCATTTCATGACGAATTGGATCGCTGAGAAGATAATCTTCGACAATTGTTGCAAACTGCAATTATTTTTATATAGAACTTTGGACTTTGAACATTGAAAATAATATGAAAGATACCTGATCAGCAGAAAGATGGCCATTTGCTGAAACATCCAATTCGCGAAACACTTTCTCTGCCAACTCGTCGTCGAAATCGCCAAATTCTTTGGCAATATATTTGAACTCGTTTTCAGTAATGATTCCATTACGATCTTGGTCAAAGATCTCGAAACATTCTCGAATCAATTCTTCGTTTGTTGATTTCACAATGTTTTGTGATTTTTTCATACAAGCACAGAATTCTTCAAAATCGATTTCGCCATTTCCATCAGCATCAACCTAGAAACAATTTTGGGTTCACAAGAAAACATTTGAAAAAGTCTGACCTCTTTGATGACATTGTCGATTTCATTTTTGTTTGCGTGAAGTCCAATACTGATCATCGCCTGTTTCAACTCTTCATTTCCAATGGCTCCAGAACCATCGGTGTCAAACATGTTGAACAGTTGACGGTACTCTTTGAGTTCTTTGCTAAAAAAGGATGGATTTATTGTAGAAACATTTTTGTTGAAATGAAAAAGCCTTGCCTATTGAAAATAGATTGATAAGGTTTAGTTTTGCGGATATCAAAGAAGCTCAACATACTACTTCAGCGAATATGAAAAACAAAAAGAAAATGGGTGTTATCAGAAATTATCGGTTTCTAAATCTCATATTGTCATGACAACTTCGTAAACTTGAAGACCTCTAGGGAATTTCATAATTGTTTTCAAAGAAATTTTGCTTAACCTAACAATTAGCGGACATGTGATATACGAAGAAAAAGCTGAAGTTTGTCAAGAACTTGGTAAAGTTCACATATGGATTGCTTGAATGAACTTTAGAACAAGAGAACTGGACCAAAATTGTTCATAAAATGTTAAGCTTCTCATAAAACTGTAACTTTGAGAAAATTAATTGTGCTCATTTTAACGGTTGAAAGTTATTTCGAGGAACCTTCAGAAAATGAGAATGTTAATTAAGTTTCTGGAATATTTTCGTGTGATCCGCATTTTCGGAAAGTATTCAAGATATGGACTATTTTTATTTCACACTTACTCAATTAGGAAACATTTTTGAATTTTCAAAAGAAAAGTTGTGATGTTTCAGATTTTTGAACTCATCAGTTTTTTTTTTCGAAATATTGTTATCAATAAATGTCCACAGTTTAAAAACCGCAATCCTACCTCTCCAGGAAATGCTGACCTCCCAGGTTTCTAACTCACCGTGTATACTTCATTTGTGTTGTATCCTCGGGTTGACTTTGTTGTGAATGAATAGTACCACGAGACGATGTGGAATGTTTTCTTCCAGTCTGAGGTTTTTTCGTTTCTAACTGCCTCGCTACTCCAACTTTTGCCGATCGCATTTTCCTTCTTTCTTTCCGGGCGTGTCTAGATGTTTTCCTTTGTTTTTTCTTCCTGTTGTTTTTTTTTTGTTCCTCGGATTGAGGGTCTAAAAACTTTGTTTTTTTTGTGCGTTGTTTCTCTCTGGGTGGTGGTGATGATGGGTGGAAGTAGAACAAAAATAGGAGAGAATGAATGAGTTGAAGAAAAAACAACATAGAATTGAAACAGATGTATACCCGAGACAGACAAAGAAACAAAAAAAAAGTTTTGAGGAATGTGGAAGGAGCACACATTTAATGGGCAAAACAGAAAAAAAGCACCAAGAAAAACACACAATTAGTTTTACAGAAAAAATGGATGGCTTATGGGTTAAAAATGGAGGGTCGAAAGGATTTTGAATGAACAGAGCTATTTCGCAATTTGTTTTTTGCGGACTCAAAATTTTATATCCAATGAGAGAATATTTTATGTCAAACTAGAAAAACTTTGCAAACTATATTTTTTTGAAAATATGTTCTGACTCGTAAAAGGAACACACATATAACATTTAATTGTAATTCAATTTTCAAAACGTCGAAAATGTTTGTTAGAAAAACAATATCTCAGTTTGAAAAAATAAATTCTCCTTATTTAAAACAAAAGTCAGCCACTGAATGTGAGCAAAAACAAAATAAGTGCATTTGAAAAAAAGAGCACAAAAAAATTTATAAAACAGGATTTGCGTGTCCGATTAAGTCAATTCTCACCAAATCGTTTTGCTTTTTTCGAATTATGTGGGATGAAAAGAAAATAAAAGATTTATCATATTCAAAATTCGGAAGTTCCATCTATCCTATTTAAATATCGCGTGTCAAATAGTAGTTTCATCATCATTGAGAAAAAAAGTTATCGACCAGCCCGAAAATTTATTATTTTTAATGTATTTTTTGACGGATTAAGAGAGCGTTAGGATGAACGACTTCCGCAACAGGAAGTTGGTAGAAAAAATTGATAATTTTTGAAATTTTCTCATTTTTGTTAATTGGGGAGGGGGCTGACAGAAAGTTGAACTCTGGAAACCAGAAAAATTTATGGGAACTTGAAAATCTGGAAAAGATTGAAGAGTTTTTTCTATTTAATTTTAGCACAAAGTTGACCTAATCACTATTTTTTCTTAATTTCGAATTTCAACTTTGCACATTTTGGTTTCAATCCGCAAGAACTTCTTTTTGGTATAGACTTTTTAAACAATCCAAGAAATTTCTGAAAATTTCTACGAAAAATTGGTTTCTTTCCAGCTGAAACTGAAAACTGAAGTTGAAAAGTCATATTTTCTAACGAACGCCAAACTAAACCAATTTCAACAAAACAAAAAAAAACACCAAAAAAAATAAAAGAAAGGAAGACGAAAAACAGAACATAAAAACGTACGAAAAGGACAAAGTTAAAAGGTTTTGTGGATAGACTGAAAGAAGGATCTATTCTCAATTTTCTTCTTCCACCCACTATTTTTTCTCGTGCATTTGATTAAGTTTTCTTGCCGCCAATAGTAAAATTTCACAATTAAAAAAAATCTGTTTTCTTTTTTTTCTCCATCTTTTTTTGCTCGCAAATTGCATTAAAATGAGGAAAATTGGAAACACATTTAAATCGAAGCATAAGCTCTTTTTCTAAACAACAAATGTATAAAATGGTGGTTGTAAAAATTTTCCAAAATTGGATTGATGTTATCAATTATGCAGAGGGTAACAAAAAACGCACAATATTTTGAAAAATAGTTGTTTTCAATAAACCAAATATGTTTATGTTTTACTAGCTGAGATATATAAACAACAAGGTCAGATGTGAGAAAAAATATGAAGGCGAAAAAAAGCGTGATGAATATTAAATGTTTTGTGACAAGTTTTACTTGGAGAATATATATGAATTTGTTGTTATTTTTCAGCTCATGGGTGGTCTTCCCAAATTTGTTCGGTTCGATTGCGTTGATTATTGCTCTTCATGTTAAAGCTCGTGATGTTCCAATCAACTATGTTCTTTTGGCCGCGTTTACAACCGTTCAAGCTTTCACTCTTGGATGCATTGGTAAGTTGAATATAAAATTTGAAACAAATGAAATCACACAACTTTATTTCCTTTAAAAATTTCCCATTTTTTTCCAGTTTCAATGTTTGACGCAACCGTCATCTTCGAATCCGCTGTCATAACTTGCCTTGTTGTTGGTGGACTCTTTGCTTTCACCCTCCAAAACAAACGTGATTTCTCATCTGGATATGCTGCAGCTGGATCACTTCTCAGTGTCCTTTTGTTGACTTCAATCTTCCAACTCTTCTTCGTCTCACCAGCCACCAATTTCCTTATCAACTTCTTCGGAGCCGGTGTTTTCTGCGTTTTGCTCGTCATTGATTTGGATATGATTATGTACAGATTCTCACCAGAAGATTATATCTGCGCCTGTGTTGCTCTTTATTTGGATATTCTCAACTTGTTCATCCGCATCTTGCAAATCGTCGCTGAAGCCAACAAGTAAATGTTAATGTAGAAGAAGCATGTTATCGCCATCTCCAAATACTGTGATTGTAAAATGTAAAATTGTCCAAACTTTGTAATATTCTAAAAAAAAACCCCCATATATATATTTCGAAATAAACATTAACTGGCAGATATTATCTCATATACAAGCAAAAAAATGATAGACTAACTCAGAAAACGTCTCGTCAGCCGTCCGCGAGGTTGCGAGCTGTCGAAAGCTAGCAGAGGCATTTCGACAGCTCGCCGCGAGGTTGCTAGCTGGCAGAACCTAGCAGGCGCTGTCTGCGAGCTAGCAAACTGACAAATTAGTATCAGAATTCGACGGCCGTCTGCCGGCTCGCGGACGGTTGACGAGACGTTTTCTGAGAACCATAAACTTCCAAAGTGAGGTATATATAACGTTTGATCTTCTGAATCTGAAATTTAGTGTTTTTCTTTCGGAGAAATCTGAACTTGTGTTTTGAAACTTTATCCTCAAATTTTTTCTCAACAAAAAACGTTTTTAAAATGATTCCTCAAAGTTCAAAAAAGATCAACAGATAAATTTTGAAAATATTACCCTTAATAAAAATCTAATGAAAAATCTTATTGATGAGTATAATTAAAATATTGATTTATCTATTTGTGCACTTGAGAATAACAGAATCACATATGTTCAATTATTTTTTTTATTAAAGTTTACTTTTTTTATCTGATGTTTTCATTTAATGAACACGAATGTGAGTTCTTGTGATAATAAAAAAATCACAAATCTTTGAAACAATTCTAATGATCCAAACATTTTGATAAGAGCCACCCACAATCCGATTCTTTTTCACTCTCCAAACATCAATGATTGAAGTATATGTGTCAAAAAATTGGAATCCCTATCCCATGTCAAAATATCTTTTTCTATTTCACAAAAATATTTTTTTTTGCGTTTTGCCGCCGCCTCAAACTACTAAACTTTTGCCAATCGAACGAGTTAACAACAGTTGTTATTCTCTAAAACCTCTATCAAAATGCACACTATTTCATCAAGCGAAATAGAAGAAGAGGACCACTAATTCCGAACCCGCCAACAACACCACATCCTCCCTTCCCTCTTCTCCCTTCATCTTTTAGCTTCCCAGATTTGTTAGATATTTCTCTTTTTTGTATCTCACACGAGAGAAAAAATAAAATGAGCTTGTTCTTCTTTTTTGTTGTTGTTCTGTTTTCTTTTTTGTTCTTTCCATTGTTTTCAGTTAACTAGGATGATCTAATTTTCAAATGTCTCGGATTTTTTTATTTCATTTTATTCACAGTTGTATATTTTTGGGTATTCTTATTTGCTCAGCTGACGAATTTGGGTTTTCAAAAACTTTTAAAAATTTTGTGAGAAAATTTAAGCTACGGTATCCACTTTAAAAATATTGTCTTTAACTAGAACTGAAAAAAATGACATGAATTTTTGAAATAACGCCGAAATCTTTTTGAGTATTCACGTTGGATTTTTACAATAAATTGAAAAACGTATGCTCAGTACCATACCTCACGATGTTCCATTTTCTACAACATATGCTCATTCTCATTTACAGTAACTGCTTTACCATTAACTAATTTCTAAAAAAAATAATCATCAAAGTTCACAGGACGATTTCTCATCCGCTTCCAGAAAAATTAGGATATCTGAAACAGTTGATCCACATTTAAGATCTATCAATCACTAAAAAAAATCAAAAGATAGATGAATTGACTTTTTTCTCACATTCCATCTTCATTCAAAACTTCAAACCCAACAAACACATGACCAATGTTTTAGAACTCAATTAATTATTAGAGCATTGCTCATTCAATTAACCAGACCTCATTCATCAGTTTACCCACATTCATTTGTTTTTTTGAGTGTTTCACCCTCTTCCGAAATATGATCCATATTTTTGCCCTTTTTTCACACCATTCACCGCCTTACCCAAAAATGAACCTTACTTTGTTTATTTTGTCTAACACACCTGTTCCATCTAAAATTGTTCAAAAGTCATTTTGTAAAAAAAATAATTTTCAGATTCATCTTCATCTTTTCAACAAAAAAAGAACATTTGTTTTCTGAACTCTTTGTGTTTTGTTTTGTCTTTTGATGTTTTGAAATCATTTTCCATTTCCTATTTTCAGATGCCGTTGAGTTGTACAGCCCGTGCCTTAAAATTTTCGTTATTCATTTTCAATTTGGTATTTTTGGTAAGTGATATTTGGTATCTATCCGTGAAAATGATTGATGTGAAATGATAGAATAAAATAGAAGCGTCTACCAAATTGTGTAAAAAAAGAAGATGATAATGAAAATGTTCATCTGTTCCAAAAAGTGCATTACACCTTCTTCCTTCCGTTCTAAATTTCATTTCCGCTAGATTACCTACAGTAATCTCAAATCTGATTAATTGTTTTTTTTAGATTTGTGGATTAATATGTGTAGGAATTGGAGTTTGGTTAGTTCTAGACAAATATGCGATTGATAATTTGGCAATGGCTACAGCAAGAGTTCAAGGATATGAACAAGACGCTGGATTGAGAGATTTAGTAGGGATTTTTCTTTAAAGAAATATAATTCAAATCATAAGAAAAATATTACAGGCAACAAAACCAACAGCAGTTAGACAATTCGGATATTTGATTTTGGGTGGTGGACTTATTGTCATTTTTGTTGCATTTTTAGGATGTTGTGGAGCAGCAAAAGAATGGAGACCTCTATTATGTTGTGTAAGTTAATTGTGTTTCTATTTTTGACATACATAGGAAACCATGAACTTCATCAGAATATCATTTTTCAGTATGCTTCTTGTTTGATGTTGATTCTTGCTATTGAAATCGCCGCCACCATCTATGCATTTTTGCATAGTCATATGGTTAGTTGAATTCACATCAAAATTTCTGAAACACATGTTTTTTTCAGTTTGAGAACGATTTCCGTGGAATGTTACATTCAACACTAAAAATGTATAACGGAACGGATTCAACGTATCCAGCAAACGCAGTAGCAAATAAAAATGATGGAATGTTGGTGAAAATTGCTTGGGATAAAATTATGATTGAGGTAAGAAATGTTATCTTCAAAGAAACACAATTGAGGAAAATTTAGTTGGTATAGACCGAAATTGTTTCTAAAAATAGCCAAAGTTTAGAAATTACAAAAAAAGATTCATTAGTCCGTTGGAACTCCAAAGAGAATAATTGTTCTGTTTCAAGTTCTATTTTTGGAAGTTCCTTTAAGAATAATAGTCTAATGAGATGGGAGAATTTTACAGAATTCCAATTTCTAAAAAAAAGTACAATTTATTCATTTGTTTTTACATCAATATTCTGAACCTAAAATTAATTAAAATTAAAAAAAAATGCTATTTTTGTGAAATAGCATATGAAGAGTATGGTTCAAAAATTGTAGTGTTATGTCAAAAACCAACCTCGTGGTCTTTAAAAGTTTATAAACCAAATTGTATTTTAGAGTGATTCAATATATCTTAAAAGTACATTTCTGTTTTTTTCATCCTCAAATTGGTATAATTTTAAAAAATCACTTTTCGAATGTACTAAATCATAGTCATCCCAAAAAATTGATAATGAACTCAAAGACTCAACAAACTCATATTTTTTTTAAGAAGGAATGTTGTGGTGTAGATGCTCAAGTTGGTGAGTTCACAAAATCCGGATGGTTCAAATTAACACGCGGAAAAAATCAATTCCCACCAGCGTGTTGTCCTCTGGATGTTCATGGAAAACTTCTACCAGAATGCCCGAAAGTTATGCGTCATGTTAAAGTGAGTTTTTTTTTTTTAATTTTTCCTTTTTTTTATTGCGAGGAAAAACGCTTTCGCAAAATATTGTAATTGTTTTCGTGTTAGCATGTGATAAAAAATGTCTCTCGGGAATCTAGAAAATTAGAGACAGAAAAAATCATGAGCTTGCTATTATCATTATACGTATATTTATTGTGTGTTTGAAGGGCTGCTACGCAAAAATTGCTGAATCATTTCGAGAACTCACTTCACATTTCAAAATAGTTGCTTGGACTGTGATATTATTTGCACTTATTCAGGTGAGTTGGGTTTTTTCAGAGACAGAATAGGAAATATCATTTCCGGTTTCCAAAATTTTATCATTGTTCATATTAATATTATTCAAATGTTTGAATGAATGGCTGATGCATGTTTCAGGTGGTTGGTATAATTGTTGGTTTTTGGCTTTGCGATTCAATTACTTCTGACGACGATCTTTTCTAATTATATTTTCCAAAAATCTATACATACATATAGTGTAAGCTGAAATTCAGAATTAGAATAACTATTATGATGATTTTCAGGGCTGCATTAGTTCACTTTATCGTGAAAACCAAATTCATTTTTCTGCAATATTTTCTACTTTTTGTTGTTCTGGCAATTATCGAGGTACGTGAAATTAACACCAATTTTTTTATGGATTCTCAAACATTTGGTTTGTTTCAGGTTTTGCTTATCTCAATCAGTGTTCAACTTTTCCGTCGAATCCGGATTGAGATGCTCTATTACTTCTAATCAACAACAAAAATCCACGCAAAATATCATATTTTCTTCGGGTTTTTTTTCAGAATTATCTTTCCGCTTTGAATTGTTTCTTTTCAAAAAATGGATAGTGTTTTTGGTAGTCTTTTATCAATGACAACCGTGTTTTTTGGTGTCAAATTGACTGTTTTCTTCATTTATATTGCTGTCATTTATTGTCTTGGAAGAGATCATGAGTTTGTTCGAGTTTTTTTGTAAATCTTTTATTCGATGTAATTTTTCTGTTCAATTTGGTGGAATAAATGGTTTGAGCTCTTCAACTGATGCAATTTTTGTGGCAATTTGAATTGGAGGAAGTGCAAGACTTCCGATTATACTTGAAGCTGACCTTTTTCGAGCTGATGGAGAGGCGGCACCTCGTGTGAACTAAAAAAAGAGACTTTATTATATATGATGATATTTCTCTTTTTTTCACTACCTTTCGTAACTCTGGAACTGAATCATTATCATCACTAGTCACTGATAATTTTGGAGTTTTCAGTTCTCTCACAAATTGAGTAATTCTAACAGAATGGAACAGTGAAGATGTTGAAATCTGGAATCGGATTTTGTTTTTTAAAGGGATTTCACAGAGGTGAAAAATACCTGTAGGAATCTGCAATTTTTGCTGACAATCAGGTCATAATCGGGTTTGAAATAGAATCCGGTGAGAGGTTCTTTACATTCTAGCAAACTCTTCTCAACCATTGTCAAAATTGCTTCCCCAAGACAAGTCCATGGACCAACTTCGAAAACCAGGTTGCTCTGAAAAATATTAAAAATTAGTTCTCAAATGCAATTTGGAGTTATATAAAAACATTGGATGTTCTAAATTCAGTTTGAATAAACCTAAACGTGTTCTGAGATTCTATATTTGGAAGTTTTTATTTTTTCTAAATATACGCAGTCAATGCTTTCTCCCAATTTCTCTGTCTTAATTACAATTTCGATTAAAAAACTCACATCTCTGAAAACAATTGAAGCTTTTCCCTCTAACAACAATATGAATCGTTTGCTAACCGCTCCATGTTCATATAACTTGACGGTACTTGGAGCAGTACTGTTTTTTGGAGGAACTATCAAAACCTGTAAAAATCATTATCATAAATTAGGATAGTTCACGATTTCAAACCTCTCTGATATTTCGTTGAATCAAGTTTTCAAATGCTTGTGGATCCATCCAAACTGGATCAAAAAGTGGACTTTTCTCGAGCAGCCAACGTTCAGTCATCTAAACTTTTCAAACTTGCATCTTGCATGTTTCTGAAACTAGTTTACCTGAAGCATGTGAAGTGATAATCGTTCACTCTTTTTCTCACTACATATCAATTCAGCTATACGTTTCTTTGACATATGAGCACGACGACGTTTTTGCGCTTCGTCAGTAACATCACAATCAGTTTCATCGGTGATTTCAGATTGTAAAAGTTCTTCTGTGATGTCTTCCAAAGTCACAAGCCCAACAAGAGTTATAGTCATGTCATTTTCAGGATCAAGAGGTGGAAGTAGTTCAGCAGTTGCTTCAACAACTTTCAAGCTATTCTGAAAGAATATAAAATTTCAAAGACAAACTCATTGGAAAAATTCTTACAGCAAGGAAATGATCAAGATGATTCGCAACAAACTTCACATTATTTGTTTTTTCATAATCGTGACTTTGTGCAACCATTGCCAAATGATAATCACCCAATTTGAACTCTTCTAACAATGCAATCAACGGCATATTTTCATCAATTATTCGTAATTTCCGTTTATTAAAACCAGCTACAGCTCGAACTGTGATATTATTATCTTTTCCAATTAATGCCAAATCACTAACATATAACAAAGATTTCACTTTGTTTCTATTGTTTTGTTCATAAACTGGAATTCTAGAGTATCCACTGTCTGATATTTTCAGCATTGTCTCAGCATTCAGAACTTGATCTTCAGATAACATGAAGACGTCCTGAAATAGTCACATTTTTGTGGGGAATTGGGAAGGAATCATACGTCAATTTTAGTCATCACATCTTTTGCTGATTTTTTTCTTAATTCCATCGCACCAACAGCAATTCTCAAAGTGGCCATATCAGTGTCACATTGTCCTTGTTCCATATTCATTTTCAACATCTCAACAATTCTTCCACGATCTACTGTATCAATATCAGTTCCAGCATATTTGTCAAGAATTTTTCCCAACGGATATGTAATTGGAGATGTTACAAGCATAAAGAATTTTGTGATATGAATTGTTTTTGCACCGATTGCTAAACCGTATTTCACACATAGACTCTGTGGAAGAATTTCTCCAAAAACAACAATTCCAGCTGATGATGCAAAAAATGCAATGAGACCTTCGGTTAAATCTTCAAACAAAATTGTGATAGCAGCATTGACAATCTGAAATTATGTTTTGATAAATTGGTATCGTTTATATTCAAGATCACTTACAACATTCACAATAATAACAGTTGATAATAGTTGATTACCCTTCATTCGAACAGGTAATATAGATTTTGCATATTTTTGTTCTCTTTCAGAACCTGAATATTGAAAAAATGTGTGAAAGCGTAAAATATTCATATTTCTTTTTAGACGTACCACATTTCATGAGAATCCTCAATTCTTGCGGTGTCAACCCCATCAACCCAATATTCAAACCAGAGCAGAGAGATGATAAAATAAACATAACAACCATAATTGAAATTTGAATATGTGTTGGAAAATACGTTTCATGGAATGGTTTTTCTGTGACGATCCAAGTACGATCATCATCAATTAAAAATGGACTGTGATGTTCTGGTCGTACACATATCCGCCAAGGTGTTGCCCATCTAAAATAATAATGAATTTCAAATGTTTTTAGGGAAATTCTCACTCAATAAATGTGTGCTTGAAAACAATTCGAGTGTCTTTGTGGATGAGGAATGAATCGCTTGTCACATTAAATTCAGAAGTCAAACAGATTGAATCAGTAAATGAAATCGTGTCAACATATTCTAAGCCATGTCCAAAAATCACAACATCAACAGGAACATTTGGTTCCACCATTATTTCACCAGATTCAGTGTATCCAATGAATCCCGGGCTATTGATATCATTTTCAACTCTTACACCAGCAACAATTGGTTTCTAAATTATAACTTCATATTTTCAAAATAATTTTGAATATCTTATTAATTACCGGGTGTACACTAGAATCTCCTGAATATAGTAGCACACTAAAAATTAAAAAACATAAATATTTTTTCATAATCAATAGAATGCACCAAAAACCTTTGAAGACTAATTTATATCGTTGCAGATGATAAGAACAATTTTTTTATCAGGTTCAATTTTTTTCGAATTATTTTCTACTTTGATAAATTAATAATGAATAATTTCAATAATGAGAGCAAAAATCTTTTTCAAAAATGTTTTGAGGTACTCATGGAAAGTGGGACCATGTTTGGTTAGGTATATCTGAAGTGTTCGAAAATTTTATTGTTTCAGATTCGTTTTATGAAGACATTTCAAACTAATAAATTTATTTACAAAAAAAATCTTATGAAAACTTGGTATTAAAATGAAAATGTATAATGATGAGGGGCAGAAAAATTAAAAACGTGGTTATTGAAAATTTTAATTAAAAGAAAGGAAAACACTTTGAGAAGATTAATATATGATGTAGAACTCTGATATTAACATTAATTACACTTATTTTTGTGAATGTATGTACAAAAACAATCTATGGAGCATCTATAAAAGCACTAAAGTCAGTGGAATATATTAAAACTATGAAAAATGAATACTTTGAGGGTGGAGATAATTTCTTAGAATGATGATTAGTTGATAAAACAAGAGTTTAATTTATTGAAAGAGATCGTCGCCAACATGAAATTCTTCACTGAAAATGTTCCCAATGTCCATTTCGTCGTCTTCAAATTGCTTAAATCCACTATCATTCAAATCACTTGAAGCACTCTCATCAGTTGACAAACGAATTCTACCTTGTGTAACCTAGAAAATATTGATTAACATAAATTGATAAACAACAACAGAAAATTACCATATTTGAACGGATAGTGAGAGTACTGAGCGCCAAACCTTCAAGGTATTCCAACTCATCTGGGCTGTACTGTTTGTAGAACATTTGTTGTTTATGAAGTTCAACGTTGTCATCAAAGCTTTCGACGTCTGATTGAATAAAATCTGAGCAGCTTCCAATACTGATATCCGATTTGTGGTCAAAATAACTTTGCTTGACATCGGCATACCAATCAATCAAATCTTTCTCTTCGACTGAAACAACTTCATCGTGATTAAAAACACCAATCGATGAAACGGTATCTGCAGCTGCCATATCAGGAGTCACGAAAATCTCATCGTCTCTGTTTTCCAAAATTGGAACTGTGTCAGACATATCGTCGATCTGAAAAAAAACATGGTTGTTCAGTTTAAAAAAAACAACAAAAATTACCTTGTCCGAAAAAATATTAAGCATACTGAGCGAATTATATGCCATTTTATTTTTGCTGAATTTTTTGTTGAACTTCTTCTTGTAATGACGCTCAACTTTGTCGTCGTATTTTTCGTCGTCTGATTGAGTCAAATCAAAGCAGCTTCCGATAGTAAGATCTAATCCGTAATAGAGATAATTTTGATTGACATCGATATCAATTTCCTTATTAGCGTCGACAACTTCATTACCATTCCAACCAATCAAATCGTTCTCTTTGACAGAAACAACTTCGTCACCATTCAAAACATCAATTGTTGAATCTCTATTATCAATTGCCAATTCAGAAGTCACCGAAATCTCGTCGTCGCCTCTTCCCAAAAGTGAAACGGTGTCAGAAATGTTGTCAATCTGCAAAAAAACATAGTTATTATTCCGAAGATCATGAAATAATTGACCTGTCTTGTGTATCGGACAGTTTGAGTCGAAAAGCCTGTAATACGTCGAAGGCAGGTTGTGGCGACTGCAAGTTTGAATTTTGTATTGTTGATTATGTTTCTTGTTGCTCGCAACATATCCAACACTAAAAAAAAATCAATGTTATTAAGGATTTTAAAAGAAAAATAAATGAATATTGAAAATCAAATCAAAAGTAAAGTTCGAGAAACATTTGAAGGCGCAAATAGGAAAACACCTTGACCGCGACGCACCTGCATTGCACAGTAATGACAAACTGATGAGTTAATATAAGAACGAGGAGGAATGAAGAAATAAAAAATCTCATCCATGTTCGAAAAGAAAACAATACTGATTCCAAGACTAGAATGTTTAGGGTAGAGATCAGAGAGAAAAGAGAAAAGAGAGTGAGGAAAAAGTGGACCTTTTTACAAAAAGAATCGATAACGATTCAAAAGGTTCAAAAGAACGGTTTTTACAAGAACGTGGAATAATATGAGACAAATGTGGATAAAAAAAGTAAAATGCTTTCGGTAGATACTGAAAAGGCAAAACTATTTGTGTTATTAAAGTGGAATCACATGATCTGAAAATTGTTTATAAATCTCGAAATGCATCCCAATTTACTTCAAAAAAGACCGAAGAAAATCGGAAAGAAAACAAATGATTTGGTATACGAGAAAAAGAATTGGCATCTTATTGTTAATATGCAAAAACAATATAAATACAAACAAACAGTTAATATGACAAGAAAGGCAGAGAGAACTAACGTGTGTATGGTCCAGAAAATGGCTAAAGGGAAAAGAGAAAATAAATGGCAAGACAACAATGAAAAACTAGCGCGCTTAGTCTTGAGACAGTGCCAACTGGGATAAATAAAGTGACGTGTCCCTTTTCTCATGAAAACATACTCGGGTGTTTAAAAAAAATGGACTACGATTTGAAAAATCTGGAAAAATAGAACGTTATTTTATTATAAAATTATAACCAAACAATCTTGAGATTGTTTATAAATCTCGATCACAAAATTTATCCACGTTCTTGTTTCACAGAAAAAAAAACGAACACATGCGAAAAAAAAAATGGAAAGTGAACGAATGATTTGGGGTATGACAAAAAAGTGGCATTTTGATAGAAACAATTGACTCTCCCTTATAAAAAAGACAGAGAACACGTATGTATGGTCCACCATACAGAAAGGTGCTATGGCTAGAGGGGAAGAAAAGACAACAAATAAAAAAAACAAGCGCATGTTGTCTTGGAATAATGCCAATGAGGTGAGATAAAAGTGGTTTTTATTCATCTCTTGTTTCTGTCTCCCCCTCAAACCATAGCACCGCAGTGTTTATGTTTTGTTGGACCATATCTACTTTTGTTCTATGATCTCATAGCCGTATTATCTTTTTCTATTCACAATGTTATTACTTCAAGATGACTTTTTTTAAACTTTTGTTTTTTTTTTCTGTTTCTTCTAGAATGTTTTTGTTTTTTTTTCGTAAAAAATGTAGGTTAATTTAAAAATTTATAAACAATTTCTCAGGTTGTTCCACTTTCATAACAAATGAGTAGGTGATTCTTCCTGATATAGTTATTTTAATTCTGTATTTATTGTCATTCCGAAAAAAAACGTGACCTAGAAAACACAAAATCCCATGTTTGAATTAGCGCATTTTTTACCATTTGTTGTTTTTTCAAATATTTTTCATAAATTACCACTTCACATTCATTTTCAGGGTTAATATGAACATGTTGCGTGTCACCAGAAGCATTATCAACAAAGCGAGGGTGAAACTTACAGATGCTACAATCAGATTTCGCCGTGCCACAGATTTTCCGGCCAAAACTGTGAGATACACTAGACAGGTAAATTATTCGATTCGTTTCAGAAAAACAATCATGTTTATTTTCTAGTTTGACAATATTTCTGATACCGTTTCACTTTTGGGAAGAGGCGACGACGAGGTTTCGGTGACTTCTGAATTGGCAGTTGATAATGGAAATTCAACAATTGATGTTTTGAATGATGACGAAGTTGTTTCTGTCAAAGAGGACGATTTGATTGATTGGAATGGTAATGAAGTTGTCGACGCTAATAAGGAAATTGATATCGATGTCAATCAAAATTATCTCTATTACGGATTAGATCTTACTATCGGAAGCTGCTTTGATTTGACTCAATCAGACGACGAAAAATACGACGACAAAGTTGAGCGTCATTACAAGAAGAAGTTCAACAAAAAATTCAACGAAAACAATTTGGCTTATCGTTCATACAGCATGCTCACTATTTGTTCAAATATGGTAATTTTCGTTGTTTTTTTTTCAATTTGAAAATCATGTTTTTTTTTGCAGATTTACCCTATGTCTGAAACTGCTTCACTCTTGGGAATTAGTGACGACGAGATTTTTATGGCTTCTGATTTTTCGCCTGATAATACAGTTGCATCAATTGATGTTTTGAATGGTGATGTGATTTTTGAAGCGAACGGGGGATTGTTGGAAAGAGAATTTAAAGATGTAAGTTTATTGTGACACAATTTTTCTCAATAATGAATTTATTTATTCAGGAATCAGAGGCAGCTTCTATGGAAGAGAAAGATTTGATTGATTGGTATGGTGATGTCAATCAGAACTATCTTTACTGCGGATTGGGTTCCACCATCAAAAGCTGTTTTGATTTGACTCAATCAAACGATGAAAAATACGACGACAAAGTTGAGCGTCATTACACGAAGAAGTTCAACACAAAGTTGAGCCAAAACAAGTTGGCATATCGCTCAACTTCGCTGCAAAGTATTCTAACTATTCGTTCAAACATGGTAATTTTCTGTTGTGTTTTGGAGTAAACAATGCCAATTATTTTATGGGTTATTCAACCAGGCGGAATTTGTTTGTCAATTGATGAGAGTGTTTCCAGTGATTCGAATGATAGTGGAATCGAGCAACTAGAAAACAAAAACGTTGACATCGGCAAAATTGACATTGATGGACTCAGATTCGACGAATTCAATTTGGTCGATGAACTCTTTCAATAAATCAAGTCCTTGTTGTATCAACCACTTATTATCATAGAAAATTATCTCCACCCTCAAAGTATTCATTTTTCATAGTTTTAATATATTCCACTCATTTTAGTGTGTTCTAGTTGCTCCATAGATTGTTTTTATACATACATTCACAAAAATATGTGTATTTAATAATACCATCATAATTTTTCCCTTCTTGTGAAAATGCTTTTTAATAACCACTTTTTCTTTTCATATTTTTTACCCCTCTTTTTTTTTTGTTCAAATTACACATTTTCATTTATATACAGAGATTTCATGAACATTTATCATAAATAAATTTATTCGTTTGAAATTCTCAACAAATTCTTGAATTATGCAGCTGCATAAAATTCAATAGCTGAAGTTGACTTTTTAAACTTTGATACTAAATTGTGAAAACAACTGGAAAATCTATAGGAGCCATTCTCAATACGCTTGTGTGAATTTACGATAAACAATAGGCATGAGGAGTGTCGTTAATTTTCCAAACTTCAATTCGAGAATAAATAGCTCACTTTCCTAGTTCTTGAGGTTTTAAGTTCTACTAGAAACCAATAATCATTTGTTCATGTGATTTTTTTCTAACAGTGTTTTATATGTTGTTTCAGGTTTGAAAGAGATTTTTATATATTTTTTTTATTATCGTCAGATCTGTAAGATAATCAAATCTTTCTGGAATTGTTGAGTTGTAAAGCTGACACTAATTGAGAAAAATAATTTTTAATTTTCTGTATCTATTGCTGATTTGTGCGAAATATTTTGAAACTCGTAAAGAGTTGAAATAGGACATTTTTTGTTGTGAGTTTACGATAAACAACAGGCACGGGGAGTATCGTAAATTTCGAAAACAAATTTTGGATAACGAACAGCTTTTATTATCTACTTTCGTAGTCATTGTGTTGTGCCTAACGTACTTGTTAGTCGGATGATATTTAGTCCATTCAGGCTTTTTAAATGTTCAAGTTTAAAACTAGAAGATCAGAAAAACCCTGCTCATACATAATTCTTACAACTTTCTGATTTTCAGAACTACCAGTAATTTTTTCTTGATCACCTTAACACATATGAGTTTCGCAATCACCAACTGACAGAAAATCTGAAACAATGGAGTTTTTTTCATTCGCTCACAATCAAGAGACAATCTGAATTTTTCTTTGTGGGTTTACGATAAACAACAGGCACGCGGAGTGTCGTTAATTTTTAACAAAAATTCCATCAAATAACAGTTTTATCTCAATTTTTGTGGACATTTTGTAGTTACTATTGTGTCTTTATGACTGAGAGGTTGTATTAATGATTCGTTAGGATTGATGTCGAAATTAAGATTATAAGATTTAAATTAACAAAAAACCAGCCTATAACTTTTTAAGAGTTCCGAGTTTCAAGACTGCATGAATAATTTTTAATTGCACAGCCATCATGGGTTTTGAAGTCCTCAAGTGTTCAAACTCTCAAAAACAATTCACCTACTCACATTCCGGAGACACTTTGAAATTTTTCAGTGTGGGTTTACGATAAACAATAGGCATAGCGGAGTGTCGTGAATATCAAAATTTCAATTGATAAAAATCCGCTCTTTTCTGCTCAAAATTGTCAGTAATAGTTCTCAAGAGTGAGAAAAGTTATCTATGGACAATGAAATCATCTCAATTTCTTTTTTTATATTTTTGGTTCCAGAAACCAGAATTACGTAAGAAAATCTTGAAAACTATGCTATCCTGAAATGTTATTCGTTTTCCCCCAAAAATAATTCTGTATCCTATTTTGGGAAAGGTCCTTCTCCTTTTTTCCGGTATTGGTGTTTGACACCATATGTTCACGCACTCACCCAACGCCGCTTTTTTGTGTGGTGTGTATGTGTATTTTCTTTTTTATTCAACATTGCGATGTTATAATCAGAAATAGAAAAATTGATTCTGAAATTTTCTAGTTGATTTTTCTGAAAATCTGAATTTTTCATCCAGACCAAAAATTCTTTTGATATTGCGAAATAATTTGACCGTGGCCTATTTTTTGCAAAAACTAGTCCACTCTTTGTAGAAAATCAATATTTACATTTATTTTTACGCGCTTTTTCATATCCTTTTTCTCAAATAACAAAAATACTATAATTTTTCAGAGGTGAATGAACAGTTCTACTGATAATGATTGTCCGATTTGTTTTGATCTACTAGAAGATTTTGGAAAATCTTGTCCCACCACATGTACACACTATTTCCATACATATTGTCTAAAAAGATGGTGCAAAGTAGGTTTCCAGTATATTTCGAAATATCTTGCTCAAAAATGAATTTTTTAGGCATCAAGTAACTGTCCTAGTTGTCGACAAGAAATCTCAAAAATCGAAACAATTTATAAGGATAAAAGAGGTCGATACAAAAAGAAAACCGAAGATATCACTCCAGCCAATCAACAAGACAATGCTGAAGATCAAATTGAAAACCCAGATTGGATATGTCATATTTGTTTTCAAGCTGAAACTGGAGATGATGCGACAACTCTTATCTGCGATGGTTGTGATTATGGGTTTCATATGAATTGTTTGATTCCACACGTTCGCCGAATTCCCGAAAGTGATTGGTTTTGCCCGCAATGTGTTAGATTGAGAGATAATATTGAGGTAATATTTATAAATAAAGAAATTGCTTCAGAAAAATAACAAAACCTTTTCAGCCAGGACCGGATCAGTGTACCTATTGTTGTTCTTCAAGAAATTTGAATGATGGATATAGATGTTCTTGTTGTGAGCGAAGGTTTGTGACCATTCAGGGAGCTCTGAAATGATTTTCATCAGTTTTTTTCCAGGTTTCATTCTTCATGTGTCCCACAATTAGTTCGTGAAGCAATGAATCGACACGATGAATGGATGTGTAATTATTGTTTTCATCTTTACGATCGAGCTGTTTTTGAAGCGGTGAATCAACCACCTCAGCCAAGGCCTCGAACAACTGCAAGACCAAGGGTGAATACTGTCAGAGCTCGAAGAAGGATAGCGAGGCGGAATGATTTTATTGTGTCAGATTCTGAACCAGATGATGATGATGAAGAGGAAGAAAGTGATGGAGAAGAAAGTGACGGATCTACTGATTTAGAACAATGGCCAGATGAAGGAGCAACTTCGGAAGAGGAAGAAAATGTTGATGGTTTTAATTTTGACGCATTAGACAATATGGTTCTCGATACCGAATCTCATTTTGATGGTGATCTTCCAGAGTATGTGTTTTCTTTTTTATTTTTTGCTGTATCATAAGACACTCCGCCAAGTTTCGAAAAAAATATTCTGACTATCGAGGACGTGTTTTTATCAAAACACTTCTTCGTTATTCCGAATCACTTCAACAGTCCTCATTCTAATATCTTCCAGAGTTAGGAGGCGTGTCAGAAAATCAAAGACAACTCGATTCAAGCGTCGAAAAACAGGAAGAAAAGGCAGAAGAAAATTTTCAAGGAAATCTAAAAGACCAGTTGAAAAAAAAGATGATGAATCAGAGAGATCCAAATCAAAATTTCCAATTCAAACAAGTCGATTAGGAATAACATCTGGATAGTGGGTTTCACTAATTTTTTTATCATTCAACTCCAACACAAACTTTATTTTCAGCGCTGACATCGCTGATTTAGACATTGAACACGGAGAAGGCCCCTCATCATCATCCTCTTCAATTCCAACATCAGCATCTTCTGGAGGATTGGATTTGCTCGGGAATATTTTGCAAGAACAAGAAAAAGTTTTGGCACCTGGTAGTTTGTTTGATCAGCGTGGTGGGAAATTCGTGCCCAAAGAAAAAGAATTTGAAATTTATCGGACTGAAGTTAATACCAAAAAACCAGCACCAAAGGTGAGCAAGCCTCTTTGTTTCAAAATTGCATTTTTTTTTTCACTTCAGAAACGACCATGGCCAAGTTTGTCGTCAAAATCTTCTAACACATCTTCAAACAGACCTGAACCAAAAAAATCGATATTTGAAAACGATAATGAGAAAAAACACAGCGATTCTTCAAAAATTCAAAATGGTACTTCTTCATCTCACAATCCTTCCATTTCTTCAAATCACTCCGAAGCCACAAAAAAACCCTCTTCGAAAAAACCAACTTACGAAGGTTCATCAAGAAAAACAAAGGAATCTTCAACTGGAAATCAAACTAGTGAGAAATCTTCAACAAAAAATGATCGTGAACGTAGTAAAAGCAACACAGATAAACCAGAACTCAAACCTGTGATTGAGAAAAGGCCAGTTGATGGTGAGTTGTTGTTTGATTAAAACACAAATTTGAATTATATATTTTCCAGTGAGAAAAATTCCACTACCCGGAGCACCGAAAAAACATTCAACATCGACAAGAACCCCAGATAAAAGTCAAAATCCAGCCAAAAAACCGAAAATCGAGCCAGTAGAAGATATCCCGTTGCCATCTTTACCATCTACGCAAAATGTCTCAAATTTGAATGATCAACAAGGAAATAAAAAAATCAAGACTGAAATCGTTGAAAATCAGGGCGATGCTCAAGTTCACAAATCTCGTGAGTTTTTAGAAATCTTTTATCAATATGTTTTGTTGAATATTTTCAGATACTTTTGATCTATCAAAAGTTAAAAAGGAGAAAAAAGATATTGGAAATTCGAAGTCGAAACATCACTCGAGCAAATCAAAATCTGTGAAAAAAGAAGTTAGAGACAACTCCTACGAAAGTGCATCAAATAAGGAACATCGTCAACATCACAAATCCTCAAAACATCGAGAAAAAGAATTGCGTGATAAAAAAGATCGATTACCCGCTGAAGAAATCGATGCAATTGCTAAACCAATGTTCAATTCAGCTTATTTGAACAGGTATGAAAAATATTATTTTACACGAAATATAATAGAAATGCTTTATTTTTCAGAAAAATCAGCAAAGAATTGTTCAAGACAGGAATGCGTGAAATTGTCAAAACTGCTTACAAAATGCGCGAAAACAAAGATCAAATCATTGCTAGATGCAACAATTTTTTAAATTCAATCACTTCATAATATTGTTTCGGTAAATAAGTCTTTCTTAAAAGCATACATATGATTCATATTTTTGTAATCACGGGCATTTTTAGTCATATAAATATTTTGGTGTTGTTTAATAAATAATAAATATTTAATTTATGATCAAGGTGTGCAGAAATTATCCGGAAAATGTGAACCGGTCATGAAATTTTTTTAAAATTTATATTTATTTAAGAAATTTTCTCTGGACATCAATAAATATATGATTCATTCTTCATATCACTCCTATAAGAACCTTTTGATAATTTCCAGACAGATTTCATAATTTTTTATTGTGAAATATTTCACAACGCTTCACTCTGTAACTTGGGTGGCTAGAGCATTGATAAAACGTATAACATGAGTGACGATTGATTTTTTTGACAAAACATTTATTTAAAAAAATAGCAAAAAACTTTAGCATAACACATGTTTATTTTCCGGAATTATTTAATCACAAATTGATTCCAACGCATTTCTTGACTTCAATCTTCTTTCGCAGCGTTCGCAAATGTCGTTATATTTACGATCTTCCGGTTTCCCAACATATTTGGTATGTTGACGGAAAAGAGTAGCCCCAATTTTCTGATCGTAGTTCAAATCATCACTGAAAATTTTTTTTGAATAATTTTAAAAATTTAAAAGAAGTGTTAAATGTGCTTCAGCATCCTTACATAATGATATTGACAGCATAAATGAAATTTCTCCTTTTTTTCATTGTTCCTTCAATTATTCGAATATATCCATACCAATCGGAAAACCCAGTCAACATTTTGTAAGATCGCAACGAAGGATTTTTACTGAAAACCATCCATGCTTGGAGACAAACCTTAAAAATCATTTATAGTTTCGTAATCGATTGTTTCAAACTAACAGTTGGTCCATTTTCCAATGTTTCAATTCGAATGAGATCATTTTTATCAGCCATGCGTTTTTCAGAAATTGTTGTAACATCCATCACAAATCCATCAGTTTTCTCAAAAGTTATGAACATTCCAATTTCGATTCCGAGTTCTTCACGATATCTCAATCGATATAACTTGAGCTCCATCTTCGAAAATGCATATATGATACCATCTTGAATTGAGAGGACTATCACATTAGAAACGATTTCCATTTCGCAAAAAATCGAACTCTCGTTGAATAAGTATGAATAGAATCTGAAATTTTGGAAATGTATGCTGATGAAGTTGAAAAAAATGTATTCTCACCTGAGCAATGGTAATCTTTTTATACCAGCCACAGAAACTGATAAAACAAAAGGCCACACCTTCAAAACTTTTGATGAAATATTGCTCATGTTACCTATTTCATCACATTAAGAGTAAGTTTGTTGAAATTTTCCATAAAACTTGGGAGTCCCTGTAAGAATTCGTTTTTTATATAACTAAATTTGGAAAAAATCTATTTCGTGAAGGTTCTTGAATGTTCATGAGCAATTCAAACGATGGAAAATTGACAAATGTACCTCACTGCATACTCGGCGGCCAGAATTAGCATGTTATGAGATTGAAGCGGGCAAAGAGTTTGTATTCCATCTCAACTCTATGGCACTGCTGAAACTTTACCTGAAAAAATTCTTTGGAATCAGTATGTAGAATTTATAGTCAAGCGTAATCTCGAAACAAATTTTATGAAAAAAAAATAAAAATTTCGAAACATTTTTGAAAAAACCAAACTATTAGAATTACTCGTGGAACATTTTTCTGATTTTTGCGAATAATTTTTTATTATTGTGATTTTTTTTATTATGAACAAAAAATTTCTTATTACAGCAACAATAAGCTTCATTCCGGAACCTCCTATTCCAATTTTTAGATTATGAAATGTTTTGGTGAAAAAATGATAAATCATAAAATTTCTAGATAATTTTTCAAACAACACAATTGTTTTTTTTTTAATTTTTCCATATCAACATAAATATTCTGTCTAGAAAATAATTCCTAATGAGTTATCAATTTATTTTTTTCTAGAAATTCACGCCATAAACACCTATCAGTATGTTTTCCAACAAAATCACAATTTTGTGCTATTGATGTGCTTTTGAGAACCAGGTAAGAAATATTCCCAGATTTATTTCAGGAAGAAAAATAAAACAATCCGAGTCGAATTGTGATTTTTTTTGGAAAAAATTGTGAGAAAACAATAGAACCTACGTTTGTGATTTATCACTATTGTTTTATTTTGTGTTTCCGAAATCTTTTTCGAATACCGAATTGGGGCTCATTTACCACACCCCATTTAGATTTTGTGAAAGCTTTGAAGACATTGTAAAAAGGTTTTTTAGGTTCAGTAATTGAAGACATATTTGGGAGAATTAATGGGATTTCCTCTTATATGCACTATATTTTTTTTGAATTACATAGATATTGTTTCCTGGTTTAAAAAACCCATTTTCATTTTTTTATTATTATCAGATTTTTTTCTAAACAATCAGATTTCTCACGCGATGTGACAATTATGTATATCTTTTCCTTTCGAAGAAAATTCGATATATACATTTATGATTTCTATAATTTTTCTGATTGATTTTTTGTTGTTTGAAAAATCATTTATTTTTTTTTAGAAAAAAAATGGCAGACGATTTTAAATTGATAAAAGAGGAGATAATTCACACTACAAGACGGTGGGAACATTTTAATAAAATTATGAAAGAATTACCAAATCCAATGTTTGGTGTTCCTTTAGTTCAATGTGAGTTGAAAAAAATCGAATTTTTCCAAAAAATATTCGTATTGTGAATGTGAATGCAAAATTTTGTGAGTCTCGGAAAATGTCTTCTTTTCATTGAAAATTAATGAAAGGCCGATGAATTATTTGGTTTTCTCTTCCTCGGGTCTACACTGGCATTATTCATTTCTTCAATACCAAAAATAAAATTAAATTTTCAGTTGGTGAGCCACTGGTAACAGATTCTGACGTTGTCGATAAAATAGTGTCGAATGAACTGCTTTTGGATCGAAAAACGCAGGTCGAACTCTATTTGAGAAGAGAGGAAGAGAAGAAAAAAAGAGAGCTGGAAACTAGACAACTTTACGAACCAATAAAAAAAGAAGAAGTTCCAGAAAAAGAAGAAGAAGAAGAAGAACAAATGTTGAAGACTGAGGAGATTGAGAGTATTGCTATGCAATATTTTTTAGCTGCATTTAAAAAAGGGTAAGTTGTTTTTTTTTTAATTGGGTGGTAATTTTATTAGTTGGTAATTTTTTAGTTTAGATAATTCAGTTAATTTTTATAGAGGAAAAAAGTTTGTTTGTCTTTGTAATACGAAACGAAAAATAATTGGCTTGTAAAAAAGCTAATTTTGGGAAAGTTATTGATTATTATAAAAAAATGATTCACCAAGATTTTTAAATTAATATAATCTTTGTACTTTTACAACAATACTCTGACGTATTTTGTCAGTATTTAAAAAAAAAAATTATACTAATTCGTCATAATGTAAGAAATTCCTTCATTACGTTATTTTTCAGTTTGATGTGAAAATAGTTTTTGAAAATTAACTAATAAAAGTTTTGATTCCGAAAATATCTTAACTTTGCTGACAACATCACATTTTTCATTTAAACTCCTCAAATTTTAGGATAATAACCAAATCAATGTATAAAGATGGAATGCGTCAAGTTGTGAAAAGATCCAAAAAGTTAAGCTGGAAAGAAGAAGATATAAGAAAGCATTGTATCGAACGAATATCTTGCACAAAAGAATTTTTGGCAAGATATGACGCGGCTGCTGAAAATAACGAAGCTTCAAGTTCATCAGTTTCATCATCAGATACAACAAAACGGTCATCAATCTAAAATAAAATTCGATTATTTTTCCCCAATTGTACATTTTTTATTCCCTTGAGTATATTTTTATTAATTGAGTCCAGTCGAGTCCATCTTCCAGATACATTCAAAGTTTGTTTGATATTAATGAGGAGTTTCCTACTTTATTTTCTTTTTTCCATTCATACATTTCAAATTTCTATGACTCACTTATATATTCTAGATTTTTGCTTCATTAACCCGCACTTTGTCTTATTTTCTTCTGCTTTTAAATACACATTGATGTGAATAAAATTATTTGGAAATTGAAAAATATTGCGTGCTTGTCTTATAGTATTTGTTGACAATTTTATATTTCATGATGAAATGGATAGAAATATTATTTTTGGTGGGTTGAGGTTGGCTATTTTTAAATAAATATATAATGTTACGTTCTCTGGAAATTTGTCATATGATCGGAAAACTTTAAAATGATTGAAGATTGGATTATAATCATCATATTTTCAAAGTTCATCATCCTCAGACAATCTTATGAAAACTTTAGCTAACTTTTTTGAAAGTTCAACTAGAACTATTGGCCGACTACTTTATTTCCTTTCGTTTTTTCTTTATAAAAAAGTTTAGCTTTTTTGTCGATGTATCCATCTTCCTGTGCAAATAAAATGTAATAAACTAGGAAACGAACGAGAAACCCGACGGACGAAGAAAGAAAAAAGGCATCTTTTCGACTTCTTCTTCTTCTTTTTTTATTTTTCTTGTCCCATGTTTCCTAATTCAATCATGTGGTTTACTCGGTTCTCACAAAATGGAAGAAGAAGAAGCTTCTTCTCCTTTTTCTCCTTGTTTTTCTCTACTTGAAAATTATTTATATATTTTCTTTTCGCACATTTATTGAACTGGAATGCACAGAAAAGATTAGTCTCTGGAAAAAATTCCAGCTTTTTTTGAGCAATAATATTTTTTCTCCGTATTTTTAGTGTTTCACATGAAGAACCCGCCCATTTTTATTTCTTTTTTTGATTGAATGTTTTTATTTGCAAATTTTATATTCATTTTTATTCATGTTCTTGTTAGAAACCGCTTCACATAGAAACCAAAAAAAAAATTTTAAAAGATATTTTCTTATAAGATTCATAATTCCATAAGAATTTCTTCTGTTTATGACATTTGCTTGTTTCTCATTATGAAAATGTAATTTCTCACAATCCAAAATTGCACGTTTCAAAATTATTATACACAAAGCAGAAAAAAACATAATCATATATTTGATATACCAAAAATAATTATATATGTAAACCAAACCTAGCTTATTAGCAATTTTTCTTTCAATTCGGAGAAAAAAGAGTTGCTGACGTATATTTTCCAGTTCATTTAAAAAATTGAACTCTTGGTTAGGTTATTTCCGGGAACTCATATATCCACATTATAAGTTAGCGAAATGGAGTTCTATTTTTGGTAAATAAATAAAAATATGTCGACTTATTAATGGGAGGGTTCAGGACTTTGTTTTGAAGTGGCTTTCTATAGAGATTATGATATAATTCTATTAAATATTCATTATTATGGATTTTTATTCTATCTAAAAATTAGATCCGAATTGAATCAGGATCAGAACGAGTTTTCAAAAAATGTTTTCACAGTTTTCAGTATTTAAACCTTAAAATTTTATATAATCAAATTTTAATATTTTGTTAAAAACACGACTTTTTTGATTTTCTGACTTCTGAAATAAATCTCAAGAAAAAAAACAAAAAGTCCGGGGGAAACGGCAATAACGGAAACGATGATTTATATACATAAATGGCTTCAAATTGACATATTTTCTTTACTCTCAACAAATTCCAACTTTTTCTTCTTCTTCTTTTTGCATTTCTTTTTTCCTCCTCTCTGAAAAATACCCAAGGAGACTTGTTGGATTGAAAAAGAAGCGGTTCTTCTTCTCCTCTTCCATTCTTTCGACCAATTCTCACATGAATTATAAATGCGCAGGCAGATTTTTCAGCTTCCAGCGATGTGACGACAAAAACAATTCTTCTTCTTCTTCTACTTCTTCCTATTTTTTTTTCTTCCCATCTTTTTAAAGATATCATATTCCACCCTCAAAATACATATACATACTTATTTATTTCTTTTCTAATTGAATATTAATAACATACATATCAGCTGGACGTATTCATGTCAATAATAATGGAAATTTCTTGTTTACTGCACATTTGCTTTCCTTAAAAATGGACAACAAATCTGCTTGCTTTTGGCTGACCTCAATTATTGGCTTTTCCTATTTTTCCATGAATTCGCACATCGTTTAATTAGCCAGCATTTTTATCTCATTCTTCTCTGCTTCTCTTTTTATTTTATTTTTTTCTATTTTTCATTTTTTTCGTTTTTTTTTTAAAATTTTATCTCATTTTGTTAGCTGTGTTGGTTTTTGTAGGAAAAAGATTTTTCTGATTCGAAATACATTGTAAAATTTCTGGGTTTGTGAGCTGAAAGTATATTTTAGGGTAAAAATTAATAATTCCATAATAAATCTCTGTATTCTCTGGAAAGCTCAAGCTTTTTCTGAGTTCCCAGCAGATTCGAATTACTTTACCCAAAAATATGAAAAATTCCCCTCTCTCAATAAATTTGTAGTTTTCCTAGTCCATAATTTGTAGTTTTCTCAAATTTACTCCCTTTTAACATAATTTTTAACATACTCAAGTCAGTTCCGTTGATTTCTCATTTTGCAAAAAAACCAGAAAAATGGAAGATTAGGGATTATCTCATGACTTTTTCAGCCGTCATCAGGCCAAGATTCATTTTTTCTTGTGATTCACTATTCGTTTTTTTTCAATTGAATGCTCCCTCATTAACGAATTCAGTTGGTTTTTTTTGCAGACAGACAAAATGATGCATGTTCATCGATCGGACCTTTTGACAATTGAAAGTACATCTGCTTCGAAGCCCAGTCTTTTTATCTTCGTTTTGGTCAATTAATGTTCAAGTGCAGGTTGGTTGGTTTTAATTAGAAATTGCATTTCTTACGAATTTGTTTTCGAAAAAAAAGCATGTGTATAATTAACAGAAAAAAATTATTTATTATTAATTAATAATTCACCAAAAATCTTCGATAATCCCAATCCCTAATAAATGTGCGAAACATAGTTTGATGATTTATTATTCATAACACGTATGAAACCCTTCAAAAATGAATCGTTCTTTGAAATTTCTCACAGACATGAAAAATGAGAAAACGTGTCTGTTTTTGATGAGAAGAGAGTTTGTTGAACTCTTGTCGCATTCAAAAAATCAACATCGAGTTAGTAGTCGGAAAATGACGCGAGGGAATGTTTCCGGCATGCACTTTTGGTGTTTCTTTTTGAAAAGAGAATTGTTTAAAAGTGCAAGGGTTGTAAGTGATCTATCAAAATCAGATTTGATTATAGGTTGAGCAAATGAAACACAAGGTGAAAAGATAATAAGATTTTATGCTAGAACTTTTTTTAAACCTTACCTAATTTCAAAATGTGTCTGGAATTAGGTTAATTTTATAATTTCAATTATGTGTTTTAACGTTTGCTCTAAAGATTTGGATACCAAAATTGTTTTATCCTCATTCAAGGCTAATTTTCAGAACAATGAACGACCAGATATTGACTCAAAAGCATGTTCTCAATATTCTCTACCAGATGTTTCAACCACGGATAACAATTCACAAAATTATCAATCACCTCAAAAAACCAACACGAAGCCTTTCAGGTTTGTTTGTATCCTCAATTTCTAGAAAACTAACCTCTCCAACAAAAAAAACCAAAAACAGAAAATAGAAAAATCAATTCCAGTAACCGATTTGAATGCACAATATGAGATTTCTTGTCAATCGAACATTCAACAAAAACCTCAACCACTTTCGATGACAAAGGAAAATGCTTCGTGTCGAGTTGCTGATTGGATCACAAATTTGGATATCAATAAGGAATAATTACATTTTTACGTTTTGTTTTTTTTCCACTGGTTTCTTTTTTTTCAAAGTTTTATACGTAGCTATTTATTTTTCAACTTCTATTTTTAATATGCCAAAAACTCTCCCAACTTGTCTGTTTTGCTAGATATTCAACCTAACTTTAATTCATATCGTTTATTCACAAAGAAAAGTAAAGTATAAAGGCAACCGGTCCATTAAATGGAACAAAAGTTTTCATGTCAGTATAAAAAATAACCAGCCCAAAATGAAAGATGAGATTACAACAACAAAAAAAGAATGTGAGAATCAGAATGTACATACAAAAATTGATGGGGATTCGATTTAGAATACAATAATATCATCACGAAGAACAAGAGCGAGATCATCATCCATTCGATTGATGAGAATGAAAGAAAAAAATATGGCAAGTGACGAGAAAAAGTGCCACATATCATGATTGTCATAGAATTGCAAGACCAAGCAAGGGCTATTCAGCTCGCGGGATTTGGCTGGGGTTCTCTGAAAAACATGGCAATGATTCTAAATTTTATTTTGATCTCTAATAGTTCATCTTGTCAGATTTTTCAATTTAAAACAACACGCTCACTTATTATACGAGGGTGCTGCTTTAAATTATTTGAGAATCTAAATTCCGTGGATGACTACTTGTAAATTTTAAAATGTGAAAACTATAGAGTAACATTTTGAAATTAGGGATTTTCGAATTCTAATTTTGAAAATTAAATTTATAGGTATTTAATGTTGTCTTGCGTTTCACGAATTATCAGTTTTCATTCTTAATCTCAGAAATGAAAATACTGATTCTTCTTGGTTTGCATCAGAATCTAAAATTTCAATATTTCGTAACTTACACTCCAATCCGAGACGGCGTGCAAGAAAAAGTATCCAGCAATAGTCCAACTAATTGCCGACAAAAGAAGAAGCATCCAACCTCTCGGATGAACTGACTCGCGATATCCAACCTTCATGCACATATAATAAACCAAATACAAAAACAAGTTGGCGATGAATGGAAGAAGCAAGAATGATGCAAAATCTCTTGGACGATGCAAAACTCCGTAGATCAAGCTGAAATTTTGAGTTGTTATATCTATCCTTCAGTATTAGTGGATATGAAACTTACAATGAGAAGTTGATAAGGTTTGCGAGAGCAAGAATGCAGAAACGACCCTGAAATATTTGTTGATAATAATTTTAAATTAATAAAAGTAAAACAAACTAACCAAATATGCTGGAACAAGGAATGAGCATCGTTTTGAAGCAGCAATCGAATATCGGAATGTGTTCCATTGTTCGCGCAAATTAAACTTCCAAATTCCTTTGAAGTAGAATTCGACACTGACAGCGAGAATTGTGAACATGTAAACAACAGCAAAGATTGCCCAGAAAGCAAAATTATGAAGATACTGAAAGAATATGATGATTTGGAAATTATATTGAAATCCTGAAGAATAACACTTACCACTCCACCCATAGCAATTAAAATAAACGCGGCGACGACAGCAAAAGCCACATGAGCGTTGGCATTGATATCGGGATGACGAAGTTGATAGATCTTCAACATTCCAAGCATTCCAATCACATACATAAATGAGGTATCTGTGATTTAAGAAAACAATTTATTGAACTATTTTGGGAGAAAACCAACCAAATTGATAATTACTGTCAGACGGACAGATGTGGTAACTTGCTGACATAATTCCTTCAAACATAACCGCTATTCCAATTGCAGTCATCAGTCCGCCATGTTGAGGAAGACCATATTCCTGAAAACATTATTTTATTTCAGATCGAAACTTTGTTGAAACTCACATCTTCCAATCGTGGAACCATCAAAACATGATCTCTATATCTCGATTCGCGCGATTTGTTGATTATGATAAGAAGTAGCCCGAAGAAAATGTATCCTGAATTGCTAATCAAGTTGTTGATTGCAAAGAATCCCCAATATGGTCGAGCACATCGGAAGTTGTACCAGCAGAGATCGAGGTCTCCAGAAAGGCGGACTGTGTTTTGCCAAGTCAAAACAAGTTGAACAACTGGTAGTCCATAGAACAAGCCGATTGTTGCCAAAGTACTGAAATGATTGATGATTTAGAGTCAAGAATAACTTTTCATCGAAAATATATTGGAATGAAACTGATGTTAGCGAAAAGGTGTGATTGAAATTATCTGGATTCCAACGACTATATTTGTGTCATTCAAAAACGTGATTTGAACTTACATCCAATAAACTTTGTACTTCTTCTCTCGATGTTTCCATTCCTTCATTGACAAATCATAAACACACAATTTCGCTTTCGCTCTGATAACCATTTTATCATAGCAATCAGGCAGAAGATCCCAATCGGCCAAATCTGGATCTTCCATCATAATTTCCTCTTGAACACGGATCCGAATACGCTCATAGTTTCGATCTAGAAAAACAACAATTATTGTTGGGAATTATACATGGTTAAGCAAACGTTTTACCTTCGTCGAGAAGAACATATGAAGCTCGGAAAAATTGTGCCTCCGATTTGTTGTCAAAAATAATATAAACAATGCTGAGAAAATAAACTGTAATTATGCACAATGCTGTCACACCAATTGGGAAGATATAATCGTTCACTGTAAATAAAAAAAAGTTTTGTTTGTTTTTTTCAAAGTTTGTATTAGGTAAATAATACCTGATGCCGCTGATTCAATTGTCACATTGAACATCTTTGATCTGATGCGGGTTTTTGTAGGGCCTGAAAATGGTTTTGATTGAAGGCAATTAATTTTTAGACATCACATCAAAATGCACTTACGAACTGGTACAATATCTTGCATCTCCGAACATAAGTTATCATTTGGATTGACAACAAAGATTACATAAAAACTGTCCATATCTGACCGTTCAACAACCATTGATGCAGAAGTTGTCATTGTTTGATGACTTCCCGTTGAGATAACATTGTTTGCCAAATCAAATACAGGGCACTGAAACATATCATTTTTATTGATGTATAATTGTTTTATATTATTATACTCACCCCAATTTTCTGAACTGAAACCATCATGCATTCTGTAGAATTTGAAGAAATGTGAATGACGACAGAATCCAGACCTTGAGGAATGTTGTATTGGAAATAAATTGGTTCCGAAGCACTGGCTTTTACCAAACGTCTCTCATTCATTCTGAAAAAAAAAACATGAAAATCATAACCTTTTTGATAATCCAAATAACTTACTCCAATTGGAAATTCTCAACTTCGAAAGCTTTGAAAGAGTATGGAACTGGAGAGAAACTGCTGATTTCAATTGTCAAAACTTCATTTTCTTCAACATCGTTAAACGGGCAAAGTGTACGTTCGACTTTGCTATATTCGTAGTTTTGAACAATTGTTGGAACTTGGAGACTGAGAATCGCAGTTTTCTCACGGAACACAACGAGAACAGGGTTTCGAGATGTGCTCTGTTCACATTCAACAGCGACGCGAGCGACCATATTCTGAAATATTTCGAAAACTCTATGAATAGTTTAGAATTAGTAACTCACATTTTTCAACACAGGAAAACGAAAAATTGTGAGCGACGCATTTTTGCCAGACTCCTCATTGTAGATATGATTCCATTTTCCTTGAATCACTTTTTGGCTTGAAATATGTCCAAAAATTAGTAGAAATAGCACTAGAACCAAGTTTGCACTCATAATTTTCTGTAAAAAAATCATATGATAAAACAAACACATGTCGCTTATTAGTTTATATTATATTTTCAAATAAATAAAAATATTATAAACGACAAACATGCGAGAGAAAAATAGAAAAGACAAGGACAGATGAAGAGAACGCTTGTGTGATACACTTTGAATAGAGCGTCTTTGCTGCTGTTCGCTCACTGACTGCTGTTCGCAAAAAAAGAGACCCTGTGACGAAAGAGGTGTCATAGGACAAATGAGAAAAAAAGGGAGAAGGGGCGAAAAAAAATAGTAAATCAACGCAACAAAGCACATATGTTTTTATGTTTTTGTCGTAGAACTTTCTGCAAACTTTTTATTTACTTTTTTGAAACAAAGAAAACAATCACAAGGTTTGTTGGTGTGGATTTTTGTGGGGAGCAAAGAAAACTACAATTTTTAACACTGGAAACATTGAGCAAACAGCATACTATTTTTTGGAGACTACATACATACATAAATACTTCTGAAATCAAACAGGGATTTTTGTGAAATGCTTGAATACAATATGTATTCTCAATGTTTCATAATTCATATTTTGAAATTTGAAATTGGGAGTGTTGTCTGAAATTTTACAAATTGTTTGCAAACTTAAAAATATGGTTTTAATCGAAAACTTCTAGAATTTTCTCAAAATACTTTTATATTATTTCATTTAGTTTTTATAATTTTTGAAGGGCTAAATGTAAGCTAAAATGTATATTTTACTAGCCGTGGTTGCTAATTTTTCGTTATTTAAAAATGTTTCTACATTGAAAAAAATTATTATCAGATTTTTTTAAACGTTTGATTTTTCAAAGTACATTTTTTTGTTTTGTGAACAGTCAAACATAAACAAATGACATTAAAAACATTTCGGCGAAAAAAATGGGAAAAATCACATTTTCTTAACAATTAAATTAGCGTTTATGAGAAAAATATTGAAAACAAACAAAAATTGTGCATTGATTTGAAATCATTGAATGTGAGAACAATACATTTTATATCAAAAATGAAATATAGGGATCAAAGCAAAAAAAAAAACCGAATGTTTATTTTCATATTCGTTTTAATAAAATGTATAGTTCAGTTGAATAGCAACCAAAGGTTTAATAAATATGTATATCTATAGAAAAGGGGATAAGCAGTTTGTCTAATCCGTTAGATTTCAATATCACTTACGGAAAATTAAAATTACTAATAAAAAGATTTGAGAAGTGTATAATATTTTCTAATCCGTTCAACATGAAGATTTCCCATTACCAAGAGGAGAAACAAAACAAAAAATGAATGACACCAGACTCAATCGCATTTTACGAAGTGACGTAATCACTCAAAGTTGCACTTTTTGAGCAATGTAACGCTGTTGCGCAACTACCAATGTTAACAGGCAACCCCGTCTAAGCTCACACGGAAGTTGACCAGATGAACAGTACTTTCAAAATTGTGTGGTAAATCAAAATTTGGTGATTGTTTTTTTTCTCGCTAAATGGGTTTTTTCTGCTCTCAGAGAACCACGTCAAAACTTAAAACTTGTAAAAGTTTACTTAATATTTTTGCGACTAATCAACATGGATGAATATTTCGACCGTTCAACTAATTGTATGCAAGAATCTCCCCTTACAGTGCAAGATAGGTATAATATGCTCTATGGTCTTTGTAAAAAAAATACCGAAAAAACAGGAATTTTTTACCGTATAAAATTTCCTGTTCTTTTATATTTTAGTGTCACAATATTTTTTTCTGTTTTCATTTGTTAACGTACAGAACGAAGTAATGTCATGGAGAGCTGTTAATAAAATCATTCCCTATTTTTCTACTGTATTTTCGGTTTTTTTCAATTTGTTACTTATTATTTTGATCCTGACACAATCATCTAAAAAAATGGGTGGATATAAGTATTTATTGTTGCTTTCTTCGCATTTTCAGTTAGCATATTCAATTCTCGAAGCTCTGGTTTCACCGGTAAGTTTTTTATAGTATCGTATATATTCACGAATAAATATTCAGATGATTTATTCATACAAATCAATGTTCATTGTTTTTGTGGAAGAAACAAACTCAATTTTCGGAAGAGAAATCATTAGGGTGTTGATCTCATTATACTGTAGTTGTTATGGGTTTCTGATGGGACTTCTTGCAATTCAATTCTATTACCGTTATTTGGTGGCGTACGAATCTAAATTAGTAAATACCATGTTGAACTGGAAGATCATTATTTGGTTTGCAGTTCCGTTTTCATATGCATTCCTTTGGTTTTTTGTATCTTATTATTTATGCCATCAAACTCAACAAGCAAATGAAAACATTAGATCTTCTTTTCTCACTGATTTTGATACAGGCATTGATGGTGTTGTGTTTCTGGGCCCATATTTATATCAAAAACGGGATGATGGATTTGATCACATTGATACTGTCTCAATGTCTGCAGTAGTAATTGCCTCATTATTGAATATGTCTTCAATGATAACTATAATTTATTTTGGTTGGAAATGTTATCGCAAAATAGGTTCAATAATATTGTCCTCTAGTGGACTTCATAATTTACAAACCCAATTGTTTCAAGCACTATTAGTGGATAGTTTGATACCTATCATATTGATGCATATACCAGTTTTATTTCTTTATCTTTCCTGTTTATTGGAACTTGATGTTGGAAATGTAACTAGCACATTGTCAGTAATAATTGCATTATTTCCAACAATAAGTGCGTTGCCACCTATGTTTATCATCAAGAACTATCGAGTTGCTGTGATAAAATTTATATTTTGTTCAAGATCTGCAAATTAATTTTGAATTGTTGGAAAATATGTATGAAAAATCCCTTTAGAATAAACTTTTTCCGAAAATATGCGTTGCCAAAACAGCGAGCAGTGGGACTCGAACCCACAAAATCAGGCGGGTTGAATAGAAGACAAAGCTCTTCCCCACTACACCACGCGTGTAGATAAAAAACGAGGCACTTTTGATAAATATATATTTATCAGAATTTCGCGTGACCCAGATAATCAGGAATAGAAAAAAATCTTTTTTTTGCCTGGGAGCTCAACTAGGGGTGAAGCCCCTAGTCAATAATAAATAAATCTACACGTACAAAAAAATGAGCTTGAAATTCTTGAGGGCATACAAAATAACATGTTCTACAATAGTAATTTCTTTGAAAGTTCTCAGGGAATCACGCGCAAGAGCTCAACGATTTCGCGGTTGTGTCTTCCGCTTTTTTGTGGAAATCTTGCGGTACCCTAACAAAAATCAAAATGTAGAGGTGTTCTAAGTCTGCCGATGTTGAAATTACGGAACTCTATAATGCATCTAATAAGCCTGATTGGCCTTTTATGTTCGTTATTGTGATACTGTTGAAAACACTTTTTTGATTTGTGGACACATTTCAATTTGATATAATTTTACTTGGAAGACATGTACTGAGGTTTAGCCGTTTTGTAAAAACAATTATATCGAAAACCGCAGGCAATTTCCTGTTTATCTTAATTTTTTACATAGGGATTCTGTTCTCATTTGTTCACTGATATTTTGATGTCGTGGAGACTTGCTCATCAAATAATTCAATATGTTTCAACAGCAGTTTCAGTAGCTTTACAAAATCTTTTGATTTATCTAATTATCAAAAAATCATCAAAAAAATTAGAAGGATATAAATATTTATTGTTATTGTCTTCACTATTTCAATTATTTTTTTCCATTGTTGAAACAGTAGTTTCCCCTGTAAGATCAGTTTTTCAGCAATATTTTCAGTGATTCTTTTATTTTTTTAGATGATTTATTCATACCAGTCAATGTTTATTGTTTTTGTGGAGTATACAAATGCAATTTTTGAAAGAGAAACAATCCGTTTTTTGATAACTCTGTACTGTAGTTCTTACGGGTTCATGATGGGAGTTTTCACAGTACAATTTTATTACCGTTATCTTGTCGCGTATGGATCTAAACTTGTAAAGTCTTCGAAAAATTGGAAAATTATTTTTTGGTTCTCTGTTCCATTTTCATATGGTTGTATTTGGTTTTTAATAACATATTTCATGTGTCTTCAAACTCCACAAGCAAATGAAAATATCAGAAAAATATTACTGATCGATTTCGATACAAATATTGATGATGTTGTATTTGTTGGACCATATTTATATCAAAAACAAGATGATGGATTGTTACATATTGATACTTTGTCGCTAACTGCAATAGTTGTTGCATCATTATTGAATGCTTCTTCAATGATAGCGATTTTTTATTTTGGATGGAAATGTTATCGAAAGATGGGTTCTTTGATGAACGCTTCAAGAAGACTTCAGAATCTACAAAAACAATTATTTCATGCTTTGCTTGTGGATAGCTTAATACCAATTATTTTGATGCATCTTCCCGTATCATTTCTTCTTTTTTCATGTTTAATGGAATTTGATGTAGGCAGTATTGCTAGTACAGTCACACTTTCCACAGCGTTATTCCCAGCAATTGGTGCACTTCCACCAATGTTTATTATAAAAAATTATAGAATAACTGTGATCAATTATATATGTTGTTCGAAAACTAGAAACCAATCGATGCAAGTTGACAATTAGTTTCCAATGTTTGCAAATTATCTTTAATTTTCAAGAATTTTATTTTTTAATAAAAAGTTTTTTGTTAAAATTGTCGAAAATTTCAAGACAGGAATGTCCGACGTCATGAAATGACAAATCAAAACAATCTTCCTTCCTCCTCATTTCAATATGAATATGAATTCAAAATTTCATATTATACCAAAATATGTCACAATGTTCGGCCTATTCGCCGACAGTACAGTTTATAGAAACATCTTTTGGTTTTAATAAATTTCAATACAAGTTAGCTGAATGGGTTTCCAATAGCTTACAGTATTCCCCAACTGATGAATCTAATAAGGTTTGTCGAATTTTAGAATAAAAATTCTGATTAAAAACGAAAAATTACAACGTGTTTCAGAAACTCCATGAAGCAGTTTTTGAATCAAAAAATACGAAAGAATATTTCGATTCCTATCAATTATGGCCAATCATTTTCTCGGCTTTTGGATTTGTCATAATAGCTGCAACAATATTGTTTTTCTTCTTCACTGCTTGTTGGCAATGTTTTTCGTCGTGCAGACCGGAAAATTCAAAACAAAGCAAAAAATCAAGAATATTTTTGATTATCAGTCTTACTTTTGCAATAATTTCAATATTTTCTGGAATATATGTGTTCAACGCTAGTCAGGATAGATTGACAGAATCTTTTGAAAATGCAATTCAGTTCAAAGATTCAATAAAAGAAGGCAAGTCAGGGATTTAAAATTTTGAAATACATATCAATTCAGATTTCAACGTGGTCACAGTGAAAGGATTCGAAGAAATTCAATGTGAAATATCAACAACAGGAAAAACCATTTCAAAACATGTTTCTGAAAAAATAAACAAAGTGATGAAAAATTTGCAAGAAAAAATTGGATTCAGTGAACTTGTTGAGGTTATTAAAACATTGGATTTGAACTGCTTCTCAAACTTCTTTTTTTTCAGTTTGACAAAAGCAGTAAAAACGAACGTCATAAGTATCGCAAGTTGCCTACCCTCACCAATCCCACTTGTGGACAAGCATACAAAGAATTGAGAAACTCAATCATTGAAGCTGAAAAAACGCTTGAAAAAATATCTAGTCAACTTGACTCAAGTAATGATGGGATTTCGAAAAATCAAGATGCTATGAATGATAATATCAAGAAAAAAATCGACCAAATATTTGCATCAATTACAAATGAAGAACAAATGAAGAAGGTGTGGTAGATTTTCAAACAAAAAATAATACATTTTTTTCAGGTAACTAATAATATTGAACAACTAACAGAAAAATATGATGAAACTATCGAAAATCACCATAAATCTATTTCAAAGGTGAGTAGTTGTGTGTATTGAAAAAAAAAACCAAAAACATTTAGGACCCAATTTACGGAGCCATACAAACATTGTCCCAATTACTTTTCAACATTCCTTCCGTATTGGCTATTACTCTTGCATGTATTACAATTTTGACACTTGCATTATATTCAAAATCTGCTAAATCTAACATTCCATCATTCTGGATAATGCTCGGATTTTATATTGTTCTTCCACTAACTATAATATTCACTATTTTGTTTATGATAACATTTTTTGGTGGTTGGGCAGCATCAACAATCTGTGTTGCAGAATTTGAAAATCCTCAACAAACACTTCTCAAAACTGTTGAATTTGAATTTGAGTTGTTTGATAATAAGATCCAATTCAATGTTGGGTAGGTTACAGAAAGAAGCGGAGATAAAAATTGCAAAAATTGAGACTGTAGTTACCACAAACTTTTTTGTTCAGCAAGCTTGGAATAAGTTCAAGAAGCAATTTAACCTTGTCCCTCGAAGTTTTCATACATCCATAGATAAACCGACTTTTTCAGAAATTTTGTGAATACTTGCCAAGATCCCAACAAAACACTATTTTCTGTTATCAATGGACGTAATCTTCTATCAAATATTTTGCAAAAGATGGATTTCAATAAAATGGGAGCTGAAATTCCAAAATTAGAAACCTTCGAAATTGAAAAAGACGACAAGGAAAAACTGAACCAACAAATAAACTTGTTCAAAGCTCAAAAATCAATGATAGCACAATGTTCAGAATTGAAACTTTATAAGGAAAAAGCGGAAATGCTCATTGCTCAAGCTGAAAAGTATATTTCATATTTGGATAAGATAAAACTGTCCATGCAGAAAATTGATATGCAAGCTGTTATGAAAAATGAAATGCAAACAATTATGGATGATACCGTTAATACTCTTGTGGTAATGAAATTCAATTATATTTTTTGAAAATCTTTTCTTTTTCAGGATAAGTTTGAAACAAAAGTTTTCAAGTGTCATCCATACTTTGAGATTCATCAAAAAGCAGGAAACGTTGTTTGTGATCATTTCGGAAAACCAATTCATGGATTATGGTCTTCATCACTTCTCACAGCTATTTCTATATTTTTCCTGGCACTCAAATTCCTTTTTGCTTATCGTTGGATTCACAGTGAGGAAAAAGGACATATTACTTTGAATGAAGTTGCATAACTCAAAATATTTATTTATTCATTCATAAAACTTTTTGCAAAGGAAAAATATATGTACCCGCTACATGACTATTAGATTTGACTATATATAATTTGATACAAATTTAGATTATGGGAAGTTTCAAAATAATATATTTTTAAAGCAACATTTAGATTTTTGGTGTATTCTTTGCCTTCCACTGTGCAACAAATTCTTGCATATTGTGTGGAACAACTTGTGGAAGAACACATTTTGATGGATTTTCAGCTTCGAAACTGAACAAGAATCGATCGCAAACTTCGAACTTGTGTGTTGCTTCGTTGTATACTTCGGCTTGTGAGCAAACCTGTAAATTATTAATTTCAGATAAAAACCAGAAAATATTGCGAATTCACAAACCTGTACAATATTTCCAGAGACATTGCAAACATATGAATTGAATTTGAGAACACTTCCGATTTCAATAACTTTGAGAAATTCGGCGCTATCCAAGGAGATTGCTCGAACATCAGATTTTGCGAAGAGTTTAGCACAAAGTTCAGCAGTTTCGATTCCTTGTCTCACCAAGAATCCACCAAATACTGATCCATAAGGATTTTCATTTTCTGGATGAGCAACCAAAACTGTTTCCAAAGCTGTAGATGACATTGTGATTTCTCCATCCTTGACTTCTGGTTTCTCCAAAGCCAATAATTCTGGAGTGATTGCTTTTGTAGTATTAACTTTTTGACGACGATTAAGAAGTTCGGTTTCATATGAAGTTGTTGGAGAAAGTTGATTGACTGCATATTTTTGAGTTGTGTTTTGTGCATTCAATGAAGCAAATACAAGTTTTGCAGTGAGCATTGTATTTCCATTTTGTTGAACACTTACAGTTGCTTCACTGTGATTTTCTCCAGTCCAAGTTACCTTTCCAGTGAGGTACAAATCATGATATGGAGAGATTCGATAAGCATCGTTGAGTGAGATTTGGTGAATTTTTGATGTAACAAACATTCTTGGCAATGTTCCTTCAGCAAACCATTTGCTTTCCAAATCACTTCGATTCAACATATAACATGAGCAAGGTGCCACAATATCAACTGCTTCCAGAAGTCTTCCAATTCTGATATGCCCTTCACTATCAGCAATTTTGAGACGAGCTGCCGAATCAGTTGCAAGTGGAAGAATGATTCGAAGTTCCGATTGATTTTGTTCGCGTTTCTCAAGATTGATTGTTGTTGGGATTGGAGTCTTTGGAACCATCAAGTTTCTTGAGTATTCGTAGAAGCAATCATAAAGTTGATCCATTGTTCGAAGAGTTGGGGCTTGAGTTTCGAGGGCTTTTTGAAGACTTTTTGGCTTGTAGCGTTTCATTTGTCGGAGCATCATCCCCTAAAAATATTTATTTTTGATGTGTTCTGTAGTTTCTAAAGAACTTTGGACTTACCTTATTGCGAAGTGCAGAAACTGAGTTGGCTGTTTGATTCATGTTTTCTAGTAACAGTCAAGATTGGAATGATTTCTCTTGTTCCAGCCTCTGCTTTTATAGTATGCCCTCTGAACCCGCCCCCTTTTAAAAGTGCAACTTTTTTATTATATGTTGTTGATGCGTTCTCAGACATCACCAGTTTGTTTGTTTGTTTGTCTCAGTTTTCAGCAAAAAAAATCGTTGCACTTTTATCAGTAAATGTTGCGAAAACTTTGGAGACGGCAGAGAAATGCGGGTCAAAAAACAGATTGTGTCTGGGATTTTTTTTTGGAATTTTTCTCTTCTCCTCTCTTTTTGGTTTTTTTAAGTCGATAAGAAATAAAAAGATGTTTCCGAAATGGTTCTTTCTTCTGGAAAAGATTTTAATTTGATTAATGGTTACTTGATGAGTGTTGCAGGATTGGACAAGAGTCATATGATTTTCATATGGTTTTCAGGAAAAAAATTCTTCATCGACAAAAAGTGATAAAAGTGCAAATTCTAAAAATAAACAAACAAAGATTTCTCATCCAGATTTTGAGCAGTTTCCGGGAAAAATTGTGAGAGAAGCTGAAAAACTGTAATTAAAAAGTTCCCGATGATCATAAATTGGGAAATAAACTAGTGAAGCGGAATGAATGTTTTGAAACTACCAATGATTGAATGACAGATTTCAGTGAGCCCTTTTATGGGTAGATCAAAAAGTGATAGGAATTTTGTACAAAAACACATCTGTGATTTTTATACAAATTTTGTTTTTAAAATTCATCTGCTTATTATCAAGTTACTAAAAATTTGAATTGTATGAGTTTCAGAGAAATATTAAATTTTTCTGAAAATTGTCTGACTTACAGGTTGATGTTTGAGGGAAAACACGCACCCACTCTTGAGGTTCTTTTACTTTGGAAAAGTAAACCGTTGTCTCAACTTTGAAACTGATTCGTTTCTCGATGGATTTGATTAATTGTTTCCAGCATTTTGTATATATTTTCAGATTATTTTTTATTTTCAATCAAGTAACATGAAATAATGACTTATGTTAGTGGCACCTTTAATACATATTTTGCGGAATTTTTGCTTATTTTTTTAGCTTCGGTTTATTATCACTTTTGAAATCATAGTGAGGTTTAACTGTTTAAAAAAATGTAACATTTTTGTTCTCATTTTCTGTATTCGTTCTATCCTGAAAACATTATTCCAAAGTCATCAGAACAATTCTAGCATCTTCAAAACCAGCCCGAAACTCTTAAACTATAAAACACGAACACCTCAACTATGTGATAAACAAAAAGGCAACTTTTCTCTCTCTCTCTCTCTCAAACCTTTGGTCAAACATCGATTTCCAGATAAAAACTCCGATTTAGTGTGTGTGTGTGTGTGTGTGTTTCTAGTCTCGTCTGTCTACCGACCAAAGTTCCAGTCATATCTTCTTTTGCAGTTTCGAGACAAACAATTTTTTTGGTCATCTAATAAAGTGCAAGTGTTGCCATTTTCTCCAGGAAACGTTTCAGATTGACAGTTGGTGATAAAAGTGCAACTTTTTGTAAAGTTATTCATGATATTTTATTTTTTCGAGTTGTTTATAATATGTAATAAAATGATATTTTCAAAAGGAATAAGAGAATAAAGAAAATCTAGCATCAAGTTTGCCTACACACAACACATCCATACTCAATTACAATGGGTAATTGTGCACTCAAAACAAAACAAAGCCACTTTGAACCTGCTGCTTCTTTAGCTTGACTGACTGAATAAGGCAAAAACGATGAAAAAGAAGAAGCAGAAGAAGAAAAAGAGGAGCAGATTCCTTCGAATCCTCAATTTCATGTAATATTAATCACCTCTTGTTGTCTTTGTTTTTTCTTCTTATTCTTCTATGTTTTGTAGATGTGTCGAATCTTTTCCGGGTTTTTGTTGTATTTATTTAAATAAGATAAACAAAAGCTAAACAAATCAAATCTTGTCGTATAATTCAATCAAAAAACGTTTCTTTTATTTTTTTTTCATTTTTTGGGTTGTTTTTTTGAATTGTAATGAGTTTGAAATGATATAAAAATGAGCTAGGGTGGAGGTGAAATTTAGCGGCAATCAAAACAACTTTTTTCAATACCGCACTTTTTTTTGAGAATTTTTTTTTGAAAAATGTTCAATAGAAAAAGTAGCAGTAGAGATCATATTTTCAAAATTCAAAACTGTTCCAGAAATGAGATGTCGAGTTTTCCATAATTTTTGACAAAAATAAAACTATTCCATAGGTTTATTTTACGGAAAAACTAGTATAAATAAGTTTTTTCTTCACTTTTTGAATTGAAACCACTTGAAAACAATTCAGCTCCAATCACACGGAATCCAAAAACCTCTCTATTTTTTTCAAAACACTTGACCATTCTCATCGGAATGCAATAAATTCCAACCACAAAGTTTTTCCCTAAAAAAATTTTCATTTTTCACCAAAACATGCAACAAAAAGATGAACAAAACAATAAAAATAGGCTAGCCGAAATGCACTTTGTTTATTATCAAAACCAATTATCCAATTTAGTGACCATTTGGTGCAAAATTCCAAGCAAAACTCTTTGTGAAATAATACGTAGCAATGAATTAAGAAATAATTGTTGTTTAAGGACAAAATCGCAACAACTTCTTAATTGTTCAAGCCACATAATTTACTGAATGAATTACGTTTTTTGCACACTTTTTTGTTTGTTTTGACTCAGCACTTCTATTGTTTCACGTCAGGCTTTTGATATAAATTTTGAATTTAGTTTATGCCATCAACACTTTCAAGCGAGTTCATGTGAGATTTAAAAATCACACGTCTTCCCAATTGTTTTGTTTACTTCAAATTCTGAGCTTCTCCTCACATTTAGAAATTTCATGGACCTGCTAAAATGAAATGCATATCTTTATTAATAAAAACAATAATATTGAAGAGTAATAATAGGGAATAGGGAATAATAATAATAATAAAGGAGAGATTTTTGTGGGCACTCCTTTTTTATGTGTACATATAGCCCGCGGCTACAAAAATGAGATGAAGAAAAAAGGAATAATGAAGAAAAAAAATGAAGAAGGAGCTGAAGAAGAAACGTTTTATATTATTTTATTCTTCAATATTCTTTTCGGATTTTGTTTTATGAACATATATCTTATTTTTCACTATTTTTAATTGAAAATTGGGTGTTTTTAGATGAAACGTTGGTTTTTGACATGGTGGTCAAAAAGGTTTTGAAGATTCTTGAATTTGTTTTGGTTTTTATAGGAATTATCAATTTGTGACGCATTCAGAATTCCACAAAACTGGAAATTAGTAACATTTAAACTTTCAGAAAAAACACTTTTTTGACTATTTTTAAAATTCTTGAAAAATTTTCTGATTCACAATCATCAAAATTGGCCAACTTTGGGTTAGATCTTTCATGACCCATTCAATTTTTTTCGATTTCGATATCTCATATCGGATGATTTGCTGTATCAGACCTTACAGTGATTCTTGAAGTTCAAATTTTGCCGATATCATCAAGAAATACTTCAATTCTTTGGAGTTGTTAGAACCACAGCTATATTCAAATTTGTTCATTTGTGATATGATTTGATTAATTTTTGAACTCTGATTTCAGAAACCATGTAGTCTACTTGCGGCTAGCTATAATTCCAAAATACTATAAATGAAAAATGACCATGTTAATCTAGTGTGTAACACTAACCCATTCCATTCGACCACCTACCGAAAATACCAGCAATAATAATAAAAAAAGAATAATTAGTTTGAGGCAACGCAAAAAAAGAAAACTGTTTTGTATATGTATCATTAATACGATCTTCTTTTTATTTCCATCTATCTGAAAATGTCTTCGAAAAACAATAATATGAATTGTAGTAAAAGAAAAAAGAGAGAATTATTATTATTAATAATAATCATCATCATCATCAACATATACTTTCACCCGACACTTGTCCACCTATGGCAAGTTAAGTGAATGGAATAAGTGAATATAGATGAGTGACCATATCTCAAACGGGTAGTTGCGCAATCGAGGGAGAAACAAATGAAAAGGGAGAAGTTCACTTTCTATCCGATGCCATTCAACATCTTCATCTTCTTTTTGTTATTCTTCATTTTTGTCTTATATCATTGTTTCCTCTAATTAGTTTTGACCTTTGCCCGAAATTCACATTTTTCAAAAGCTGAAATTATCTTCAGAATCTATTTTTGATAGATTTATAACCGCGACTAATTGAGTTTTAAATTTTTTCCGAGCGCCAACATGTTTTTCTAGTTAAATTTGTTTTATATGTTGATAATAACAATAATCATAATAAAACTATGTTTGATTGACACCGTACTCTGCTGTTCCTTTTATTCGTTTGTTTTTCTGAAATTGTTGTTAGGGGCTCAGGGTGGCCCATGTTAAATGTAATTAAGTTTATATGAGTGAGTATTGTGTAAATGTGTACATGAGCTCATTTTTCTTCTTTTTTTTTGTTTTCATCATGTTTTGTTCCATCTAGAGAATGTTTAGATTTTTTGAATACGACTTGAATTCTTCAAGGATTTGATGTATTCCAAATAAAATCTGAACTCAAATTTATTTTCCTTTTTCAATTCATGTCTAGCTTTGGTTTGTTTTGGATCATCAATTTTTCGGATAACTGTAACCAAAAGGTACTGTAGTTTACAATTTGTTAAAATTTTCAATTCTGAAAATACAAATTCTACAATTTTTCAACAAACGATGTTTAATTCAATCGGCCACTTCTGGTCCTATTATCCAATTCTCGAAAAACAACTTTCAAAATAGAAAATAATATCTCAAGATTCAAGATCATCGCTTTCAAGACTCAAATATCCCACATAAGATAGGCAATAAAATTCCTAGGAAATCCAAATTTTGATACCCTTCCCTCTCTCTCCATCTCCCAGGCATGCTTATCATATTTATCAAATTGATAATGAAATTGAACCTCCTCTCATATACATTTAGAGTGACCAATACAATACACAATTCCATAGTTTAACA